CTGGTTGATCTATCAAGAGGTGACAAAGCAGTGTTGAAGTCTCCCACTAGTATTGTGTTGCTATTGATGTCTTTTTCCAAATCTATGAGTAGTTGTTTTAAGTACTTTGCTGGTCTCTCATTAGGTGCATATATATTTATTATTGTAAGTTCTTCCTGTTGAACAGATCCTTTGATCAATAAGAAATGGCCTTCACTGTCTCTTATGACCTTCCTCACTCTGAAATCAATGTGTTCTGATATAAGGATGGCTACCCCAGTTTTTTTATGGGGGCTGTTTTCCTGTAGGATTGTTTTCCAGCCTTTGACTCTGAGTCTGTGTTTGCTTTGACTATTGAGATGCGTTTCTTGCAGGCAGCAAAATGTTGGGTTCAATTTTCTAATCCATCCTGCCACTCTATGTCTTTTAATTGGTGCATTTAGCCCATTGACATTGAGAGAGATTATTGTTATGGGATTTTGTCCCATTGTTCTGTTAAAATTTGGTGTATTTGAGGGGCCTTTCTTGCCTTAAAGTAGCCCATTTAGTTGTTCTTGTAACCATGGTTTTGAGTCTATGAAGTTCCTGAGCTGTTGTTTGTCTGTGAAACTGTGTGTTGTTCCTTCTATTATGAATGAGAGTCTTGCTGGGAAAAGTATTTTTGGGGAGGCATTTATTTCATTGTGTTTTTTCACTATGTCCCACCACTGTTTTCGGGCCATGAGAGTTTCATCAGAAAAATCAGCTGTGAATTTTAAGGATGCTCCTTTGTAAGAGATTTCTTTCTTCGATCTTGCTGCTTTCAGAATTTTGTCTCTGTCTAAGGTTTTGGTCATTTTGATCAGAATGTGTCTTGGGGTATTTTTATTCGGATTTCTTCTAGCTGGTACCCTTTGGGCCTCCTGAATGTGGTCACAAGTTTTCTTCAGCTCTGGAAACGTTGTAGCAATGATGTCTTTGACAGTTTCTTCTTCATCAAGGTTTTCTTCCTGTACCTCTGGGACTCCAATAATTCTTATGTTACCCCTCTTGGCTTCATCACAATCTTCTCTTGCCATCTGTTCCCGAATTGTGAGTCTCTTTTCCATTTTCTGCTCTTTTCTGGAGAGTCTCTGAACTTCATCTTCGAGCTCACTGATTCTGTTCTCAGCAGCTGTTACTCTGCTGCTGAGGCCTTCCACTGAGCTTTTCAATTCGCCTACGAGATTTTTCAGGTCTGACATTTCTGATTGCATTTTCCTCATTTCTGCCTTCAGATCCTCTTGTCTTCTATCGGCATTGGTTTCCATTGTTTCTTTTAATTCCCTAAGCATCCTAAGTAGCTCCCTTCTGAATTCCTTGTCAGAGAGGTTGTCTAACACTACAGTACTGTTGGTGTCATCTGGGCTAGACTCTTCAATATGAAAGTTTGGTGGGCTTTTGCGTTGCTTTACCATTGTGAGAGGTGTGGTTTAGTCCTTCACGTTCACTGTTACAATTCTGCTTGATATGCACTGTGAGTTAAGATAGGCTTATGAGTTATTGGCTACTGTGTTTCTAGTGGCTGAGATAAAATAGAGAAGTTTCCATCGAAGAAGGTAGCTTATGGTTCCTATGGCATATGTAGTGGGAAAATATTTCGCAGCCACGTTAGCGGCCGCGGCTCCAGAAAGAGTCCCTGGTACTGGGCGAGGAGTTGGGAACGTCTCCAGTTTGGAATTGGAGCCTTTCAGCTTTGTTGCCCAGAGCTGGGCCTCCGTGCCCGTCCCGCGCAGATCAGGGGTTGAAAACCGCTGTTTCTCTTATCTTTAAGCAGCTCATTCCTCTTTCCAAATTTTAGCTCTGACATCGACTTCTGTGAAAAATCAGTCTGAAATAGCTACACTTCACGTGAGCCAGCTTTAATTCTCTGCACAACATAATCTCTTTGTTCCCTAGTTGTTTGCATATTCCTTTAATTATTCCTTTATCTCCTCTCCACAAATAGTCCTGCAAGAGTAGAAAACTATTTAATTCATTTTAAATATATAACTTTTCTTAACCCATGATATATAAGATACATGCAAAATATAATGGTGAGCAAAACTAATGACTCTACTGAAGGTTGCCAAAATAATCAAAATAAACAGTAGTAAGATGAATCAGCATCCAATTTGTTATTTTTATATATTTTTATTGAATCACCATGAGATACAGTTACAAACCTTTCATGTTTGAGTTTCAGTCATACATTGGTCCCTCCACCAGTGCACATTTTCCACCACCAATGTCCCCGGTATCCTCTCCTCCCTCCCCATCCCCCTGCATCCTAATCCTCCCTCCTCCCTCTGTGGCAGACAATTTCCCCCATACTCTCTCTATACTTTGGGGCATTATGGTTTGAAAGACAGATACTTAGAGGCTATCACGTTTGGTCCTTGATCTACTTTCAGCTCACATGTCCCATCCTGAATGATCCCTCCAACCATCATTGTCTTAGTGATCCCTTCTCTATTCCAGCTGCCTTCTCTCCCAGTTTATGAGGCAGGCTTCCAACCATGGAGCAATATTCCTAGAGCTTGTGTTTACTGTCCTTGGGTGTCAATCTCATATTATGTTATTTCATATTTCAAAAGTGAGCGCAGTCATTCTATGTCTGTCCCTCTCTTTCTGACTCATTTCATTAGCATGATACTCTCCATGACCATCCACTTATAAGCAAATTTCATGACTTCATCTTTTCTAACAGCTACATAGTATTCCATGTCTAGATGTACCAAAGTTTGTTTTACCAGTTGTCTGTTCTCTGACACTTTGGGTTGTTTCCAGATTCTGGCTATTGTGAACAATGCTGCAATGAAAATACAGGTGTAAATGTCATTTTGCACCCTCAGGATATATTCCCAGAAGTGGTATTGCTGGGTAATATAGAAGCTCAATTTCTAGTTTTTGAAGGAATACCCATATTGTTTTCCCAAAAGTATGGGGCAGTCGGCATTCTCGCCAACAATGAAATAGACTCCATTTCTCCCCACATCCATGCCAGCACTGGTTGTTCTTGTTCTTTTTGATTTGTGCTAGTCTCTGTGGTATGAGATAATATCCCATTGTTTGTTTGATTTGCACTTCCCTGATCTTTAGCGATGTAGAGCATTTTTTCATGTGCATTTTGGCCATTTGTGTTTCTTTTTTGAGGAAGCTTCTGTTGATTTCTTCTCTCCAATTTTTTATGGGATCAGAGTTTTTTTCTTGTACAATTCTACTAGTGTCTTGTATATCCTGGATATTAACCCCTTAACAGGTGAGTATTGGGTAAATATTCCTTCCCATTTCATGGGCTCTCTCTGTATTTTGGTTGCTGTTTCTTTTAAGGTACAGAAGCTTCTTAGTTTAATGTAGTCCCATTTGTTTATGTTTGTTTCGACTTGCTTGGTCAGTGTTGTTTCATCCTTAAAGATGCTTTTAGTTTCAGTATTATGGAGGGTTATACCTACATTTTCCTCCATGTATCTTATGAATTCTGGTCTGATATTGGGGTCTTTAATCCACTTTGATCTGACTTTTGTGCCTGGCATTAAACAGCGGTCAGAGTTCATTGTTTTGCAGGTAGTTATCCAGTTTTCCCAGCACCACTAGTTGAAGAGGCATTCCTTGTTCCACTTCACATTTCTTGATTCTTTATCAAAGATTAAGTGATCATATATTTGAGAGTCTGTGGCAGTATATTCAACTCTGTTCCATTGGTCTGCGAGTCTGTTTACAGTCCAATACCATGCTGTTTTAATCACTACTGCTTTGTAGTACAGTTTGAAGTTGGGGAAGGTCATGCCCACCCATCTTCTTTTTCCCAAGGATCCAGCATCCAATTTGTAAGTGCCCTTGAGGGTGTAAACCTTGTCCTCACTGGGAAATTGAGGAAATGTTATAGGCAAGTCTGACTTTAGTAAGATCTGAGTAGTGAATGCGAGTTACCCAAACACATGAGGGACAACCCTTATTCTGACTCTGCGTCCAGGGTTTTGACTGGCCTATTCAATGCCTGGGGAAAAAAAGCAGGTGATGGCAACACATTCAGGGAGCCAACACAAGACTACATGTGTTGGCTACTAAAACTCTAAATGTAGATGTAAAGTTATAGAAAAAGATGGAATAGCTAGAACCAGATAAAGGAATTAGAGTGCCATAGCTAAGAGAGATGACTTAATGCCCCTGGAGCAGATGAGAATGGAAGGAGTCGAAAACAGAAAGTAGAAGTTGGCTAGCTTCAAAAGGAAAGAGAAAGAGACACAGACAGATAGGCAGACAGAGATTAAGAAGAAAAGTGCCTGTCACAGAGGCAGGCAGGTGGAGGGAGGGATGCTGGAAGGAAACTTGCGACATTGATGGTGAGAAATGTACACTGGTGAAGGGATGGGCATTGGAAAATTGTATGACTGAAACCCAATCATCGACAACTTTGTAACTGTATCTCACTGTGATACAATTAAAAAATTAATTAAAAAAAATAAATAGACCAGCTTTAAAAGTCACCAATAAAAGAAAGAGCCACAGTGGGGTGACTAAAACGTGGAAACTGATGATGAGGAGAAAAAGTCAGAATAGAGAATAGATGAATACCAAGAAGATATAAGTGGCCGCTGTATTAATTCTGCTGCAATGAGAAATGTGCCTTGAATTGTACATCAACAGTGTGTCTGTTGATGACCTTGAAACTGAAATGAGTCTGCGGCAGATCAAATGTGAGAAAGTGAACTTAAAACAGTACCATTGAAAAATACCCACCTGCCTGAAGATAAATTTTTGAGGCACTTGGGTTCATCCTGGCAACAAAAACAGTGAATATCATCATACAAAAAAATTAAAAATAAAAATATATATGGAAGAAAACAGACAAAATTATTCTATAAGTATTCCAATTTTTTTGTCCTATTTGAAAAACCCTCACTTATGTCATCCACGGTTATAGAAAGTCTTTAGATACCCAACCCTATGATAAATCATGCTCCCTCTCTAAGACTTACTATCTTGTGGATTTTTTTCTTGTCTTTCTCTGTATTCTGCAGAATAACAGACTAAGAAAATATGCCTTCGAGTTGAAAATGAATGACCTGACCTATTTTGTGCTGGCAGCTGAAACAGAGTCAGATATGGATGACTGGATCCACACCCTCAACCGCATCCTGCAGATCAGTCCCGAGGGGACCCTGCAGGGAAGAAGGAGCACAGAGCTCACAGAGCTGGGCCTGGGTGAGACCCCTGCACCCACCTCCCTTTATCTGCCTACTGTGACCTGTGGGGATTCGCTCATTTGAACTGCTCATAAGTGTGATAGCTGTCAGGTCGAGATCATTCATCTCAGAGCTACTGACTTTAGGAAATAACCCATCCATCTACTTTCGATAGTATGACTATGAGTATGATTTGCTGTTATGTTATAATGCATTAATGCATTATGCAATAACGTTGGGAATATTTTCATTTGTTTCAAATAGGTGTCTATATCTGACCTTACTTTAGAAGGGGTGTTTAGGGGACCATATGTGGTGCCAGGAATTGCCACATGTGAGGCAAACACCTGCTGTACTATTTTTCCAGCCCACAGAGTCTTTTATTTCTTAACAATCTATCATGCGCTATAAAATACTAAAGTCAGATACTAGTAAGGAAGAAATCCATAATTTATTTCAACATTATATAGATTATACACAAATACTATAAGTAAAGTAAGTAAAGGCCCTCCCGTTGATAGTCGATTTGCTCGAGCGGGCCCAGTAACGTCTCCATTGGAGACTTTGTTGTTACTGTGTCTGGCATATCAAATACTCTCGGTAGCTTGCCGGGCTCTCCGAGAGGGGCGGAGGAATCGAACTCGGGTCGGCCATGTTGGCCGCTTGTAAGGCGAACGCCCTACCCGCTATGCTATCGCTCCATACTATACATTTTTGATATATACTTATAGATGTTTTAGACTCACAACTTCCTTAAGTATAAGTTATGGGATTTACTAGACTATTAATGTACACAGAATCTCAATGACTGGAGTTTAAATGTATACATTGCATCAATGGCATGAAAGTCAGAATTCTCAAAAATATATAGACAAATGCATGCTGAAAGTAGACTATAGACTGAACATGATTGCCACTCAATGCCTCTTTTGAAAACCACAGCACCCAAAAGAGGAGAGAGAACAAAAGGGAATGCCCTGCCACAGAGGCAGGGTGGGATGGGGGGGATAGGGGGTGGGAGGGATACTGGGATCAGTGGTGGTGGAGAATGGACACTGGTGGAGGGATGGGTACTCGATCATTGTATAACTGAAAACCAAGCACAAAAATTTGTAAGTCTACAACTGAACCTCATGGTGTTTCACTAATAAAAATTTAAAATATATATATAGATAGACAAGAAAATTTCATACATACTGCACTCTACAGGAACAAGTTGGTATCATGTAAAGAATTCCAGGTCATCAGGAGATCTGATTTCCAGGTTTCAAATGTGAAGTTCTAGAGCCAGGGCAAATAAGGCCTGAATTTACCAGTCCTACACCCCTTTTGAATCTATCCCAATTCTGATATGGCATAGTCAGAGAAATTATGATCTATAAGTATCTTTAATAACTCATCTTGATGTATCTTTTCAAGATTCACTGGACAATTCTGTAGCTTGTGAATGCACAGCAGAGGAAACAGATTCTCCAGAGAACAGCCTGCACCCCGACTTCACAAAAGTAATAAAAATTAACATTTTATTATGCAAATAACTTTAAATTACTTAGTAACTTTTACTTTCTTGGAAAATATGGAAATGATTTCTTTTGAAGACTTAAGCTAAGAAACTCATTCAGAGCTTTCCAATAACTCAACACTCAAAAATAAAGGCACTTCTGAGTAGATTTTGTGAATAAAGCTATAGCAGTGATAATCCCATGGGCTAATTCTTGGCCATATTGTTATAGCTGGGATATAAGTTGTGGATGTTTAGATGACACAAACTAATACAGTTTTTCCTGTAGTACCTCATGGAAACAGAAGAGACTGTCAAAACAACTCGAAACATGGAAAGGCTAAATCTCTTCTCGCTGGATCCAGATATAGATGTAAGTCAGTACGTGTCTAAAAAGACATGAACTCAATCAGATGATTATGGTTTGACTAAGAAGTTATATATCATGGTGGTTGTTTCCTGAATAAAACTTTCAAAACTCTTTTTTAGACCTTGAAATTTCAGAAAAAGGATCTTTTGGAATCTGAGTTTGTGATCAAACCATTTGAAGAAAAAGCAGCCAAGAGAATCATGATCATTTGTAAAGCTCTGAACTTCAGCCTGCAGGGATGTGTTACAGAAAATGAAAATGATCCAATAACAAATGTAAGTTTCTCTTTCTCTTCTGTTATATTTTGTACCAGTTGACCAAGATCTTTCTACCCTAGTGAAGTCTTTTCTCATGGGAATAAATTCCAGCTCTAAGTATATACCATTTATATATCAGAAAGTATGACTGGAAACATTTTTCCATACTGAAAAGGTCTATTGTCAACACACTATTGTAAAATTGTCCTTTTAGTTTCAAAAAATATCAAAGAGACTGCACTCTAGAATTCATTCCATGAATCCAGCATGTGGATACAGAATTTCTTAAGGTGTTCTATTCTTTGTGGTACTTGAGGTACTTTGATACTGGTACACCTATTTTTATGTCTACTGGATAATAGCTAAAACTAACAAATCAACCATGTGCTCTCATAGCTATAGCTAGTTAAGAAGAGGCTAAAGTGTTAATCAAGTATAATTATATTAAATGAGTGTTAATTACATAGTACAACAGTGGGTACGTGTGCAGAAAAGTTCTATTCTATGAGTTTGGGGAAATACCACAGTGATAATTAAATCAATACAAGATTCCTTTTTCTCCTAAATGGGTTCTCTTGAAATTCTCTATTAGGAAAATATTCTAGCTGCAAATGTATGTGTGGGAGGGGGATATTTTATGAACATGTATACACTACTAAGAAAAATAATCCTACATTTGTAAAAATCACTATATTGGCTTATTTCTTTTTATTTTTAATGCATTTTATTCTTATTTCCAATTAACCATCCCATTAATTTTTTTAATTTTTATTATTGAAACACCATGAAGTTCATTTGTAGACTTACAAATTTTTGTGCTTCGGTTTCAATTACACCAATGATCGAGTACATCCCTCCACCAGTACCCATTTTCCACCATTTTTATTTATTTATTTATTTATTTTGCAGAATTGTAAAACTTTTTTTTTTCTTTCACTGCAGAGTATTGTAGCACTGTAGCATTGTCGTCCCATTGTTCATCAATTTGCTCGAGCGGGCACCAGTAGCATCTTCATTGTGAGACTTGTTGTTACTGTGTTTGGCATATTGAATACATCACGGGTAGCTTGCCAGGCGGGCAAGATGCTCTCTCGGTAGCCTGCCAGGCTCTCCAAGAAGGGTGGAGGAATCGAACTCAGGTTGGCTGGGCCAGCTGCGTGCAAGGCAAAGGCCCTCCCGCTGTGCTATCGCTCCAGCCTTCACTACAGAGAAGAGAGCTTATTTCTAAATCAATGACACGACCCCCATTTACTTAGAAAGTAGAAATATCACCATCTGTGCTGTATGTGCCTGCTTCTGTTTGCGATGTACAAGTATGAATTTGAGTCTTCAGGCACCTCCCTGATCTCTGAGTTCCTCCCCGCCACCCCCTGCCCACTCAATATATTAGCTGGATACCTTGGTACCTGCTGTGGACCGCAGACTTAATGAGCATCATTTTCCCCACTTTCCCACTAAGGAGTTCTTCCATGCTGGGCAAGCAGTTTCCTCTAAACGTTCTTCTATAAATGGAAATTATAGTAACAGTAATTATCTCAAATATTCATTCTGAATAATAAATGTGGTAATTTAAGGAAAGCAATTAGGCAGCACTTTGGTACATGATAAGTATTCCTTAAATATTGACTGTTATTCTAATATGGGTGAAATTGCTTTGAAATTTGTAAATGCATGCAAGTATTGTTATTTTCATGTTGCATATGGTCCCCGAGAACCATGAAGAGAAATTCCTGAGTGCACAGTCAGAATAACCTCTGAGCATTGCTGGGTGTGGCCTAACCCCTACTCCACCTACCCCCAAATAGTAAATCAACAAGACCTTTTTGCACTGTGTAGAGGTCTTTATAGTGAATCAACAGAGATGTTAAAGGAACCAGAAGAAGTGGTATAGAGAGGGTAATTGTCTTGGGAAGTACCTTTGAGGTAGTAATATTTGAATACAGACCCAAATATTGGGAAGGATGAAAAGTCAGAGAAGAGAAACTAGTCTACTTGCAGAAGAAAGAGCAAGTGAAAATGCCCTGAGATTGATACATCTGGGCAAGTTCCAGGATCTTAAGGGAGATAAGATACTAAAGGAGAGATCAGTCCAAAGAGTGGTGGGAGAAACCGTACGAAAGAGTTTAGATCTATTCAGGTGTGAATGGAAGCAAAACGATGCTGATTTCTGATTTTAAAAAATATCCTGTCAGAATGGATAGAAGGGGGAAATAACTGATGAAGAAAATCAGGGAAAATCAAGAAGAACAGCTCAATGGCAGCTACAATTCACTGCATCTCTTGACTAGAGTTGGCAAAGAAAAGGCAAGAAATGAATGGAGTTGATTTTCTTATACATTGAACTGTCATGGGGTAGATATTCAAAAGGAAATGCTAGGTCATAAGGTAGCTGTAGGATAACATTGGTTTGTCCTATCTACCTGCCCCTGGCCACAGGAAGCTTGGATTTATTGGGTTACACCATTCACAGTGCTCCTGAGGTACTCCTATTCCTCTGTGTTGATCTTTAACTTCTCTGTGCTCTCTTCCTCAACCGGTTAATCACCTATTTCTCCTGTGACTTGTAAAGTCAAAATCTTCATTTGTAAGTGAAATATTGTTTTCTCCTTCCCTTGTGTCCTTTTCTAGTTTACTTAGAACAATGTCTTTTTTGTATAGACACAGGAAGACGGTTAATGCTATGCTTTTGTAACTTGGGAGTTAATTGACTCTGAAAACTATTTACTTCTGGGCATCTCTCATATTTTATCAACTTAAGCCTCAGTTGCCTTTAGTTCCTAGCACCCCAGAAGCAGGGTCCCGACAAAGGGACTGGAATGGACCCAGGGCAAGCTGTGAGCTACCGTGGCATTGAAATGGGCCAAGCATCATAAAATTTAACTATAAGTTTATAGCACTGTCATGGACAAATTCTGTCATGATCCAAAGAGAAGCAACTGGGCAAGGACCCTCACCCTGCTTAGGGTTAGGAAAAGCTCATCTGGACTGAGCACCATAGTCTGGGATCTATAGTGATATGTCCCCAGGAAAGCCACTCTGTAAGCTTAATGTATCTCTTACTGTGTCCATACAAAATGACTAATATTATTAAGAAGTAGAATTTAGGAAGGAAGGCAGGAAGGCAGGAAGGCAGGCAGGGAGGGAGGGAGGGAGGGAGGGAGGGAGGGAGGGAGGGAGGAGGGAGGGAGGGGATAAAAATACTAATGTGATCCCTCACCTAAACCCAATCTCTTAAGCTACAAAACATTTTTAATGACTTTTCTTTGTTGATATAAACTGTTTTCTACAGTTACATTTTGTAGGCTTGTATAGATGCTTTATCACTAATTCAACCATTTTCCCAAGTTTGTGAGGATTCAACTACTGCATTTAATGAATGAGCATCTAAAGAGACTCCTTTAAAAGTACTTTCTTATGATAAAGAAACAATATTTGACAGCAAATAATTTTTCAGTCAGTAAACTGAAAACCAAATTCTACCCTGTTGACTTTATAGAAGAAAAAATGTGTTTGAATTAAGTCAAAAAATGCTACGTAATAAAGCAGCTTCACAGCAGAGCTGCATTTAAACTTTCATGTTCTTTCATTTTCTAAGAATACAGGATTCTAAACATAAAAAGCCTATGATTCAATTTGCTAAGCTTTCAAAGTATTTTATTAAACTAATACCTGTGAAAATCCAGTTATTCAAAAAGTAGGATTTAAAAAAAAAGTAGGATTTGACATTTTAGTTGAAAAGTTGGGTTGGAAAAAATAAATGAATCTCCACATGGGCTTTAATTTCTGGTGGATTACCAAAGAAAGGTAGTTTATTTCCATTCAATAAGCAGGACTCAAAAAATCAACATATAGCAATGGAGGAAAACAATAAATTCTTACTTTGACCTTCAGTATGTCTTAAGTGCTTTCCTGAGTTATTTTTGCAATTTCTGCCTTTTTCCAATTCTTTAGAAACTATCAGTATTGTAAACTAAGTTTTCTAAACTAAATTAAACTGGTAAAATATTTTTAAATGTTTAATTTTTAAAAAATAGCAGTGTATTTATATTCTTGTCTTTTTTTGCTTGTTTTTGAGTTGTTTCCTGCCAAGAATCTATGGTATCTCCTGGAGTTAGCAAATACTGCTAGTAATAAAGAATCAAATTATTACCCCAATTATAAACCTGGTCTTTTTGTTAGATTAAAAAGAAGAAACACTTATTAAGCATTCAGTAAAATATTTAGTATTATTCTTCATAATAGTTAATGGTGTCATAATGTGACTTTGTGGATAACCTACTTGTCCACAGAACACTGGTAGATGATAGGCATGAGCTGAAAAGTTAAGTTCATAAACAAAAGTAAATTATCAGTTTTTAGCATATTTCATAATTAGAAGCGTGTAATTAGTTGCCTATATATTTGATAATGTATATACATCTAGTAATATATGCTTAAAGTAAATGCTTATTTCAGTCATTGTTTTAATCTGGGTTGCATTTCATGTTTTCTAGTTGAAGATTAATTCTCCCTGGATTCTACTTCAATTTCTGCAATAACTCTACAGTATCTTAAGAGTTTTTTTTAAAATCACTCTTCAGGGATGGGGAGATAGTACAGTAGTAGGATGCTTGCCTTGCTTGCAGCTGACCTGGGTTCAATCCCTGGCACCCCATATGATCCCCTCAGCACTGCCAGGAGTGATTCCTGAGTGCAGAGCCAGAAGTAATCCCTGAGCATCGCTGGGTATGGCCACAAAACCAAACATAACAACAAATTCACTCTTCATTTCCCAATGTTTGTAGGGTGTTTTCTTTCTCCCATTTCTATTCTTTCCATGTTAATGATGATACTTTGGATACCATTTTTCCCCATTTGGCTCATGGTTTAGGAAAGAATCCACAACCAGTAACCTGACAAAGTTGGTGAGAGAGGTCCAAAACTGTGACTCAGTAATAGAACACCTGCCTTACCTGCAGATATGAGCCCTCGGTTCAGTCACTAACCACACACACACACACACACACACACACACACACACACACACACACACAAAGCTAAGCAAACAATCTGTTAGAGCCGTATGTCCAGCTCCAAATTTGTCTTGGTCTCTTTATCCTTTACATTTTACATGTTTATACCATTAACATCCATATCAATTCCTATAACCACAAAGCCTGGTAAATTGATGTTTTTCCATGACCCGATAATTTTTTCTTTTCAATCAACTGGTACATATGCAGTTAATTTCCATTTCTCATGGTACTGAACAAACTCATTCTAAACTTTTTTTTGCCTCCACTCTGATCTCATTCTAATATTCTGAACTGTGAGGATTGGGTAATTTTTCTGGCTTTTTGTTTGTTTTTGTCTGTTTTGAAGCCACATCCAATAATGTTCGGGGCTTACTCCGGGCTCTGAACTCAGGGGTAACTCTAGACGGGCCCAGGGGATCTAGCAAGGAGTCAGGGGTCGAATCCAGGTCTGCAGTGTGCAAGGCAAGTGTCCTACCCACTGTATTATCGCTCCAGCTCCTGATCCTATGTTTTCTTTTATGTCTTTGCTTATGTTAGTCTCCTACCATCAGCCTCTTGGGACCATTTCTTGAACTAATTTATACTTCTGCTTCAAAACTCAGCCTAGACACTTTCTATTTTCTTTCCATCTTCTCTTTACTTTAGAGCACATGTTTCTCTTCATTTCTTTCCAGTGGCAATGGGATGAAGATACCTAGAAATTTTTATTGGGTGGGCACCCTAAAACTCCAAACAGGGTGGCAGAGGAAGATAGATTAAGACAATATAGAAGCACAGAGGTGGTGTGTGTCCTTTGCCTCATTAAGACATAGCTGGCTGGGCAGGATGGCACCCAGGAGGAATTAGAGAAGATACCTCTGTGGGTTGGATGCTGCTTAATTTGACAGTAAGTTGATGGATGAAGGCAATAAATTAATGATATTGGAAATGGAGGTACCAACATGAACTCATGATGTTTTAAAATAAATATTCTTATACAGGTAGGATGAAGAAATAACTGTATGTGTATGCACATAGATGAATATGTATTTATGGACATATTTACATGCATGTGTGTACATCCCAGTAAAGTGAACACAATAATCCCCTGAAGTTTGGTTTCCGCATGTCACTCTTACTTTAAGGAACTGGCACTGTTTGGAGAACTGTCTGGGGTGTGGAAAAGGTAAAAAATGCTCAACAAAAAGGACCCTTCCATAAAGACACCAGAGCTACTTAGAAGGGTATCATCAGGACAGGAGGATTGCTCCATCACGTGCAAAGGGGAGAAGGCAGCTGAAATAAAAAAGGGATCACTAAGAAAAAGATGGCTGGAGGAATCAGTCAGGATGGGAGATGTGTGCTGAAAGTAGATAATGGCCCAAACATTATAACCTCTCAGTATCTGCATTACAAACCATAATACCCAAAAGTAGAGAGAGAGTATGGGGAATATTGTCTGCCGTGGAGGCAGGGGGAGGGTGGGAAAAGGGGGATATTGGTGGTGGGGAATGTGCACTGGTGGAGGGATGGGTGTTTGATCATTGTGTGATCCAAACATGAAAGCTTGTAACTATCTCATGGTCTCACGGTGATTCAATAAAATTAAAAATAAATAAATTATTCTCTAGACAAAATAAAAAGAAGGGTGTCATACTAGCCAAACCTGACTCTGATTTTTGTTTTTGTTTTGGGGGCACACTTGGTGGTATTCAGGGGTAATTCCTGTCTCTGCCTTTAGGAATCAGTATTATCAGTGCTCAGGGGACCATATGGGATGTCAGGGACCAAGCCCAGGTTGGCTGCATGTAAAGCAAGCACCTTACCCACTGTATTATTTTTTCAGACTGACTCAATTTGAGGATCACTTAATTTATGATAGTAAGACATTGAAATCTATTCAATAAACAACTCACTATCCTATACATAAATTTAAAAATAAATAAGTGAGATAGAAGGGAACACTCATTGTTATGGTAAAATACAAATAAATGAAGGTAGAATGATGAAATCATAAAATCACCAATGGTAGCCATCACAGCAGTCATTGATTCCAGAAGGTGTTGTCAAGGTAAGTTCATTTTTACGAGTAGCAGAATACTGGGGCAGTCTCAGACTATGTATGAAAAAGTTCTTATCACTTATGAACAGGACAGTGTTAGTTTAAGATGGGACAAAACGGGCAGATAGCAACATGACCTGAGTGTGAAAGATAGCATCAGAGGTGGCGAGCCAGTTGACTCTGTGCTCTTATACAATAGAATATGAAAACCAAACATCAGTCTAGACTATTACTGTAAATTACACATGATTCAAGTGGATCATGATGTACAACTGAAGTGGCAGGTATTTCCTGGGAGTGTCAGGTAAATTACTAGATGGTGTCATAAAACAAAGTCACCATGGATTATATTATATAAAGAGAATATTTGGCAGAAAAACTAGAATGAAAGAACTAATGAAATACAGTGCAGGATTTGAATCATCTTCTGGATAAAAATAATCTGGTAACTTTCTCATTAATATTATGTTAAATATATAATTATATTTTATATAACATATATTATAATTTTATATATGATTGTTATAGAATGCTAACTATAATATTGTCACTGTCCTGTAGCACTGTCCTCCTGTTGTTCATTGATTTGCTCAAGAGGGCACCAGTAACATCTCCATTGTGAGACTTGTTACTATTTTTGGCATATCGAATGCACCACAGGGAGCTTGCCAGGCTCTGCCATTCGGGCAGGATACTCTTGGTAGTTTTCCAGGCTCTCCAAAAAGGATGGAGGAATCGAACCTGGGTCAGCCGCATGCAAGGCAAATGCCCTACCCACTGTGCTATCACTCCAGCCCAACTATAATAGTATAATGTATAATACTCTATTACAGTATTACAACAGAAATACTTTTAAATTATAAAAGCATACTTTATAAAGATACAACATTACATATTATAAACAGAATATACCTGCACATAAAATGATGTATATTCTATAGATTCTAGATATAGAATCTATATAAGCATTCAAGTGGTATTTTGTGTGCTTTATTTAAGAATTGACTAATGAGACTTGAGCTGGGAGAAACTCAAAGGGCTGGAGCACATGTCTGGCATGCACTAGACTCCAAATTCAAACCCCAGCACCACATGTCTCTGAGCATTGCTGGGGTGATGCTGGTGGTCTGCAAGTATGCCCTGGAGTAGCCTTGATGGCCCCCGGCAACTCCAGGTCCAAGCACCACCTAATCTCAGGTCCTTGTGCTCTTTGGCCCAAGGACTGAGTATTGCTTAGCGTGGCCCCTGGGGCCCCTGCTACTTGGGAGTCCCTCAAATAATAGTAATAGTAATTGCACTACTGTGACTATTAAATGTGTAATGATTTTGTGTCAAAGCCAATTATTATTTTCTATTTCCACAGATTGAGCCCTTTTTTGTGAGTGTAGCACTTTATGACCTCAGAGACAGCAGGAAGATTTCTGCGGATTTCCACGTGGATCTGAACCACACAGCTGTCAGGCAGATGCTCCCAGGGGCTCCTGTAACTCTGGAAAATGGAAACATTGAGAGTTTCAGCCCCAGACAATCAGAAGAACCTCATGTCAAAGGATTTCCGGAAGAATGGCTGAAGTTTCCAAAACAGGTTGCACTTTGACTTGCTAGGGAGAGAAAACACTTGTTCCGTTGCTCTTACTAACAGATATATAATATGAGCCATTCTCCAAATAAAAGCACCCTTAAAGCAATTTATTATAAAAGTTGGAGTTTTGTAAAGTCCCCTTTGTCCCTTTGAACGCATGATGTTTTAAAATAAATATTAAAGCATTTTTAAATTTTTTAAATAAATATTCTTGTACAGATTCATAAAATTAATAAAGGCATTAATTGTAGTTTGCTGAATGCTTAGAACTATTTTCTTTGTTCATAGGCTATCTTTTCTGTAAGCAATCCACATTCTGAAATTGTTCTGGTGGCCAAAATAGAAAAAGTGCTGATGGGAAGTATTACCAGTGGTGCTGAGCCTTACATCAAGAATCCAGACTCCAACAAGGTAACACAAAATTCCATTAAGAACCATGGAAAGTATGTAACCACACTGTAAATCCAAATACTTCAATCAATATGGTTTTTAGATAATTCAGGGACTCAAAAAGTGAAAAATATATATATTTCTAAGGGAACATATCTACCAGAAAAAATTTTAAAGTGCATGTTGTTGGCATTTGGTTCTAGAAAATTCTGATTTCTGGACATCTTTGAAGCAGAATAAATTTAATTGCAGATAAGACTCTAACCTCAAGAATCAAAATATTAGTAATAGTAAAAACAAATAGCATTAATCTGACTGAAAACAAGGGAATGCAATTTACTAAGACATCAGCAAGGCTTATAATGAATTAAGAATTAAAGTTGGTAATTAATTACATATCAAATTAGGATAACTCCAAAGTGGAAAAAAGGAAAGAAAAAGTGAGCAGTATAAGTTCTTCGTTGGTGGATCTATGTTTAATGTTTGTTTGTTTTCTTTTTTGGAGTCAATTTCTTTAATAATTGAATGTTTCTGTTTTATATAAAATAAATATAAAACTATCATGCTGAGTAAGGCTAGAGCGATAGCACAGCAGTAGGGCATTTGCTTTGTGCGCAGCCAGCCTGGCCGAGCCGGATTCGATACCTCCGCCCCTCTCAGAGAGCCCGGCAAGCAACCAAGAGTATCTCACCTGCACGGCAAAACCTGGCAAGCTACCCGTGATGTATTCGATATGCCAAACACAGTAACATCAAGTCTCAAAATGGAGACATTGCTGGGCCCGCTCGAGCAAATCAATGAACAACAGGACAGTTTTTTTTGTTTTATCATGCTGAGTGATTTGCTCGAGCGGGCCCAGTAACGTCTCCATTGGAGACTTTTTTTGTTGTTACTGTGTCTGGCATATCGAATACTCTCAGTAGCTTGCCGGGCTCTCCGAGAGGGGCGGAGGAATCGAACTCGGGTCGGCCATGTTGGCTATGTGCAAGGCAGATGCCCTACCGCTGTGCTATCGCTCCAGCCCAAATCCTAATGTTACTTTTACTTACTTACTTTACATGCTGAGTGAAATTAGTCAAAAGGAGAGGGACAGTTATAGAATGACTGCATTCATTTGTGGATATAAAAATAATAGTAGGAGACTAATATCCAAGGCTAGGGAAAACAGGGGCCAGGAGGATTGGTGAGTGGTTCAATGGCTGGAAATTACCACAAATGGGGCGGGGGGGGGGGGGCGGCGAAAGGTAGTTAAAATAGAGGAAGGTCTAGTATAACAACTGTAGTTGGAAATGATCACTCTGAACAAGAACTGAGTGTTGAAAGTAGGTAAAGGGATAAACATGATATATATGATGACCTTTCAGTCTCTGTGTTGCAAACCATAATGTTCAAAATGAGAGAGAGAGAGAGAGAGAGAGAGAGAGAGAGAGGAGAATTTCCTGCCATAAAGGCAGGATGAAGTGGGAGGAAGTTGGGAATGGTAGGAGGGAAACCAGGGACATTGGTGGTAGGAAATGTACACTGGTGGAGGCATAGGTGTTGGAACTTTTTATGACTGAAACCCAATCATGAATAGCTTGTAATGCTCTAAAAAATCTTTTAAATATAAATAAATAAATATAAAATCATTACATTTTTATAATGAAAATGTATTATATAAATAATCCATAATAACTGAATTTAATTATATATGCCAGTTTCAGAAGAAGTTCTTGTATGTTCAAGTCATTCAGTGTTCTGCCCATTACGGTTTGAGACCAAATCCAGCCTGCCATCTGTTTTTCTAAAGAAAGTTTTGTTAAGACACAGTAACATTCATTCATTTATAGATTTTGAGAGGCCTTTTTGTAGAAGCAACAGATTTGAGAAGCTGTAGCAGAAACTTCTATACCTGAAAAGCTCAAAGTAGATGCACTATGACTCTTTATTCAATAAGATGTTCAACCTCTGCCTAGTGAATACTAGGAAATAGAAGAGTTGGTGATGCAAAGTTGATGACACTTTCCATTTAAGAATCTAAAATCTTTCAAACAGAAAATAAGCGGCAACAAAGCTAATATTCTGAGACAAGAGTATTTTCCACATTTGAAATTTCCCAATTAAAAGGGAAGAACAACATCATACAGTGGTTTGGACACAGAGAATATCACTTGGCTCTTCATGAGGTCAGGCCCCTGAGCTGAAAGGCAGAGTTCCAGAATCAATTTCCATATAAATATTGAAAGGTTTTATATTATCTCATAATGTTTATAAAATGAGAGGGTAACGATATTTTCTTATTTTTTCCATAGTATGCACAAAAGATATTAAAGTCCAACAGGCAGTTCTGCAGCAAGTTGGGGAAGTACCGTATGCCGTTTGCTTGGGCAGTGAGGTAGGTTGACAATTTAAACCAATAGAAAAGAGGCTGGGAATGAGGCTCTGTGGTAGAGAATTTTTCTTTCATGTGTGTGACCCCAGGTTAGATCCCAAGTCAGAGGTAGAACAGCGATTAAGATGCTTTCCTTGCATAGAGTTCTATCTTAGGTATTACATATGGTACCCAAGTACTATCAGAAGTAATCCCTGAGCATAGAACTATGACTAATCCCTGAGCACTGCAGACTGTGCTCCTGCCCTCATAAAAAATAATTAATCTATTATTGAAAGAACCTGAGCTGTTAGAGGGAAAAGTGAATCCTGCAAGTGTTGTACCAAAAGCTGCTGCAAGAAAGACAGTGAAGTGTCTAGAAAAGATGACAGCATTACTGAATATTGGAATAAATGAATGTAGGACAAGCAAAAAAAGAGCCACAAGCTCCTGCTGTATTCATCCTAACCAACCATCCTTGTTGGTTTGGTATATTATATATATATATATAAACTTATATTCATCTATTTATAAACACATATATATTCATCTATAGAAACAGATAAATTATATTTGCATAATTACCTCTAGCAACAGAAGATAATTTACAGCTCTGAAGGATTCAAGTTAGCTCACTTGAATTAATTAATAAATAAAATATGCAAGATGTGGGGCTAAGAAATAGTATAGCAGTTAGCACTAACCAGGGTGTGGTTGACCCAGGTCCACAGTTGACACCACATGACCTTCAGAATGTTACCAGGAATAACTCCAGAGGCCCTGAGCACACTGGTGGCCCCAATATCACAGGGCTCTCGTAATACTACATCATTGGACTCTTAAATTTAACCCCAGTCAAAACAACAATGAGAGACCATCTCACACCACAGAGACTGGCCCACATCCAAAAGAACAAAAGCAAGCAGTGTTGGCACGAATGTGGCGAAAAAGGGACCCTCCTTCACTGCTGGTGGAAATGCTGACTGGTTCAGCCCTTTTGGAAAACAATATAGATGATTCTCAAAAAAATTAGAAATTGAGCTCCCACTTGATCCAGCAATACAACTCCTGGGAATATATGCCAGAGAGGCAAAAAAGTACAGTTGAAATGAAATCTGCAGTTCTATATTCATTGCTGCACTGTTCACAATCTGGAAAAAACCTAAGTACCCAAGAACAGATGACTGGTTAAAGAAACTTTGGTACATCTACACAATGGAATACTACGCAGCTCTTAGAAAAGATGAAGTCATGAAATCTACATACAAGTGGTACTACATGGAAAGTATCATGCTAAGTGAAATGAGTTAGAAAGATTGCATTCTTCTGGGGAATATAAAGTAACAAAATAGGAGACTAACATCCAAGAATAGTCGAGATAAGTACCAAGGGGTTCACTCCATGGCTTGGAGGCCAGCCGCACATGCTAGGGGAAAAGGCAGCTCAGATACAGAAGGGAACACCAAGTAAAGTGTGTTGGGAGGATCCTCCCAGGATAGGAGATGCATGCTAAAAGTAGACTATAGACCAAACATGATTGCCACTCAATCAACCACAGCACCCAAAAGGAGAGAGAACAAAAGGGAATGCCCTGTCACAGAGGCAGGGTGGAATGAGGGGGTGGGGAGGAGGGATACTGAGATCATTGGTGGTGGAGAATGGGCACTGGTGGGGGGCTGGGTACTCGATCATTGTATAACTGGAACCCAAGCACAAAAACTTGTAAGTCTACAACTGCACCTCATGGTGTTTCACTAATAAAAATTAAAAAAAAAAATTTTAACCCCACTTACTGGAGCGATAGCACAGCAGTAGGGCGTTTGCCTTACAAGCGGCCAACATGGCCGACCCGAGTTCGATTCCTCTGCCCCTCTCGGAGAGCCCGGCAAGCTACCCTTGACGTATTCGATATGCCAAACACAGTAACAAGTCTCATGATGGAGACGTTACTGGGCCCACTCGAGCAAATCGATGAACAACGGGAGGACCATACGATCGTACTACTACAACCCCACTTAGCCAAGAATCATTAGAGTGGCTTTCAGTCCCCCTGAGCACTGTTTTGGAGCAGTCCTCAGAAGTAATACAAGATATGACTAAAGAAAACTCTAATATTCTTGTCCAAGTTGATAATTCTCTCAAATTAATGGTACCTGAACCTAAGGCAGACTCACAGTTACTTGCATCATTCTGACATAAGCTGGCCTCCTTACATAGCTCCATAACCTATGGATACTATGATCTTCTTTCCTTTTCTTTCTGTTCTGTTTCCTAGACTGCCATTTGATTCAAAGTACACTTGCGAGTGTACCCAAACCACATTGACCCTGAAAATCAGCTGCCAGTGGGAAAAACAAGTATTTTGCAAGAATAAACACATGTAGTGTATTGCCAGCCCATATCACTCTTTTTGTCTGGTCCTGTTCATTCTATCCCAGATATTTGTTACTTTAAACATTTTATCTGAAGTTAACTTAGTGCATTTTCTGTTGTTTTTCTTTGAACCAATTGTAATGTCAATATGCAGCAAAAAAAAGTTATCCTTCATGTTAACATATATCTAGATGTCTTCCTAGATGTTTGAATGCTTTAATTTGAGAAAACCAATCTTTACTAACATACCATGTCATTCAATCAAACTCTGGAAAAACAGTATCATATATGCCTCATTTTCTGGTGGGGCTCTTTTATTTATTTTATTTGGTGTCATAACAACACACAGTGCTAGATTTTAGTTAGAATCAATAAAATTCAAAATGTGTTCATGGAAGATGCAGAGTGAAATTATCTAAGGGGCTCTTGGTGACAATGAGTGGGTTATCTTGATCTCTGGTTGAATTCTTTCAGTGACAAAAACTCAAATACATCCCATAATGACTCCTTCTCTATCTTATTTGCAACTTACAAATTAGGTAATTTTATCATATTTTAAGCTGTCTGACCACCATTTCTGTGTTTTATTTTTCACTGCCCCAAAAGATGTGTCAAATTATCTCTCTACATCCTAAGTACTCAAGTCAAAGAGACAACTCAAAGGGCTGGAGAACATGCTTTGTATTTCAGAGGACTGGGCTCCACCATCAGCACTGCATGGTCCCCTGAGCACTCCTACAGAGTGAACCCCACCCCCAGAACTAAGTCTCTGAGTCCTGCCAGATATGGCCCCCAAAACCAAACAAAAAGTATATCCCGAATAGTCATGATGTTTATAACTAAAGTTCTACATTTCCTTTAGGCCGAACACAATTTCCTCCTATCCCAAATGTATGATCTTAGACCCTCCATAACAGACTGATTATGGTCAACTGTGGCCACTGGAACTGGAAAATGTCCAGGCCTTCTGGAAACTGTCTGTGAAATAAGTTCCATCAATACTCTCATGCCTGTGCACATGATCTTGAGCCACTGAAGGTGTCAGACACTGGGAAGAGCATCCTCCAAGAGGCTGTGCTCTACATTCTCTTCCCAGTATATCCAGCAACGTTTTCCAGGGAAGAACCACAAATATGAGCCCCACGATTAACATTAATCACTATATTTGCTTTATTAAAATTTAGATTTATTTGGGATGGGTTATGTGCCACATTTGGCAGTGCTCAGGGCTTTCGCCTGGCTCCAGACTCCCAGGGGCTCATATGTGGTGCTAGAAATAGAACCCAGGTCAGCAGGGTACAAGGCAAACACATTACCCGCTATACTATCTCTCAGACCACCATTCAATACATTTTAAGTGACTGGTCAATTGAATCATTTCTCAAGCTCTCTTTAACTTCCTGTCATGTTGGCTTTAACAGTCACACACTCAAACAAAATCCTTACATAATACATAAAAATAACCTTCAAGTTAAATATCTTCATTTTCTTTCCCCAGTGTTATATAATAAGGCAACTTTTTTCATTAGTACTCAGGACCTACTCCTCACTCTGTGCTCAGGGATCACCACTAGTAGTGCTCAGGAACCATATGTGGTGACCGAGACTGAACTAAGTTCAGCCATATACAAGGCAAGTACCTGTCCTATCTCTTCAATGAAACTTTTTTCTATTCTTAGTGTATAACAGAGAAAATTAAGAGAAAATCTGAAGAAATCTAAAAAGAACCACTCCGATCAATTACTGGCCCATGTTTCTAGAATATTTAACACTAAATATTATCTGGTGAGATAAGATATTCATTTAAATTACCATTTTAGCCTCTGTATTGAAACCATCAGTTAAAGATTTATAACATCCTTAAATAAAAAGAAAGAAAACAATTGATAATTCTCTAACATTAAAGAAAAATTAATTACATGAAGGTCAAATTTCTCTTTCATGGACACAGAGAGACTGGCACACATCCAAAAGAACAAAAGCAATCGGTGTTGGCATGGATGTGGGAAGAAAGGGACTCTCCTTCACTGCTGATGGGAATGACAACTGGTCCACCCTTTTTGGAAAACAATATGGACATTTCTCAAAAAAACTAGAAATTGAGCTCCCATTTGACCCAGTAATACCACTTCTGGGAATATTTCCTGGAGATGCAAAAAAAAATAACCAATAGAATGACATCTGCACTTCTGTGTTTATTGTAGCACTATTTACAATAGCCATAATATGGAAAAAAACCCAAGTGCCTGAGAACCGATGACTGGTTAAAGAAATTTTGGTACATCTGTACAGTGGAACACTGTACATCTGTTAAAAAAGATAAAATCATGAAATTTTCATATAAGTGGATCAACATGGAGAGTATCATGCTAAGTGAAATGAGTGAGAGAGAGGGACAGAAAGAATGACTGCACTCATTTGTGGAATATAAAGTAACATAATGGGAGACTAACACCCAAGGACAGTAGAGATAAGAGCCAGGAGGATCACTCCACGTCTTGGAAGCCAGCCTCACGTGTTGGGGGAGGAAGCCTGGAATAGAGAAGTGTAATTATGTAATAATTACATCATCACTAAGTAAATGATACTTGGAGAGCTCGCTTGGGATGGGAAATGCGTGCTGAAAGTAGACTATGGACCAAATATGATGGCCACTTAGTACCTGTATTACAAACCATAACACCCAAAAGAAGAAAGAGGTAATGTGCCTGCCACAGAGGCATGGAGGGGTGGGGTGAGAGTGGTGGGAGGGATATTGATAACATTGGTGGTGGAGAATGGGCACTAGTGGAGGAATGGGTACTCAATCATTTTATGTCTAAAATCACAAAAGTTTGTAAGTCTGTTACTATATCTCACGGTGATTCATTAAAAACAAAAGAATAAAAAAAAGAGTATGATGAATTATGAAGGAGAAAAATGGCCTTTAAGCAACTCCATATACAATATCCAATCACAGCCTGAAAAAAATATTCTTTTCTTTCAGATCAGTATTTAAAGACAACCAGGGAAATGTGGACAGAGACTCAAGATTTTCACCACTGTATAGACAAGAAAGCAGCAAGATTTCAGCAGAGGACCTACTTAAGCTCGTGTCAGACTATAGAAGGTAGGAACTTTTTAGATTCTCTTGAAATGAGCTTAAGCCAGTTACACACTCAGGATTTATTAATCTACACCAATATCTGATTACCTGACTCTCAGATGTCCAAACTCTCTGAGAAAGCAAATGCTTTCCAGGTGATTTTATGGTTGTGTTCACAGATGTCACATGGTCACCTGGCCAGAATTGTGTGGAAGGAGAGTAGAACATCAAACTTTGTCAGTTATTTCCTACTTTTGTAGGAATAGTTTTCCCCCACTCCCACTCCCATTGCCCCTAAAGTTTAGTGGCTTAAAATAGCACCTTCGATTATTTAATGCTTGAGTCCACAGTTAGGCTAAGCAAGAAAGTTTGTCACTTCCACACATGGTGGTGGCTGGCTTGCCACAGCATGGAGAGAGGTCCCACCTGCAGAGGGCTTGTGTCATGAAGGCCAAGCTGGGGTTCACAGTTGACAGGGACCTTTGCTAGAACTGGAGGCTATATCGTGCTGCTTCTTCCTGGGAGAGTATCCATGAGATCTATTGGAGTTTTTGTGTTACAGTGATGGGACTAAGATTTCTGTTCCCACAGAACAGAAACTAGACACTCCACTGAATTAACTGTCATGGTGCCCTTTCTTCCACCTCACATTGTCAAGTTGACACAGAGCCTAGATTAGAAGACCACTTAGAGACCTTTGAGTTGGACAGTTAAGGAATTTCAAACCACATCTTGAAACTCTGCAGGCAAGTAATTTCTGTAGACAATAATCTGTGCCATCACTCTCCTTCAGATACTTTAGAAAATATGATGGAAATTAGTGCTAATAGAAGAAACATTTAGAAGCCACAGTATTTTAAAAATAAATCATTGAGACTGGAAAGAGAACTTGGTGGGCTGGCGTATACGCTTTGCATGCTGGAGGCTGGGGTTCAGTTTTCTGAGTAGGTCACTCAAGAGAGATTTCCCCACAGCCATTGAGCACATGACAGTTGTGACACAAAAACAGAAGGAAAAATAAAGCATTATTCAACATCTGATGGTGACCAACTCTTTCATGATTTATCTAAACTGTTAATCCCCAATACATAAAATTTTTATACCTCTTCCTCTCTTCCAAAAGGTAACTAGTTACCTTGCACATATAAGTATCAACAGCCTCCAAAGCAAAACAATACTGTTACAAGTATGAATTAAATTTTCTGCATGTTCAATAGGGAATCTATTTCTATTTACTTAAAAGAGAACTTTTCCCAGTGTCCTTTTTTTATCCTCAAAAAAATAAACTTTAGAAACTGAACTAAATAACCAACAGTATTATAAATCATTAAAAAAACATTTATTTTGATAATAATTATTTTTAAAAAATAAGAGTAGTAGCATCTAGAAGGAGCCTCCAAGTCAATATTACTTCTCTGTGATCCTACAAGACTACCCATAGGAAAATTTCCTCCATTCCTTACCTCAGCAAGTTTCTTGCTCTAAAGCTGTGTGTGGCATTGACTTCACTGGGCCTTCTGATGCCACTAGGTGAAACACACAGTGCTTTTCTTCTTTATTCTTACTGTTTTCCCTATGCATTGAATCATGAAAAATTGAAGTCTGAACATAAAGGAAAGTCAAAGGCTTGTGGGTGGTCTGATAGAAACAGAAAACTGTCACAAACCCCATACTATCAGTTTAGCACAAAGAAAGTTCTCACCATGTGGATGTGGAGATGGTGATACCCATCTGGAGTTGTGAAACTGGACTCCTGAAATTATATAGAATGCTAAGCCAATGTTCAATCAACCAAATTGTCACTGAAGCTAAGAAAGTTGTCATCTTGGCTGCTAGGATACCAAGGACACCCATCTATGAGTCTTCAATTTCATAGATATCTTCTACCTATGACATGGATTCTTAGTTGTTGACCAATAAGTGTGTAACAACAAACTCTCTGGTTGGACAAGAGCTGGTTTTTTCTGGTGCATTTGAGCTCTAAGCAAGTGACATATAGGGTGTGGATCATTTTCCCACTGAGTTTTTTCATCCTGTCATGTAAGGCATTTTGGAAGAGAAGTATATCATTTCGCTTTTAATAACGGCTGTGTTTGGGGATGGGAAAATGGCACAGCAAGCAGACTCTCTCCTTGTACATGGCTGACCCGTTTTCAATCCCCAGCACCACATTTTCATTCACCCAGTACTGCCAGGAGTGATCCCTAAGTGCAGAGTCAGAAGTAATCCTTCATTGCCTCTGGATATATTTCCTAAATAACAACAAACAAATACAATGTCTGTGCTTAGAAATTGGTAGTCAAAATAACTGAAAATTTAACAATCAGTTCCCAGGGTATGTGAGGAGCTGACTCTGACCACTTCATTATTTTTCACCTTTCAAAGTAGATGTCCTTAGAGGAAGAAAGCACAAAGATGTTGTCAACACTTTTCCCTTTGTTATGGAGAAAAATAAGCAGGAAAGTTTCTATAAGGAGGAAGGAAAGGGATTGGCAGGACCCACAAAATGAAGTGAATATGAGTGAAGGACTAGGTAGAGAAAGAGCTTTTGTTAGTTTTTTTGCTTTTGTTCTTTCTTTCTTGGTCACACCCAGCAATGCTCAGGGCTTACTCCTGGCTCTGTACTCAGGAATTACTCCTGGCAATACTGGGGGACCATATGGGATGCCAGGGATTGAACCTGGGTTGGCCACATGCAAGGCAAATGCCCTACCGACTGTACTATTACTCCAACACCGAGAATGCGCTCTAATAATGATGTCATGGACCTAAAAAGTCAATGTTGATGAGCGAAGCAGGCCATTTTCTGTGATGGTTGGTGAAGAGAAGCCAGAATGTCCACTTAGCAACTGGAGCTAAATCTAGCCTGGCTCTTTTTTTTTTTTTTCAATTGAATCACCGTGAGCTACAGTTGCAAAGTTTTCATATTTGAGTTTCAGTCATACGATGATTGAACAACCATCCTTCCACCAGTGCACTTTCTCCACAATCAATGTCCCCAGTATCCCCCCGCTTCCCAACCCACCCCTTGCCTCTGTGGCAGACAATTTCTCTCTCTCTCTCTCTCTCTCTCTCTCTCTCTCTCTCTCTCTCTCTCTGTCTCCCTCCCTCCCTCTTTCTCTCTCTCTCCATTTGGGCTCTTAATGCTTCTAAAAGTGTGTCATGAAAGTTAATTTTTTCGTAATTTTCATCAATCACAGTTGAAATTTTTTTCTTGAAGATTGAAATAATTATGTGTGTGTTTCTGTGCTGGCATATTTTCACAGAGTTGACAGAGTAAGCAAGATACAGACCATCCCAGGAAACCTGGACGTTGCTGTCGACACCATCCCTATGGATCATCCAAGTATGGCACTGATGTGATATTTTGCTTAGGGAATTTTTTAATTTTGTTGTCTGGTTTGTTAATTAATTCATCCATGTATTTATTCTTTGGCCACAAAAAATTATCTTTGGTTTTGACTTCAAAATTTAAAATTATTTGAATTGATGACCCGATAGAAGTCTAGAACTCTATCCATTAAACTCTAAATATTATAAGGTAAAAACTATATATGCAATAGAACCAAATGCTTATCTGGTATAAGTTCTCTATAAGGTACTAAATTATATTTGAATCCTCAAAATCCTAGCAGGTTGAAAATAAGCAAATAAAGGTTCCCATCCATTGACAAACTGATAAACTGTAATTGAAGAATTGATAGTCTTCCCAGTTTCCCTGAGTCAAGATTCAGGGATAAATGTATCCCAACAGGGCTACCAGAGTATTACTCTGAATACCAAACAGAACCCTGGTGTACCTTGACCTGCTCTACTTTTAGACTCAGCCATCACCCCATCAGTGTTGTTTCCGTCAGTAAACGTTTGAATCTTGGAAGACTCTTATGAACCACAAACATCTTGGGACTGTTGTTTACTTCTGATTATGCTTCTGGTGAATTTCTTGATGCTGCAAAGAATGAGGAAAGTTACCCTTAAGTGTAGGATGAGGATCATTACCCCAGGATGTTTGAATTACCAACCTCACTATTCAGTTTCTCATTCCTACACTTTTCCACAAATCATTTTAATAGGAAATGCAATGAGCTTTCCAACTTAAGCCCTGACTCCAAATCACTTTTGTATTGATTGGCATGAAAAGGCAGAGGAAAAATTAAGCCATTTTCTCAGTCTGACATGAGGGATGAAGCTTTTATTACCTATGCAAGAGTAAGAACAACCAAGCAAAAAGCTACAAAAGCTACAATGTGCTCTTTTAAAAGAATGGTATCACATTAGAGAAATCTGAACAGATAATAGAATAAACGGACTTTTTAACGTATAATCCGATTCCCAAACATAGCTAGCTAACTGTTGTTATTTTCTTGAACATCGAGAGGTTCCAGATGGGGTAGAGGCAGATAAAATTCTTTTCTGACTCCATACCACAGCCTCCGCTCTATAATTTCCGTGATGGATGTTGTGATATCTTAATTCCTAATTATTTTTTCTAAACCCCAACCTGACCCCTTGAGCTATTTCTACAAGATAGATTTGTAGAAGTTTAAAAATTGAAGAGAAAAACAACTTCTTTTTATTTATGCAGAGAGCTTAGACCTATAAAATCAGTTCGTGAAGGGATGTTGTTATTCATCCATTTGGTAGATCCATCAGTAATAGAGCCACTGGATAAAGTCTTATTTATGATTTATCAAATAGCCATGTTGTTATTTAGATTCTTACAGTAAAAATCAGGAGTTAATTCTTATCTCATAATGCCTACCTACTATATTCTAAAAATCACTGGCTGAAATACACTTTTATATAGTTTTAGACCAAAGGAGCATAGTTATTGCTCCATTCTCTGTGAAATGTTTTCTAGTTCTTTGAGATTTTCTTTTGTATATTTGATATTTTTATATTAACTTGATGAATCTAGGTTGTATATCTTGCCCACCACTTGTGAAGGTTGCAAGTTAGCACAAGTTGACATAAATTGGATTTTATTTTCAGAAATTCATTTAAAATGTATATACATATATTTGTAAAATGTATATTATAAAAAATATAGACATATATTTCAACTTATTATATATATTTTATTAAAATATTTTATTTTATAAAAAGAAACATATTGAGTAACAAATTCTTATTTTCTGATATTTTAAGACTGTGTGACATCGTCCTTTGTCCCTGTCAAGCCTTTCAATGTGACAGCTCAACCAGAACCCACAGTGGAGGTTGAAGAATTTATTTATGACACAACAAAGTTTTGCCGTCCCTACAGAGTGTACAAAAATCAAATTTACATTTACCCCAAACATCTTAAGTATGACAGCCAAAAATGTTTCAACAAGGTATGATACATGTTTCTGAGACATCATCCTTTTGCTCCGCCCCACTTAAATCTTGTTAAAATGATTTCAAGTTCAAGTCAATTTTCCTTGTCCCAAGTGGACCAATACTTGGGAATAGAAACCCATTTGGAGAAAATATGTCAAAAGTGGAGCGATAACTTTCACAAATCTTTCAGGATGTTCAGTTTTTGTAATCTATGAACAATCCTTTCTGAAATTAGCCCTAGATATTTTAGGGGATGGAGGGAGTTCTTAAGATATTATGAAAATAACACACATGCCTGAGTCTTTTTCTTATCTATTAGAGAATCTTTCCATATCCTGTTGCTATTTCTGAGCACTATAGATAATGTCACATGAACTGTTAGGTACTCTACCTTTGGGGGTTTTAATTAGACACTACTTATTTTAGACACTTGGAATATCCTTTGCCTTTATTTAATAGGAAATTACACTTCCATTTTCTTCGCTGTAATTTCAGGCACGAAATATAACTGTGTGCATTGAATTCAAAAATTCTGATGAAGAAGGTGCCAAGCCCCTGAAGGTGAGCCAAATCCTCTCACGGACTGGGTGGGCAGAACCCGGCTCCAGGCTGACCCCTTCTCTCTGCCACCCAAAGGCTTCATCTTTGACTCTGGTAGAAAGAGGGGCCATGTCAGACATTTGGTCTAGATTTCCTGGTCTCATAGTCATCTTTAATTGTAGCTATTAGAAATGCCAGGCTGTAGCTCTGCTTGGCTGTTTGTGAGTGAGAAGCAAGGAACCCATTCGAGGATGAAATAAAGGCAGATTCAGCTCAGAAGGGTTTGACCCTTTTTATTTTATTTTATTTTTAATTTTTATTAGTGAAACACCATGAGGTACAGTTGTAGACTTACAAATTTTTGTGCTTGGGTTTCAGTTATACAATGATCAAGTACCCATCCCTCCACCAGTGCCCATTCTCCACCACCACGGATCCCAGTATCCCTCCCACCCCCCATTTCCCCCATCCCACCCTGCCTCTGTGTCAGGGCATTCCCTTTTGTTCTCTTTTATTGGGTGTTGTGGTTTGCAAAAGAGGCAGTGAGTGGCAATCATGTATGGTCTATAGTCTACTTTCAGCATGCTTCTCCCATCCTGGGAGGATCCTCCTAACACCCTTTATTTGGTGCTCCCTTCTTTATCTGAGCTGCCTTTTCCCCTAGCATGTGTGGCTGGCCTCCAAGCCATGAAGTAAACCTCCTGGTACTTATCTCGGCTATTCTTGGGTGTCAGTCTCCTATTTTATTACTTTATGTTCCCCAGATGAATGCAATCTTTCTATGTCTATCCCTCTCTTTCTGCCTCATTTCGCTTAGCATACTTTCCTTGTAGTACCACTTGTATGTAAATTTCATGACTTCATCTTTTCTAACAGCTGCATAGTACTCCATTGTGTAAATGTACCAAAGTTTCTTTAACCAGTCATCTGTTCTCGGACACTCAGTTTTTTTTCCAGATTCTGGCTATTGTAAACAGTGCTGCAATGAACAAACCAGTGCAGATGTCACTTCGACTGTACTTTTTTGCCTCTCTGCGATATATTCCCAGGAATGGTATTGCTGGGTCAAATGGGAGCTCAATTTCTAATTTTTCGAGAATCAGGGCTTGAGCTTTTTTAAAGGTGGATCCGTTTTTCCTTGCAGAATGCTCCATTTTAAATGCTGCACCCAGCTAAGTTGCCATGCTTTGTGAAGAGATAATTAACCTTGGATGTTCTTGACAAGTTCCCCATTGGTCAGGGCCTGTGCAGCAGGCCAGAGGGCTGGTACAAACGGGCCTGATGGCTCAAGCAGCCAAGCTGTGTGGGAGCTCACGTTTATGAACAGAGCATGTGCCCAGCTGCCTGTGGCCCGGATTTTAACCACACTTGCTGACTCATTATTATTTGTATGCTGTAGATTTGGGGGTCACTTCCAGCTCCGTGATAGAGGGTCGTTTTTAGCAGAGCTCAGGGGACCGTGTGGTAATGCACACGGAATCTGGAACTCCTGCATGTAAAACATGTGTTCCAGCCTTCTTGGGCCCTGATCAGATTATTTTAACACATTCATTAAAAAACAAAAGTTAAGGGGCTGGAGTGATAGCACAGCGGATAGAGCTTTTGCCTTGCACACAGCCGACCCCGGTTCAATTCCCAGCTACCCATAAGGTCCCCCAAGCACTGCCAGGAGTGATTCCTGAGTGTGCATCACCGGATGTGACCCAAAAAGCAAAAAAAAAAAAAAAATATTGTGAGATTTGGGGAATCAGGGTAAGGGAAGCTAGTTCAAAGGGGTGGAGCATATGCCCTGTATGCCCAAGCCTCGAGTTTGACTCCTGGTACTGCCTGTCAACCATCCCCTACCAGCCACTGCCAAGTATAGCCCTGATGGTCCCCAGCACGGTCTGGGATCACTACAGCAGACTGCATGATTGTTGGACTGTGCTGTTTTAACCTATAAACTGCAACTACATGGTATTTTCAGAGCTCATATTTAATGCATACTTCTTTTATTTTGTTTTTTTTTTGTATGTTTTGGGACCCCACCTGGCTATGCTCAGGACTTACTTCTGGCTCTGTGCTCAAGGCTTACTCCTGGCTCTGTGCTCAGGGCTTACTTACTCATGGCTCTGTGCTCAGGGCTTACTCCTGGCCCTGTGCTCAGGGATCACTTCTGGTGAGGCCCGAGGGACCAGATAGGGTATCTGGGATTAAACCCGGGTTGACCTTGTGCTTGACAAGTGACTTACCCACTATACTATCTCTCCACCCTATCCTTCTCTTCTTTTAGGGGCTTCCCACAACATAAAACAACCTAAGAACTGTCTGTCTCTCTGTCTGTCCTCCCGTTGTTCATCGATTTGCTCAAGTGGGCCCAGTAACGTCTCCATTGTGAGACTTTGTAATTGAACCTAAGAACTAAAGAGAAAAATCATTTTTAATAGGCTTATAGCCAGACTTTCCCAAGTTCAATGAATCTGAAAAATAAGACGGTGATTAAAACGCTCACTCATCCCTACAGTTATCTGAGGTCTTCTCTTAAAAGCACTTTGTCAGGTACCAATTGTATCTGGGCTAGCAAAGTTTGTAGCATTGTTCAGAAGGATGATCATAGTTGTAGTAATCAAATAGTTCAAGTAGAAAGAAAAAGTTCTCTAAAAGACTTTCTGCAGAGAGGGGTTCCAAGTGACTACACAATAGCATTAAAATGAGTGGGGGGGGGGAGTGTAGTTGACAAACAAAGGCAAAGGTCAGAACGGAAACCCCACCCCACCCCCCACTCCCACCACCCCAGGACTCTTAAAGCAAGAGGGAAGAAGTAGGCAGCATTGAAGGTTTGTGGGTTTCTATTTCTTAGAAGCAGGAAGAGACACCAAAACTTGAAAAGAGGAACCTCCAGGCATAGGCTCAGGGGCTTTTAAGCTGCAGGACAGAGAAAAGTCTCACATCCTCAAGCCTAATTAGTAATATAATAGGTATATGGGGGAGGGGAGAGGGGTAGACAGGAACCAGCCTCTCCTTCTAGCTCAGCCTCAAGACTGGGGGATGGGGAGGTTCTGTGTGTGTGTGTGTGTGTGTGTGTGTGTGTGTGTGTGTGTCTGTGTGTGTGTCTGTGTGTGTGTCTGTGTGTGTAGGGAGTGGGGGAAGCTGAGGCTGGATTCAACCAAGTCTTGTGACTAAATGCTTTGAATTCTGACCCAGAGATGGATGCCATGGGCCCCTTTAAGAGAATTCTGCATGAAATTGGGATGAATACCTTAGCTCCCATCAACTGAAAGTTGAGTAGTGATCAGATTCAGATCTTTAGCATTGATGTAATACCTGCACGGTGAATTATAGCCCTCGGGTTTTCTTCAGCACCCCATAGTATGGTGAATTCAGGGGTGTTGTCAAGATCATTCAGGTTAATGATATTTCAGCAAAGCGTGGCCAGTTATCACAGATAAATCTGTGTTTATCCCGGGATGAATAATTGAAATGTTGCGGCCTTTTCTGTGCTCAGGATTAACTTCAGACACTCATAATTAATTCATCTCATAACTTTTTACTAGTGTATTTATGGAAAACCTGGAGGACCCCTGTTCACCTCAGCTGCCTACACCACAGTTCTGCACCATTCCCAGAACCCGGATTTCTCTGACGAGGTAAGGGTCAGGCTCTGCTGTCCCGAGGAGCCACTGAGAAGATGGGCGAGTGGGTCAGACCATACACAATGATAAACACTGTCTCTGGACCACATGTCAGATGAAGGACGTGGCTTGGCTGCTGTTCATGTAACCCAGAAATAAATTTAGATTTACTTAGAAACTTGAGAGTGCTCCAGAAGTGTGAAGCAAATTCATCCACTTCATTTTTTATAAAATGTGATCACTTTGCCATGTCCTTTCTCTGGTGGGTCACATTTTTTTCCTTATTTTTCACTGGTTCGTGTAACAACTGATGTGTCAGACAGTTGTACCAATCAATAACAGTATTTATGTCAGGATGTAAAGTACAGAGGATATGAGCCTGAGCCAGGATTTTAACCTTTAATTTCACCTGCATGAAGTTGAACAAGTTTGGATTTCCCTCGACTCTGAACGTGACTGAAGCAAGACCAGATCCGCCCAGCCCTCAAGGTGTTCTTTTATTTTGGGAGAGGGGAGGTCTTCACAAGTCCTTAGGAAATAGGGGGTCTCTCTATGCAAATTCTTGGTCAACCTAGCCCCTGGATGCTCTATACTACTAGGGCCCTGCATTGCCCAGGATTTTACTTGGGGAGCTTCTAAACTGCACCGGGTGAACTAAGGGACCATGTCCTACTAGGGATTGAACCAAGGTCAGCTGCAGACAGAGCATGTGCTCTAATCCGAGGTCTCTCTCAAGATGTTCTTTTCAAGGCACCATATTATACTTGTCATATCACCTCAATTAACACCCCCAGCATCTCTGAGAAATAAGTTTGATTCTTACCTTCTGAACTATTTAGGATTCTCTAGATTATGGAACTAGTAGATGAGGAGAGAGAGTAAGGGAGTCGGGGTGTCTCCAACAATATCTTTATAGCTCTGTACCTAGCTTGAGATATATTTATTCAGTAGGCAGTATTAGTACACATCCATACGGAGGTGAAGAAGTCCCAGTATCTGGCCTTGAAGGTTAGAGACCCAGGAAAGACAGTGGTATCATGGAAAAAGCCTGAGCACTGGAGGTGATGCTATGAATTCCAATCTGGAGGTGAAGGGCTGAGCCTGGGAGTGGAAAGGACAGAAGATGAATGCTCTGGCTGAATCTGTGAGGCAGAGAGAGAATCCAACCTCTACTCTCTTGTTCTTTTCTGGTCCTAAGTGGATAGACATCCATTCACAGTGGGGATGGACCATGTCCATCCTACTCAGTCCATTCATTCAATAGTAATCTCCTTCGTAAACACCCTCACACAAACAACTTTAGAGTGAAATATTATATTATTTCAGTTCTGCTCTGGGACAGGGATTGGGGTTCGGGATGGAAACACCCTAAATATGGTGACGGGAAGGTGTAATGGTGGTAGGATTGGTGTTTGAATATTAAATGTAATCAAATATTGTGAACTACTTTATAAAATTTTTTTAAAAAATTAAAAAAGAAAGAAACACCCTCACAGATACACACAAAGAAAGTGTCTCACCAGCAGACTGGACATTCTATGACTTAGGCAAGTTGACTCCTGAAGCGAACCATCCCACCTTCCTATGTTAAGTGGTTTTGCTACAGGCCCATGACTAATCAGCGTTGGTCAGAATTCAAGCTGGCCATGTACAGGCAGAACCTATGTCACCAAGGTGCTATAACACACATCACTACCACTGCCTCAGCAGCTGCAGAAACAGTACCGAGGGTCAAGGTGTTTTCCTGGAGTGAGGGATGGGCTCAGTGATTAAATGTCTGCCTGGCATGGGGCTGATCCAAGCATCAGTGCAACCACGAGCTCTTGCCTGGCGTCACTGACTTGGGTGACCAAGAACTTCCAAGAGGGGCCTCCATGCTTTGGACCACCACTTAGGAAACCAACCTCACCCCCAGCTCCAAATAAATGAAAGGAAAACATTAAGCATTGACTTAATCGCAGATTGCTATGCATATGTTATCTTGGATTATAAACAGCATCAGGCCAACCAACTGCAGTAATTAAACTTAGCTTCTCACCATGAAGCAAAGGTCTCAGAAAATGCACCTGCTGGTATAGCTATAGCCGAGATTAAAAATAGCCTCTCCTCCCCATTAGTTCCCTACTGCTGTCATGACAAACGGCCCCTGTCTAGTGGCTTCCACAATACATGTTCATTAGCTACCAGTTCTGGAGGTCAGAACTTGGCAATGGCTTTCTCAGGGCTAAAGTCAAGCAGTCAGCAAGTCTGCGTTCCTTCCAGCAACCCTAGAGAAAATCCTTACTGTGCCCTTTCCACCCATGTTTTTTCGTTTGTGCATCTAGCAGTGGTATCACTCTGACCTCTGCTCCCTTCCTCACATTTCAGGCTCTCCCATCTTCTTCTGCTAAAGGTCTTTATGATTGATAACCTCTCAGTACCTGTATTGCAAAACATGATGTCCAAAAGGAGAGGGGGGAGAGAGAGAGAGAGAGAGAGAGAGAGAGAGAGAGAGAGAGAGAGAGATGGAGGGAAAGAGAGAGAGAAAGAGAGGGGAAGAGAGAGAGGGAGAGAGAGGAGGAGAGAGAGATGGAGGGAAAAAGAGGGAGAGATAGAAGGAGGGAGGGAGAGAGAGGGTGAGAGAGAGAGGAGAAAGAGAGAGACAGGAAAAGAGAAAAGTACCTACCATAGAGGCAGACTGGGCAGAGGGTGGTAGGGAGGTGGCAGGAAGGGAACTGGGACATTAGTGGTGGGGAGTGTACAATAGGTGGAGGGTTGGGTGTTGGAACATTGTGTGACTGAAACCCAACCATGAACAGCTTCATAACTGTGCATACATGTCTGTGCATTAATCTGTATGATTAATGTTGGGCCCACTTGGTGATACAGTGTATTCTTCCCATCTCAACATCTTCACTTGAGTTCCTTTTTCCTATAAAGTCACATAGAAGTAGAAGTATCCCCGATTCAGCTTTTCTAATGACCTTCAAGGGATGGGCGTGCAACTGGTTTGTAAATACACTTTGGTTAGGGGTAAAAGCTCACTATTCTCTCAGCTTATGGTCCTCAGTGGTAAATTTGTAGTGTTTTTTCTTATATTCTAAAACATTTTGTCTGTGTATGTAGTCTGTGTGATTCATATTCTAGCAGATATAAATTATCAGGTAAGTATCACTGGACATTCCAAATTATCATTCACTCTTATAGAGTAAAAATACCAGCAGCTTAACATAGATAGAATGAACATTTATGAACATTTAAACCAGTCCATCTAACACTGTTGCACATGGACTAATCTTCAGTAAAACAATTTTTTAATTAATTGATTTATTTTTTTTATTAGTGAAACACCATGAGGTACAGTTATAGACTTACAAATTTTTGTGCTTGGGTTTCAGTTATACAATGATCAAGTACCCATCCCTCCACCAGCGCCCATCCTCCACCACCACGGGTCCCAGCATCCCGCCCACCCCCCATCCCCCCCATCCCAACTTGCCTCTGTGGCAGGGCATACCCCCTTGTTCTCTCTCTCTTCAAAAAAACAATTTTTAACAGGCAAGCTATCTAAATGTTGTGTTGCTCTGATACTCAGCAAAGAATGTTCATCACAGCCTGACTCTTCTCTCTTTTGTGGCAGGTGAAAATTGAGCTCCCCACGCAACTCCATGAGAAACACCATATTTTGTTCTCATTTTATCATGTCACCTGTGACATCAATGCCAAAGCTAATGCCAAAAAGAAGGAGGCTCTGGAGACATCAGGTACTGACAGGAAGCAGCCCGAGAAGGCTTTACATGTCCGCTGTTGGACCTGATTTGGAGAGTACTTTAAAAGCTCTGATTTATTGGATTTTTTAGTGGAGTTTTGTATTCATAAATAATGGATCACTTTATTTTTACTCCTCACCATGGAGTCTTGTACTCAGAAGTTTCCTCTTTGTTTCTTCTTTGCACAGTTGGGTATGCTTGGCTTCCTCTGATGAAACACGATCGGATAACCTCGCAAGAGTACAATATCCCAGTAGCGACCAGTCTGCCTCCAAACTATCTAAGTTTCCAAGATTCTGCAAGTGGAAAGGTATTTTATGATTTATAATTTAAGAGGGGGAAAATAGGTGGAATTATGGACAGGGAGTTATTTACTTTGGGATATATATATTTTTTAATTTTTATTAATGAAACACCATGAGGTACAGTTGTAGACTTAAAAATTTTTGTGTTTGGGTTTCAGTTATACAATGATCAAGTACCCATTCCTCCACCAGTGCCCATTTTCCACCACCACAGATCCCAGTATCCCTCCCACCCACCCCCCATCCCTCCCATCCCACTCTGCCTCTATGGCAGAGCACTCCCTTTTGTTCTTTCTCTCCTTTTGGGTGCTGTGGTTTTCAAAGGAGGCATTGAGGGGCAATCATGTTCGATCTATAGTCTACTTTCAGCATGCATCTCCCATCCTCGGAGGATCCTCCCAACACCCTTTATTTGGTGCTCCCTTCTCTATCTGAGCTCCCTTTTCCCCTAGCATGTGTAGCTGGCCTCCAAGTCATGGAGCAAAATTCCTGGTACTAATCTCAGCCACTCTTGGGTGTTAGTCTCCTATTTTGTTACTTTATGTTCCCCAGATGAATAATCATCAGCCTAGTCTATGTATACATCTCCAATGGTGATGTGTCCAATATGTAGCACTGTAGCACTGTCCTCCTGGTGTTCATCAATTTGCTCAAGCGGGCACCAGTAACATCTCCATTGTGAGATTTGTTGCTACTGTTTTTAGCATATCAAATATGCCACAGGGAGCTTGCCAGACTCTTCTGTGTGGGTGGGATACTCTCAGTAGCTTGCCAGGCTCTCTGAGAGGGACGGACACAGAGGAATCAAATCCATGTTGGCTGTGTGCAAGGCAAAATCCCTACCCACTGTGCTATCGCTCCAGTCTATGTTCGACATACGTACAAGATATATACTTTCTGACATCTTGTTTAGTTTGTGATCCTAGAACTGATTTGTTTAACAAGACACCAAGATATCACATTGGTGTCATTTACTAATAATCGCTAAATGTGCTTGTTTGTTTTTGTTGTCCTCTCTGTAATAATAGATGACTAGATTAGAAGGACATGGGATAGTTGCCTATTTCTTTCTCTCAAATTGCTAAAGTAACCATAACAAACTTTTTTTTAATAGCATGGTGGGAGTGACATTAAATGGGTTGACAATGGCAAACCACTCTTCAAAGTAACAACATTTGTTGTATCAACAGTGAATACTCAGGTAAGCATGGTTCCTAGAAATATTAGCATGTTTTCTCTAATCCATGGAATCACACACGTCCCCAATGTTTACAAAATCTATTTCTCAAGGTGTTTGGAGAGCAAGTGGTTGAAAAGAATGTTTGCAGCACAGTGTCATGCCTCTTCCAGGAGAGGAGATAGGATGCTCTTTATAGGAAAAATATATATATATAAAATTAAAAAAGGAGCCAAAGAGATAGGTCATGGGGCCAAGTGCACACTTTGCATGCTAGAGATCAGGGTTTGATCCCTGGTACCATATGGTACCCTGAACACCACCAGGAGTGACCCATGCACAGAGCTGAGAGTGTACCCAAGCACTGCTAGTGTAGCACAAAATAAGAAAAATAAAGATGGGAGAAGAGAAGAAAAACCCAAGCGTTTGGAGACAGTCAAGTGGTAGAACACATTTCTGGCATGTGCAAGGCACTGGGTTCAAACCTTAGCATTGCCGAATGCACTACCCTGAGCCCAACACCTTGAGGTGTGGTCCTGATGCCTCCTTCAGCACCTCTGGATATGGCCCCATTCAGAAATGAAGTTTAAGCACCATGAAACTGAAGACCAAGATATTAGAAATGGGCCTATCAGGATGTTCCTTGGGGGCAGGTCTCGCCTCCAATGACATCCAAGTCTTAAAAGTAAAGACTTTGTCTTGAGTCCAATCCCAGTGCCTTTCCTAGGTGTCCTGGGAAAGACCACTAAGTCATCAGAACCACACTTGAAAGCCACAGTGACCCCCAGCAAGCTTCGTACCCCTGCATCTTTATTCCTGTGTTTGGAAAATGATCACAATAAAATGTCTCCACCTGGAGCTCAAGGAGGCTAAACTGAGTGATTGTATGTACATGGAAATATTTAGTGGTCAGCAACAGCTTATGGCAATGTAATTATCACTGCAACCTCACTCTCACCCCTTCCATGGCATCAAATGTCACAGGAGCACTTTTGTGGCACCTCCCGGAAACCACAAAGCAAGGTCTCACAAGTCTGTGGCATCCACGTGCTCCTTTCTTAAAGCCAATTGTTCAGCTTTTGCTACAGAATCTTGTCTCTCTTGCCCATGCTTGGTTGCTGCCGAGAAAAGTGGGATGGACAAGCCACTGTACTCAGTTAACCTCTGTGACCTCAAGACCAATGGAACTTTGTTTCCTAGCCCTGGCTCTCCATCTCTAAACCCATCTTTGCTCAGATCCCATCTGTCCTGGCAAGTTCCCTCAACAATCACTCTCCACCAAGCTCTGCTTCTATTTTAAAGCCCAGAATGTTTTTTTATTGTTGTTCTGGTCCTTGCTTTTATTTTTTGGTTTGGATGGGGGCATACCCAGAAGTGCTCAGGGCTGACACCAGGCTATGCACTCAGTGATCACACCTGGCAGGGCTCAGGGACCTGTACAGGATGCAGAGGATCAGACCTGGGCCAGCTGCATGCAAGGCAAGCTCCATACCCACTGGATAACCTCCTGTGTTTCTTTTTCTCTCGATGCTTCCAGATGCTTCTCTCCGGGGAGCCCAGGTCTCTCTCAGATACCTCTACCCACCTCTTCTGCTTCTCCCTCCACCACCCACTCGCTGAGGCCCCTGTGGGGGACCACAGTCATCTTTCCTCAAACCATCTACAGATCTCAGTTGACTCACATCAGCACTCTCTCCTGTCTGTTTCCTCCTGAGTGCCCCCCAAGAGCCTGTTACCCCGGGACCCCAGAATTCCCTCCACTCCCAACAGCCTCCCCAACTTCCCTCTCTGCCTTAGTTTTCCCATCCCTCAGATCCCAACTCACAGTCTTCTTCCTCGAAGAACAAGCCCTCCTTGTTCCCTGATCTCACATTGGCCATCAGCCGATGGTAACTTGTTTTTCTGCACAATCTGATTTTGCTCACAGAGGTCTGAGTGGAAATCCTGGTGGGGCGCCTGTCTCTCACATAATGGAAGGACCACATGGGAAAGGTTTTCCTTGCCCTTGGCTCTGTCATCAGTGCAGGCCAAAAGCCTGGCATAGTTAGCTTTCCCTAAATAATCGTCAAATTCATGAATAAATGAAGTGATATTTAAAAGGAAAAACAGTTGCCTCTAAGTAGAAACAAAACTACATACAACTAGGAAGCTGAAATGTGTGCGTTTCACACACACACACACACAGAACTGAGAACCCAAACCACAGATGCCTCTTCTAGAATTGAGATGCCAGAGAAGCATCATCCACAGGGCCAGGGGACATATCATCCAGAAAATTTCTCATCTTACTTCCCCACATCCTAAACCTGACCCTCAGCTCAGAACTTAGGATCTTTCTAAGGACGCTTTGTCACAGAGACTAGGGGGCTTCAGCAGCAAACTCTGCTCTCACTATTTCAGAGGCCTTAATTGAAGTCTGAAGTGTCAGCTGTTTTACTTTCTTTGAAGGCCCCTTTCCTGGAGTTGTAGGGGGTTCAGACCACCCAACTTGCATTGCTTTCCCATAATTTTCCTCTTAAGGATATTTTTTTCCAAGTACAGTCAGAGGTCTGCAAAAGTGGGACATCAGCCTGTAGATACAAGAGACACCATCAAAGAATAAGTGTCTCTTTAGTGCCATGATACTGTGTGGCCTTCCTAATTTGGGGGGTGGAGGGATGGGTGGAGCTTTTCTGCCTAAAAATGCCCCTGTACTCATTAGAGTCTGAATTCTCATGTGGATTAGGAATAGGGCAGAAAAATCCTGGCAGAAACAGGAGCAGAAAGATGGGGGAAAAAACTGGGGTGGGGGTGGGGGGTAGGAGGTGTGGGAAGATCGCATGTTTGATCTCCAGCACTGAAAAAAAGGAGAGAAAAATATAAAAAGAAATAGAGCTAGAGAGATAGGACAACAGGTAAGGTTCTTGCTTTGAATACGATTGATCTGAGTCCCATCCCCAATGCCACATGTGGTCCCCTGAGCCCACCAGGAGTGATCCCTGAATGCAGAGCCAGGAGTAAGACAGGAGCACAGCCAAGTGTGGCACCAAAACAAATAGTAATAATGATGATGATGATGATGAGGAGGAGGAGGAGGAGGAGGAGGAGAAGGAGGAGGATGGTGATGAGAAATGCAACCAAAGGAAGTAATCCTTCCATCTCTATCCTGTGGCCCATGAAGAAAGTATGTCCATGGGTATGAATGAGGACAGAAAGTGGCTTTGTAGTTGAGGGAGTAGAGCCTTCCATCCTTCAATCCCCATCACCCTGTCTCCCAGGAATTGCACGTGGACATGAAGGTCTCCATCCTGCGTTGGCTCCTCTCCATCGTCATCTTGTCATCTCCCCCAGCTTGTGTGTCATCAAAAATAAATAACTGTTTTTGCTGTTTCAGGATCCATACGTGAATGAATTTTTCCAACAGTGCCAAAAGAGAGAGAAAGATATGTCTGAGTCACCTACCTCGAAATTCATCCGCTCCTGTAAGGTAACTTGGCATGCCAAGAGTCTCCAAGGACTCCACAGCTGGACGAATACCTTGGGGACCAAACTAAGAATTCACTCTTACTGGAAGGTTTCTCAGTGCCTTGTGGCTTCCAAGAGCAAAGGGTTTTATTTAACAATTCCTAAATCGTTTCTGTCTTTTGCTTAACAAAGACTAGCAAAGCTAATGAGAGCAGGAATGAGGCTAGTGACAGAGCCCAGGGCTTGCATCTGTGACACTGGGTTTAGTTCCCAGTATCACATACCTTGAGAACCATCAGATGTAGCTGGTGACCTAAGAACTGCCCAGAATCTCCACCCCCCCCACACACACACAAAATATGCAAAGATTAGGCTTTTCAAAGTAAACTTGATTGAAAAATCAGAATCCTTTGACTTTTAATCAAGTAAATGTCCTGTTATTGTAACCTTCCCTCTTCCTCTGAATCCCATGCTGATAGGTGAGCTGAAATATTCAGACCACATTCTGAAAAAAATGCCTTCAGAAAGGGTTTTGGATTTAATCAGTGCCTCTTTTCCCTGCAGAATCTATTGAACGTTGAAAAGATTCAAGCAATCATGAGCTTCCTCCCTATCATCTTGAATCAGCTCTTCAAGGTCCTGGTACAGAATGAAGAAGATGAAATTTGCACCACCGTGACCAGGTAGCCATAATGACCCCCACAGAGAAGAGACTGTACATGCCTTCCTTGTGTGTGAACGCACTCAAATTTACTTCTCACTCTTGAATTCTTTCCTTCTGACCATTTGTTATTAGAATTATTAGAGGAAATATGGAGACCCCTTTTTTTAAAACTTCCTTTGTTTCTTTTCTTGGGGGTTTGTTTGAGAGTTAGGGTTTTTTTCTTTTTTACGGCCCTTTTTTTTTTTTTTTGCTTTTTGGGTCACACCCGGTGATGCACAGGAGTTACACCTGGTTCATGCACTCAGGAATTACTCTTGGCGGTGCACAGGGGACCATATGGGATGCTGGGAATCGAACCTAGGTTGGCTGCGTGCAAGGCAAATGCCCTACCCGCTGTTCTATTGCTCCAGCCCCTCTTTTTTTATGGCTTTTGAGGCACACCTGGCAGTGCTCAGGGATTACTCCCAACTCTGTGCTCAGAGATTGATCCCAGGAGTGCGTGGAGTGGCCATGCAGTGCTGGGGATCAAACCCAGACCCCCTGCTTGCAAAGCACGTGACCTGTCTCTCCAGCCCCTCCTTTATTTTTAAAGTTTTTCTCATTAGGTGATAGACTCACAGGCAATTATAAGAACTAATAGAGGGCTGGAGCAAAAACTCAGCAAGGCTCAGCACATGCTTTGCATGCAGGAGACTAGCATTTGGCTCCAACAGCACTTGGTTCCCTGGGCAGTGCCAAGAGTGAACCCTCAACACAGACTAGGAGTAGTTCCTAAGCACCACCAGGTGTGTCCTCAAAACAAACAAAATAAAGCAAAGAAATAACTGTCTCCACTATCCTTTATTCGGTTTATTCTAGTGGCAACTTTTTGCAAGAACACAGAGAACAATACTATAATCAAGATATTGGCATTGAGGGGCTGGAGCAATAGCACAGCGGGTAGGGCATTTGCCTTGCACACAGCGGAGCCAGGTTCTATTCCCAGCATCCCAGATGGTCCCTTGAGCACTGCCAGGGGTAATTCCTGAGCGCAGAGCCAGGAGTAACCCCTGTGCATAGCCAGATGTGACCCAAAAGGAAAAAAAAAAGATATTGGCATTGATATGGGCAGAATTAGGATACAGAACACTTTCATCTAATGATCCCTTATACTCTCCTGTTTCCCACATCCCCACTATTCTCATTGACACCCCTTAATTCCTGACAGCTACTGATCTGTTTTCCACCTCTTAAATTGTATCACTTAAGGCATTCTAAATATATATTATGATTACTTAATACATTTATTTAAAACTGGACACGTAGTCTTTTGAAGTCAACTTTTTTAAAGCACAGTTATCTGGACATTTTTTTCCAGATCATTTTGTCTGCCCATAATTCTTTTTAAACTTTAACTAATACCACAGTAAGCATAGCAATGACTATGTTAAATGGTCAGAATTGTTTTAGTTTGGGTTAGGTTTTGTGTGAATTTAAGTTTTCACATCTCTGGGATTAATGCCCAGTGGTGCAATTTCTAAGTCACAAGATAGTTGTATTGCAGTGACATAATTAATTTTGGGCTCTTTTAAAATGTTCGTGCATTATATATATATACATATATATATATGCATCATGCTATTTATATTTCTTTTTTTCTTTAACTTCTTACTTTACATTTGGCTTTTCCCCCAACATACTTACAATATTACTAAGATGTCTAGAGACTGTGGTCATCACAATTTGGAGCGATAGCGCAGCGGTAGGGCATTTGCCTTGCATGCAGCCGACATGGCCAACCCGAGTTCGATTCCTCCGCCCCTCTCGGAGAGCCCGGCAAGCTACTGAGAGTATCTCGCCCGCAGGGCAGAGCCTGGCACACTTACCCATTATGTATTCCATATTCAATATGCCAAACATAGTAACAAATCTCACAATGTTACTGGGCCCTCTTGAGCAAATTGATGAACAATGGGAGGACAGTGTTACAGTGCAGTGCTAGAGACTTTTTGAATTAATTATTGAATCATATATTCTTAACATTCATTTTTCAGAAATACTTTAGCCTTAGTTCTCTAAAGACAGTTGGCATTGCAATACTTCTGATACCATCCTATTTATGTTACAAGCTTCTTTAAGAATCAGTCTTTAGTCTTGTCTTTAAAGTAAAAACCTGAAACAGAAAATTCAAGTATCTCTAAACAGTTTTACACAAATTCAGTTTGGATTCAAAATTTAAATTCCAAACAGTGCTTTCCTCTGATCTTTTCGGCATGAATATGTGTCTGTGTGTATGTTGGCAACACTCCTAAATGCTTCAGCTGACAGAGCTGTTGAAATTCTTTAGGCTTTCCTAAAGCATATCATCTTGAAGCAACTGAAAGTTTAATGTGGAAAACTCTGCTCTCTTCACCAGTGCCCCTCACAACCCTACCCCAGCTCTAGGGAGTAAGGGGAGGGAGAACCCTACTCTGAGCCTGATCATTCTTTGATAAAAGCATATCTAGTATGTCTACAGTGGCAGTCAGGCCTTTTAAAAGTAGAGCATGAAATAAGTACGACAGAGAAATGGTGCAGCAGGTAAGGCTCCTGCCTTGCATATGCCAGATTAAGGTGATCCCAGCGAAGGAAGGAAGGGAGGAAGGAACGGAGGGTGGGAGGGAAGGAGGGAAGGAGGGATAAAGAGAGGGAGAGAGAGAAGGAACAAATGGAGGGAGGGAAGGAGAGAGGGGGAGCGAGGGGTTAAAGATCTAAAGTTTTCATCAGGTACTAAAAAAGTTTTACCCCTTGTTAGAGATGGGCTACCTCCCAGCATCTCCCTGTACTTCTGAAGGCCCCAGCAGTCACACACAAGCCCCAAAGATCCTAGTCAGTTAAGAATTTAACTCTATATCACCCCATTAGAAATTTTGGACACCCTGGAGTTCATGGTCATAAACTTGGCCATGCGACATCTCAAACTCTATAACACTGATAAACCAGGAGTAGCACACCAGATTGAATGGATTGTAATGTAGAAAGCAATCAGTCTCGATTAACAAAATGTAATCACAGAAGATTTAACCTGTAACAACATCTTAAGAATCTCCTATACAAGTACTTAAGGGCTCCATGGTGAAATACAACAATCTTCACTAACTTTCTTCTAAGGAAACATTTTCTTAACAATCCTTTTAGTAAATTATTCATACAAACAATGTAAAATAAATTATTTAGGGGCTGCTATGGGGACAGGCTCAAAGATGGTTGAGAAAATTGGAAATAATGGTGGTGGGAAGGTGTAATGTTGGTGGAATTGGTGCTGGAATATTGAATTTCTATAACTAAACTAATGATTTAACAAATAGCACAACGGGTAGGGCGTTTGCCTTGCACGCAGCCAACATGGCCAACCCGAGTTCGATTCCTCCACCCCTCTCGGAGAGCCCGGCAAGTTACTAAGAGTATTCGATATGCCAGACACAGTAACAACAAAGTCTCCAATGGAGACGTTACTGGGCCCGCTCGAGCAAATCGACGATCAACGGGAGGGCCTTTACCTATTTAAAAAATTAATTCAATAAAATAAACCCTTTTTCAAAAAGACAATATGCAAACATGAGCAGACTACAAAAGCATGTTGAACTCGAGAGGGCCCCCCAAAAATATTTTAAATGTGATACTGTGGCACTATGGCATTGCTTTCATCTTTGTGTTTAAAGATTTTTAAAACTGGAAATGACTCACTGGTGTTATAGATATCAGTCTACTGATACTGAAGAGGAGAAGGGATCGGAAAAGTTCAGAGTTAGTTCCTTCCTTCATTGAGCAACTAGTAGGTTTACCAAGCACTCTCATGACAAAGCAAGTGGTATTTCTCTGCCTCTTTCGGAAAGAGCTCTGAACAGTTTTGTTTTTCCAGGGTTTTGACAGACATCGTGGCTAAGTGCCACGAGGAGCAGCTGGAACACTCTGTCCAGTCATACATCAAGGTATGAAATCACCACTTGAGAATGAATCACATCCCTTTGCTCTCTGTGGTTTGTCTCACTTGCTGTCTGTGGAAACTGGGAAGTCGCCCCTTCTAAGTGGGTGGTACCAGCATGGCAATATCAGGCATCCCTGTGAGCTACTTAGAATTCATTTCTGCATCATGGGCTGGATGTACCGTTTGAATGTATCAATAATGTGTATGTGTGCAAATGGCTCTCCCTGTGGAGGTTAAAGACAGAGGTGGAAATGACAAAGCTGCACTTCTGCTGTTCACTTGCAATGATGTAAAATTCCTATATTAAATTTATGGAAGTTTTTTCCCCCCTATGGTGTGTTGAATGTTCTGTGTTTCTTCTGCAATGTTTTCTTAGCTCTTCTTATTGTTTTCTCAGGCATTATTTCATTTTCCCAGTTACTGTGTATTTGTACCTGCCTCTGGTATGTTAAGTCCTTTCCCCTCTAGCATGCAACACCAGCCCATTCCATTAGCGTGCACCGCTTTTGCCAGTGTCCTGTGTCGTCTCGTTCAGACATGTGTCTGTTCTCATTTCCAGTTGTGAGTTAGTGCCAATGAACTTGGGGTGTTGTTTGCTCATTAAGATTCCTTGCCTCCATGCTATCTTCCTAAATGAATGAACCCGTTCTGATGTTATTAGAATAATTTAGATTACTTTATCATATATAGAGAGGCTATTCTATTTTTCTCTAGGCTAAGTCTTTTTGGAAGCATGGACCTTTGTAACTAATAGAATATGTTCCACTAGCACATATGGATAGACATAAAGCCATATATTTCAGATGTTTAGAAAGGTGCTTAGAGAAGAATTGAAAGGTTGCCGTTATTCTAGAAATTTGTAAAAAAAAAAAAAAAAGAAAGAAAAGAAAAATGCTCCTGTGAAAGAAAATAGAAATTTTATTATGGAATGAAGCCTGGAAATACAATCAGTTGAGGTTTTTTGTCATTGCACTTTTCTATCTGTATAGTTTTTTCTTGTAATAAATGGTATATGACTCCCAAATAACTAAGTATGAGTATGTGCCCTTTTTTGGAAATAGCTCAGATAAGGGCTCTGGATAGCTTAAAGGGCTGGAGATTCTTTCATGTGAGAGATCTCAAGTATGATCCTCAGTGTCTCATGGTCTCCCAAGTACCACCAGCTATAGTTGAGTGTCCCTCAGCATCACTGGCCAAGTAGCACCTTATCCTTGTCCCCAGGCCTCCTAAGCATTGCTTGGAAAATCCAACAAATAAATAAAACTTAGTCAAATAATCAAATGCCAAAATTTTTATATCAATTTCCCTCTGTAATTTTACCAAGAAATATCTACATTTCAATTATAGAAGTCCCGTTCCAACTACAAATTTCTTTTCAGTTTGTTTTCTGTTTAACACGGTGAATACAGATCAATGTATCATTCACCAGTATGATCAACAGAACTTTTACCCTCTCAATGATCACCCTAGTTTTCCATTTCCAGTTCTACTGGGGCTAAGACAAATATATATATATTATATATATATTATATATATAATATATATAATATATATTCCCAATCCAAATTATAATGGGGCATTTCCATTTTAATGTAAGCATTATTTACCTTGAGCTAGTGTACTCATTGAAAAATACATTAACAACCCCACTGGTGATGTGACTATTTCGTGTTACTTCTTTTGAGAAGAAGTGAACCTAAGTGAACTAAGGAGTGAACCACTATCGGAAACTGTCTCTGATGTCCTTGCAGGTCTGTTTGGGGACCACATTTGTTGTGACCTTCACTTTTAACCAGGGTGTTAGAAATATCATGATAAAAGCCCCAATTTTGTAATATGGGAGTTTGCTGGTCTATTCTCTTTTATGGTCCATATGCACCTTTGGAAAATATCAAGTTGGCAATTATTTCTAGATGTTTTATAGTATACTTATAAATTACAAGTAAACATGATCAACTGGCACTTTACTGAGAAAAGAGCGCTGAGTTGGCAAGAGGGAAACTTGGTTTCAGTCAAACAGTAAACTAGAGCAAGCAGTCTAAGCCTCATTTTCCTCTTTGTGAAGTGAGATTAGCTGGACCAGATGACCAGCAATTTCCATTTCTCTGTGACTGCACTCCCATTGCCATATATGGAACATCCTAAATTTAATCAAGGAATCTGGCTTTTTATTCTTTTTTTTTTTCATTTTGGGTCATACCTGGTGATGTACAGGGGTTACTCCTGGCTTTACATTCAGGAATTCCTCCTGGCAGTGCTCAGGGGACCATATGGGATGCTGGGAATTGAACCTGGTTTGGCAGCATGCAGGGCAAATGCCCTGCCCACTTTGCTGTTGCTCCAGGCCCTGTTTTTTATTTTTAATAGGAAAAAATTATTTCTCAACTCCAAAATAGTTAAGCCTCACTGGGCAGTATAAACGGATGGACTGATATCAATATACTTTTATGTCCTTGAAAGATGAGATAGTCATTGAGAAATTTTCATTTATTCAGAAATAAATGAAACACCATTTCAGGTTCAATGGTGCTAAATGTTGCTAACTCACCCCATCTACAATATCCAGAATTCACACCAACACTTTGGGTTTTTTTTTCCAAAATGTCTATAGCCAGTCTAATCAAAAGCCAAGTACTGCATCAATTTAAGTTTCTGGCATCTTCTAGCCAGTGTTTTAAAATAAGACTTCAGAGCTAGCCGAAATGCCCTTGTAGCTAAATAACAGTGCATGAGATTAGAAAGTTGATGGCATTGCTCTTAGAGGAATTCTCATCCATAAAGAGGGGAGGAAATTGCATTACCCTGGATCTCAGCTAGTTTCATGCTTTTATTAGGGTTGTCTCTCCTTCATGATGAACTTGGAGTAGTCAGACCCCATTGGCATGACTTGGTGACAACACATTACCAAGTTCAAAGCATTACTTACTGCTCCACATATGAGCATACCTCTGCACAGAACTAGTTTCTTGCTTTCATTATAGATTATAGTGTATTAAAATCAGTGACCTTCCTCAAAGCAAACCCAACTTTTAAGTAAAGTCGTATCATAAACTGATACTGATATCCTTGGCATACATAAGGAACTACTCAAAAATCAAATCATGGCAGGTACTCACTGGTGCATGTCAAAACCAATATATTAAGGAAAGAAAATGGGATAACCAATGTCCACGAGTGTCCAAGCATGAAATGGGAGACCCCGGGCTTGAGGGAAGCTCTCCTACTGGCCTCTGGAAGGCATCAACTTCCTCACTTGGCTATTTGAGTGGGTGCTCTACACTTTCAGGATGAAGAATTGCTACCATGCCACCTGCTCCCAGTGGAAGGAAGAAGGGGAATGTGTCCTGAGTAGGTGGGTCAAAGCCCCCCATATTGTCTTGAATCTGCCAAATTTCTCTCTCATTCTTATGGTTCCCACAAACGAAAAGAGTTTCAGGAGATTTTAGGACAGTGAGACCCTTCCTAGTGTCAAAGCCCTAAATAGAAGCAAGAGTGTGTTACCCTCATCATCAAGCCGTCATTTATTTCATAACAAAATCTGGCATGAGCAGATAATTTTGAGACATGTGAGCTCTTTGTTGGAGGACATTTTCAAAGTGTTGATGCTTATAAGGGGGTTGATTTTTCGCTCTTGGGGTTTTCTCCAGTTTGTGTTCAAGACCAGGACATGCAAAGATAGGACGATCCATGAGGAACTGGCTAAAAATGTGACTGGTCTTTTGAAGTCCAATGAATCGACGACAGTTAAGCATGTCTTAAAGGTAAGAATTTTAATGGTCCTGTAATTGTTGAGAATTTCAATGCTCCTGTAATTGTTGATACGAGGAAGACTCACGCTCACCCCAGAAGGTATCATCATTTATGGCTTTCATAGTTTATTTTTCCTATGGTTCTAGAATATGAAACATGCTGAAACTCTAGCATATATAGATAAGTAAATAGTGCTGGAGGGATAGTATTGTGGGCAAGGCTCTTGCCTTACATGTGACCAAGTCAAGTTCAATCCCCAGTACCACATATAGTCCTCCAAGCCCAGCAGGAGTGACCCCTGAGTGCCGAGCCAGGAGTACAAATGTGACCATACACACACACACACACACACACACACACACACACACACACTGTAGCAAAAGAGCTCTATATCATAGGAATGGACTCAAGTTAGATCCTTTGGCCTAAAAGCAAAATCAGTAACGATTACAAATTTTCTTGAACATTCTAAAATGGTAAGCTCAGGCAAAGCCCTCTGAATTATAGACGAAGCAAGAGAAAAACACGATGAAAGGATTTTTGACTACAAGGCAAAGTGAAGAGACAGCAGCTCTTTGACCCTCCTCCAAAAGTCTAAAGGCAGGCATTGTGTAGGAACATACAGAAGAGATGGTAAGAAATTTTCCATGAAAATGGTTATAACCCCAGATTTTCAAACACTCTTGAATGTGGATTCTGGTTAAAGTAAATCTGTATCATGACTAACAGAGGAATGATTGATAAGTAAGGAACCCGTTGAGAATCCTGTATTCATCAAGAACAACACAAGTTCTCGAGTATCATATTATTCTTGGCCAAGCAGCATGTTTGCTTCAGTTGCCCTTCAAAGCACATTTATTTGGATGATTCAGCTGAGAGGTCTGAGCCAGCACATGACAGGCACCTTCATTGGCCTGTGGCATGCCTCAGAGTGAAAGAAAGTGCCCTCCCCTTTGAGTGCTTTCATTCTGCTGGGGGATTACAGCGTAATTAATGTTAGTCATAATCCAAAAGTAATTACTATACATTAGAAGGTATGCAACCCATCCAACAAGAACAAAAACAGGTCCTGCAATTAGGAGCACCTGGATCTACTAAGGGGTCAGGATAAGTTTTGCACTGGCTAGAGCTTGGAGAAAAGCATATCTTTAGGGGATGTTTCTGCAAATGACTCTTTTGTTCTTGAGGGTGGGTTGCAGGAGAGGCAGCAGTGAGCTACCTATGCAAATATTAAAGCAAGTTTCAGTGCCTGTAGGATACAGGAAGAGAGGGAAGGCCACTCCTGTTATCAGATAATAAAAAAAAAATAAAGGCCCTCCTGTTGATCATCGATTTGCTCGAGCGGGCCCAGTAACATCTCCATTGGAGACTTTGTTGTTACTGTGTCTGGCATATCGAATACTCTTGGTAGCTTGCCGGGCTCTCCGAGAGGGGCGGAGGAATCAAACTCGAGTCGCCATGTTGGCTGCGTGCAAGGCAGACGCCCTACCCGCTGTGCTATCGCTCCAGCCCTTATCAGATAAGCAAAGACAAAACTCTTTGCTTGATCCTGGTAGGTAAAGACAAATAGTGGAAGCTAGTCCGAGTTGAGGAATAGATATAAGTGGATGTCAGTTGAAGAAACAAATGTTATAATACATAACAGCGTGGTTTTAAATATCTTTGAGGACAAGATAGGGAAAGGGGGAGATTAAGCAGCGCACCTTTTATTAATTCATCATTTCCAACATGAAGTTAATAGTTAATATCAAGAAATCACTTTTTACTGTGAAATCATTCCTGTAGGAAGCCCGTGTCCTCTTTAGAACCTAAACTTTCTCTCTTTCTCTTCTTGGTCAGTCTTTAGGGTTAGAACTGTCTGTGCTCAGAAGTTCTTAGATGCAGAATTTATTTCAAACTAAAATCTAATAAAATTCAAATGCTCTTCAGCAATAAAACAGGTATAAATTGTGATTATATGTATGGGTCATAGACAATACAGAACCCCCAACTATAGGACCCAACATACATAATCCTCAGAACTCTAACATGTTGAATAAAATTGGTAATCCCATGGGGAATATAGATGGGAGAATTTGGTGTATATGATGTTTGATGACAGATAAGATTAGAAGGTATATTCTTCAAAAATGTACAAGTACAACATATTTTTTGTATCTGAAATATGAATGATTCTTAGTAGAGAAGGGTGCACCAAATAAAGAGTGTTGGGAGGATCCTCCCAGGATGGGAGAAGCATGCTGAAAGTATATTATAGACCAAACATGATTGCCACTCAATGCCTCTCTTGCAAACCACAGGACCCAAAAGGAGAGAGAGAGAACAAAAAGGAATGCCCTGCCACAGAGGCAGGGTGGGATGGGGGGGCGGGCAATGGGGGGTTGGAGGGATACTGGGATTGGTGGTGGTGGAGAATGGGCACTATTGGAGGGATGGGTACTCAATCATTGTATAACTGAAACCCAAGCACAAAAATGTGTAAGTCTACAACTATACCTCATGGTGTCTCACTAATAAAAATTTAAAAATTTTTAAAAAAATAAGAAAGAAGGACCTCCATCCTGATACAAGCTTTGTCTTCCTCAGCTGCTCTTCTGATAAGAAATGATATGAGAATAACAGATTTAGTGATATTTCTACTCTAGATCTGAAAGTGTTAAGAAGAGTCTGACTTCTAATATATATAGCTTAATGTGAAATATTGGTTTGAGTTTTGCTTAATATTTCAAGCAACAAAGCACCCCATGAATCAATATTTTATAAACTACTGTCTCATAAAGTAAATAAGTATCTTGATTTAGTATAAATGCCCTTTGAGATGATGAAGGAACTGAGATTTTTGGCATTTACATTTCCCGTTGGAAATGTCACAATAACATAATGGAGAAGGTAGTCTTGCACAAATAATACGTGTTAAGATGAAGATACTATCACGCATTGTAAAGAACATCATTAGCATTCTTTGATCATAGCATAATAAATTCCTTGTTGTCTTTTCTTTCCCTAACAGCACTCCTGGTTCTTCTTTGCAATTATTCTAAAATCAATGGCACAGCACTTGATTGACACAAATAAAATTCAGGTAGGAGCATGGAGTATCATCTAACAATTATGCTAATGAATGTGCATCATCCATTTTTATTTGTTATTGACTGTGTACCTAAGCCACTTATGCTAATTTCTTTTTTAAGTGGGAGAAGTAATTGTGTGTGTCAGTACAGGGCCTTCTGATGCAGCTGCCAGGGCACAGTTAGAAGTGTAACTGGCTAAGGAGGATCAGAGGGACCCACAAATAGGAAGGAAAGTCTGATCCCCATGGGGAAAAAAATGGGAATGAAAGGAAGACTGTTTAAAAGGATCCTTGTTGTGAGAAAACATTAGCAGAACCACTGGGCAGTCTGAAAGGAACAAATACTGGAAGAGTTCTTCATAAATCAGATAATCTGGCATTAGGACTCTGCAGGCTCAGTTCATCAGAGCAGCCAGGATAGAAAGCAGCTTTGGCATGACCACTTGAGTGGATTCTGAAGATTTCACAGCTATTAAATTCCCTTCAGTAGATTTTGTCTGGGCTGGAGCGATAGCACAGTGTGTAGGGAGTTTGCCTTGCACGCAGCAAACCGGGATGACCCAGGGTTCGATTCCTCCGCCCTCTCAGAGAGCCCAGCAAGCTTCTCAGAGTATCTCGGCTGCCGACAAAGCCTGGCAGGTTACCCGTGACATATTCGATATGCCAAACACAGTAACAAGAAGTCTCACAATGTTACTGGGCCTGCTTGAGCAAATCCATGAACAACAGGAGGATAGTGACAGTGACAGATTTTGTGTTGATGGAACATCTGAACTGTGTATATCCGTGGTTCACAGTTTCAGCACCCATTACACATGCTTCTGTCTTGGCTTATCCTGAGTTCCCATGGATGAAAGCTTCAAAGAGAAAGGAGTGTGGGGTTAACTGTAGCCCTGTTATGGCAAGTGGTATAGGGACTCCAGATAGTTTTCATCATTTCCCACCTCTACTATGTCTTGTAGATACCCCATCCCCCAAACCAGCAATTCTGAAGTAATGGGTGGTTTTCCTGTGGCATAACCCTCACTCTTGAGGGATCCAGAGATGCCTACTATACTGGAAATTACATGCAAACGATTTTCAGTTTGACCTGAGTAAATTTTACATTGAATTCAGTGAGAAACTCATTAAAGAGTGAGGCAGACCAAAAGGCACCCAAATAGATCACTTAAGTTGCACATTTATTTCTGACTGTTCCTTTTGTGGATCAGATAAGGTGGGATCCCTAACTCTGCTTCTTGTCTATCAATCATTAATTAGAACAAGATTGCATGAGGTGGAGATGGAGGTGATTAGTGGCAATGTCCTTCATTTATGCTCTTGGTGGAGAAGGTCAGTGTCGATTTGCTCAAGCCGGAGCCAGTAACATCTCCTTTCATCCCTGTCGCATGATAGTGTAGCCCAGTGGTCTACTGGGGGCTCTTTCAAGGGTCAGAGGAATGAGACCCATTATTGTTGCTGTTTTTGGCATATCGAATACACCACAGGTAGCTTGCCAGGCTCTGCCGTGCGGGCATGATACTCTCGGTAGCTTGTCAGGCTCTCCGAGAGAGACGGAGACAAATATGTTAAATATACAAGATAATCTGTCAGTACTTGTATTGCAAACCAAAATGCCCAGAAGGAGAGAGAGAGGGAGAGAGGAGAGAGGAGAGAGAGAGAGAGAGAGAGAGAGAGAGAGAGAGAGAGAGAGAAAGAGAATTGCCCTCCATAGAGACAGGGTGGGACAGGGACAGGGCATGGGGATGGGAATAGTGACAGAGGGAAACTGAAGACATTAGTAGTGTGAAATGTACACTGTGGAGGGATGGGTACCGGAATATTCTATGACTGAAACCCAATTATGGACAATTTTGTTGCTGTGTATCTCGTGGTGATTCAATTAAATTTAATTTATCTTCATAAAGTAATAGTATTTTACAAGATGAAAATTTATGTGACAGCATGATGCTATATCATGGTATGTAATGATTGTTACTATGTTATTTTTATCTTATAAAAAATAAAATAAAAGGCTGTTGGCAAGGATATGGGAAAAAGGGACCTTCATTCACTGCTGGTGGGAATATTGACTGGTCCAGTCTTTTGAGAAAGCAAGACAGACACTTCTTAAAAAACTAGAAATAGAGCTTCCATTTGACCCAGCAACTCCACTTCTGGGCATCCAAGAACCCAAAAACTCTATTCAGAAAAGATATTTGCATTCCTATGTTCATTGCAACATAATAACCACATGTATAATCTGGGAAGAGCCTAAGTGTCCAAGAGCAGATGACAGGATAGAGAAACGATGGTACATATACACAATGGAATCTATTAGGCTCTGAGAAAAGATAAAATCATTCAATTTGCTGCTATGTGACGGGGTCTGGAGCTTATCATATTGAGTAAAGTTAGGCAGAAGGAGAGGGACAGAATGATTTCTCCCATAAGTGGTATCTGAAAAAGCTTGGTAAGAAAATGACAATTGCCTAAAGATAACCCCAGCTTGAGTACTGGTCTTCAGTAGTAAATTTGCCATGGCAGAAGGAGGAGGGGAGGAATAGGATTGCAGTGAGGTGGGAGGGACACCAGGACAATGGTCGAAAGAACTAGGCACCGTGGTGGAGGGTGGGGGCTAGAATGGTTTCTTCACAAAACCCTATGATTAATAGTATTTTAAACCACAATGCCTAGAACAATTTTTTTCAAGTTTTGTTATTGCCTTGAAAGAAGAGACTTTTGCAATATATTCCTGTCTGGGAAAAGTGCTAATTCTTCAGATGGAAGCATAGGACATTTGTTAGCCCAAGAGTTCAAGAGTTCAGAGTCACCATCTTCATGTCATGCACCCAGATGTCCCATCAAAGATTAGTGCCCCAGGTTCTTTCCCACCCATTGAGACCCTGGCCAGTGACCAACAGAGCTTCCTTGTTTGGGCATGTAATAGTCTTTGGAGTTCCTTAACTTTTAATTCTTAATCTTGTGTTTGCTTTTCAGCAGTGTCTGGTCTTTTGCTTCCAGAGATAAGAGCCTCTAGTCTGGGTGGAAGAGAAAATTTAAGATGAAGATAAGACTTGTTCCTATCTCTCTGTCATTAAACTATGACAAGTTAGTAAATGTCACCAGTGCAATTCTTGCTCTGTCACCTACATGTCAGATGATTTATTTTTAAAAAGAAAGAAAGAAAAAAAAGTCAGGGTATTTAACACCTTAGAGTCTGTTTTCCCATCTGTAAAAAGAATGGATTTTTTGAGAAACGTTCTGGTTTCTTTATCTGCTTGAATAGCAAGATAACTGCACACCCTCACATATAGACTAAAAATGAAGGTTCTTGGCTCTGGAATAATATTACAGTGGATAATGCACTTGCCTTGCATGCAGTTAACCCCAGACTCAGTGCATATTGTCCAGCAATGGATATGGTCCCCTGAGCCCTGCCAGGAGTGATTTCTTAGCACAGAGCCAGGAGTAATCCCAGATCACCAAGGTATGGCCTCAAAACAAATAATAAAAGAATTAATGGACTCATCTTGGGCAATAGAAGTATTTTATCTTTACTTCCTTTTCATAACCCCCTTCAAAAACAATTGCCACAGCCCAGCTTCCTTCTGGATCTTCTCATTCCAATTCTCTGTTTCTATTTATCACAATAAGAAAGGAACCAAAGGCATCATTTTACTCCAAAACATTTGCAATAAATATGCCCATTATGTGCATTTCTCTTTTCTTCTTTCTTTCTTTCTTTTTTCTTCTTTCTTTCTCCCTTCCTTCCTTCCTTTCTTTTCTTCCTTTCTCACTTTCTCTTTCTGTCTTTTTCTTTCTCCTTCCTTCCCTTCTTTTCTTCCTTTCTCACTTTCTTTCTCTTTCTCTGTTTTTCTTTCTCTGTTTTTCTCTTTCTCCTTCCTTCCTTCCTTCCTTCCTTCCTTCCTTCCTTCCTTCCTTCCTTCCTTCCTTCCTTCCTTCCTTTCTTTCCTATGAAATGAATAGCTTGCTCCACAATTAAAGGCATCACTTTCATCCAGGTGTAAGTGGGATGGGGGGTGAAGAAGTCATGAGAGATGCCTCCTTTAATCCTCAAGAGGCAGGCCCACCTGTATAGGCTCCTGCTGTCTTGACCATAGTGAGTTCCTGTTTATTGAGAACTATGGGTATCTTCTTAGCACTTATCTCTGTCATCAAAGGCATATTTGGCCAGGTAATCCTCCTATTTTCCACCAGTCTCTTGTTTCAACAAAAATTCCAAAGTCCTAAAATTTATCCCCTGAATGCAGGGTCTGTTCCTCATTACCAATGACCATAACACCTTCCACCCTGCTCCCTCCTGCGGTTGGGGATCAAACCATGCTGTTACCTCACTCCCCTTCCTCCCTGTCTGCAGTCAAACCTGTGGTGAGGAAATGCCCTCACTTTGAGGCAGGTTTGCAAAAGACCATTAAGAGTATTGTGTAGTTGCCTGTCTGCAGGCTAGGATGAAGAGAAGTTCAAAAAGAGAAGTCTAGAAGAAAGCCAAAGAGGGAGGTTCATTGCAGAGAATTGTTGGTGTGTTTAATGCACCTCAGAGACCAACAAAAGAAAAAGGAAGCTTTTTATTTTATTTTATTTGCTTTCAATTATATGAGAATTATTTACAGTTTTTGCAGAATATATGAAGAAAGAAAAAATAATGTGATTAAATCAGTTGGGTTATTTGCTATTTCTTTAATTTGATTTCTACAATAAGCTTGTGCTGAAGCAATAGCACAGCGGGTAGGGCGTTTGCCTTGCACGTAGCCGACCTGGGTTCTGTTCCTCCATCCCTCTCAGAGAGCCAGGCAAGCTACCGAGAGTATCCCGCCCGCATGGCAGAGCCTGGCAAGCACCCTGTGGCATATTTAATATGCCAAAACTAGTAACAACAAGTCTCACAATGGAGACATTAATGGTGCCTGCTTGAGCAAATCTATGAACAATGGGAGGACAGTGCTACAGTGCTACAATAAGCTTTAAATATATGTAAAGGAAGGATAACCATGCAATCTTCAAATTGCTCCTACAATGGCATGCTGGGAAATTGGCTGAAAAAGATCCTTAAAAGTTCAGCCAAGCCAACATACATACCCCACTGCTACATCTTGTTTGCTCTGTGAAACTCCTGTGTACTAACCTCCATGGTTTTTATTCTTGCAGCAAAGTCTGGGTGCTTAGGATTTCAGAAATATATGATTCAGTGTAGCTCTGAATTCCATCTGTAGTAAAAATGGAATCTAATGTTTAAGCCAACTTGTAAAGATAAATGAATCCTATTTCGTGCAAACAGCCTGTTTAAATTCAAAACATGGAGTCTGGGATGGAAAAAGCTTCACTGTCTGAAATGTTCCTTTCATGTACAAGAGTTCAAACAAAATTGATTCCTATGCCTCAGGGTGGTCTAGGGGTCCAAGAGAGTTTATTCAGTGGGTTATGCAATGTCACGGGCATACAATATGGGGTTGATGGAATCAATATTACCTGGAATTCACCACTTCTAGGACATTTCAAACAAATATTTATATTCCTTAAGTTATATTAATTTCCTAAATTCACATAGCCATTTACTGGGAGAATTGTAGTTTTTTTAAAAGTCAAAAAATTAAGCTACATGAAGGATTAATCTGTCTAAAATTTAGAATAACATTCACTAAACTGTTAACAGATTTCTCTGACATAGAATGGAAGAAAATTAAGATGTTGATATCAGAGGAAATATACACAATCTGCTTTGTACCTGTCTATGTTGTTTGAATAATTTTTAGTTAATACATGTTATAATTTGATGAAACAAGTGGGGTGAGATGGCCAAAATAGAAGGAAACATTAAATTTAAATGATGGACAATATGACCTTGAAATTAAAAGGACTTCAACCTTGGAGCTTTCAGGTTTTCAAAGGAATTCTTTTTGCTTGAAGATATAGAACAAGAAGTCTTTCCATTTATTTTTTTTCATGCTCCTAGCATTTCAGGTGTTGCATAATAAAGAAATGATCCATTCTTTCCTTCCTTAGCTTTCTCGGGCTCAAAGATTTCCAGAATCTTACCAAAACGAACTGGACAATCTTGTAATGGTTCTGTCCGACCACGTGATTTGGAAATATAAAGATGCACTTGAAGAAACGAAGCGGGCCAACCACAGCGTTGCCAGATTTCTTAAGGTATGGTTTGATGCATAATCACAGATTAATCTCTCTCATATGGGTGGTATAAAGTGACACAGTATGGGAAAAAACAAATGGTCAAAGATCATGAAACCTGAAAACTGGTTTACAGTCCAGAGTTTACCAAGGTGGGGGAGGGGGGCTAGGGAATTGGAAGGGGATTCTGAGACTGAGGTGGAGGGAAACGCGCAGGTTGTACTCATGAAACTCTGTCATTAACAGTATTGTAAATTTAAAAAAAAAAAAAAAAAGGTCGCAGTTCCGGGCAAGCCCCTCTTGAGAGCAGATGTGAGACGTTCCAAATGTCCATCGATTCCTGCCTTCCTGTATGATAGCACTATTAGATGAACACTTTCATCTGCACAACTTCCCTGCTTGAAACACTTTTTAATTTTTTTCCAATTTGGAGTCTCTCAGAACAGAGGTCACATAAAAATATCTATTTGAGTATAGTCAAATCGTTGTACTTCTGAATATTTTAAAAGATAAAAATAAAATTTTAAAAGAAGGATGTGTACTGTGGCAATATTATTCTCTTGGGCATTTCATGCCTTTAAGTGATGTTGTGGATTGGCTGTAGTTCTAATAGTGACGTCAAATAGCCACTTTAGGAAACTTTTGGAAATTTAGCATTTTTTTATGTTTCTTCTAGAATCTTTATTCTTAGATGATAAAAATATTACATCAAAGGAACTATCAATGAAGCTCTTGAACAACTACTTAATATATATTTCCAGCATATATATCTATGTATGTACATGTATCTCAGAAATCACTGTATTTTCATATATACACCTAGAGGTCAAATAACCAATTTAGGAAATGTTTAGAAAGTTAGCATTTTTGTTGTGTTTGTTCCAGAGTCTTATTTTAGATGATAAAAATACTGTTCACTAATTACATCAAAGGAACTATCAATGAAGATCTTGGAAAACTACTTAATAAATATATATATATATCTTCAGTATATATACGTACATGTTTCAGAAATCAATATATGCATATATATTGATGAAATGGACAAAAATAAACAAAAGCTAATGTAGAAGCATGCTTTATGATTTGATTGATTATTCAGTCAAATAGGAAGACACTGTTTTTCCTCTCTTCCGTCTTTTGTCTTACACTGTAATTTTGATGAAGCTGCTTTTCTTGCTACTTCATGGTAACATCAGATCACACTACATAGATGTGAATGTTAGCACTGTTAGCACTGTCCTCCCGTTGTTCATCGATTTGCTGGAGAGGGCACAAGTAACGTCTCCATTGTGAGACTTGTTACTGTTTTTGGCATATCGAATACGTCACAGTTAACTTGCCAGGCTTAAGCCATGCAGGCGCGATACTCTCGGTAGCTTGCCAAACTCTCCGAGAGGGGCAGAGGAGTCGAACCCGGGTCAGCCCTGGTTGGCTGCGTGCAAGGTAAGCACCTAGCCACTGTGCTATCACTTCGCCCATATATGTGAATAATTTATAAATAATTACAAGAAGCACACAATTAAAAGACTTTGAGGAGTGATAGAATATTGTTTTAGTTATCTTTGATATGTTTTTAATTTATCCCAATTTCTTTTATAATGTGTTAAACATTATTCCAAATCATCACTCTATTTATTCCCCTCTTGAATCTATTTTTGTATTCTCTGTTTATCTCTAATTCTTGAGTTTCTTGTTTCCAAAAAGGGAGAGGGCTGGTCAAGATTAAGAGGAATAGAAGGTAAAGGACAAAATATTCCTTTCATTGGGACCAATTAATTCCTGTATGCTATATTTATTACTATGCTAGTAATTTATTTGAATCACTTGATATAGAGGAAACGGGGGGGTAACACTGTATATTGTCCAATTTTTAATCAGGATACGTTCAGAGAAATATTATATTCTTCCCTATATTGAAAAAATTTAATATATAATGGATTATAAAGTCTCTTTAAAAAGACTTCTGTCTACTCTTCTTGGCTTAAATTCTTTGTGCATATGATAATAAGTATATTTTTCCTTGAAAACAATATTTACATATTAAGTTTATAAATATAACTATTGATTTAGTATATAATGCATTTTGAAAGTTCATCACATAACACTGTTTTCAAATTGAGTCTTTGTAGTAGTAGCACAGCAGTAGGGCATTTGCCTTGCACGTGGCCAGCCTGGCCGACCCGAGTTCGATTCCTCCGCCCCTCTTGGAGAGCCCTACAAGCTACAGAGAGTATCCCACCGGCATGGCAAAGCCTGGCAAGCTCCCCGTGATGTATTGGATATGCCAAACACAGTAACAACAAGTCTCACAATGGAGACGTTACTGGGCCCGTTTGAGCAAATCAATAAACAATGGGAGGACAGTGCAGTGCAGTGCAGTAGTAGTTTATTATAGGATACTTTTTAATATACTCTGTGAGGTTTATTAGATGAGTCATTTGAACTAGGAGATAAAAAGTTAAAGGGGAAGTAAGCTAATTTATTCAAGTAAAATAAAACGTAGTCATTTGGCACAATGCCTGGAAATTGATAATCCTGTGCCCAACTTTCCTATGCCCGACATTACTTCCTCCCATTGCTGTTACTAATCTCTTACATTCTCAGAAATCTAACAATACTTCTGTTGTTTCAAATGACTTTTACCTCTCTTAGTCATTAATGTTACATTAGAAATCAATTCCTGGGGCTGGAGCAATAGCACAGCGGGTATGGCGTTTGCCTTGCACGCGGCAAACACGGGTTTGATTCCCATCATCCCATATGGTCCCCCGAGCACTGCCAGGAGTAATTCCTGAGTGCATGAGCCAGGAGTAAACCCTGTGCAATGCCAGGTGTGAGCCAAAAAGCAAAATGAAAGAAAAAAATCAATTCCTATGAGTTCATCATCATTCAAAACCAGCACCTGAAATTGAGTGTGGCCCCATTATTGTTCCCATTTTTTTCCCCTAAGAACTAAGATACTTGTATATCTGTTGTAGGCTGAGACAGGCTGGGGTGGGGATGAAGTTGAAATTGAGGGGGTGGGGTCGCTGGCGGGAGGTAAACTTGGGACATCTGTGTTGACAATTTACACTGGTGGTGGGATGGGTGTTGGAACATTGAATAACTGAAACACAGCCACGAACAGGTTTGTAAGTGTGATGTCACTGTTTTATTGAATCACTGATGTCACAGTGATTCAATAAAACTAAATAAAATGTAAATAAATAAGGACAACAAAGTAGGAAGAAAAAATAAAGGATCCTGGCTAGAAAATGCCCTCTTTTACTTCAATGTCACGAGAAAGTAATTTTTTGCAACAATTGGATCAAAAACCATGTACATTTCTCTGATTTTTCTTCTTTCTCTATCTGTAAGTTAATACATAATTAACTTACATTTGTGCCTCAGAGAAAGACAACAGAGGATTTTTAGGGAAAGAACTCCCTGATGGGGATATTTAGAATAAAACCAGTGGAGGCTTTCCTCTCCAAGCTGGGAAAGCCTGGAGGTGTTTTTCACTCCTACTGAGAACTCAAACAATAGGCAAAAGACCCTTTCCTCTTTTTCCTCCCTCCCCACTTTATAACTGAACATCTTTTTTGTCTGTGATGTCTGTGTCTTTCCACTACTTTTTTTTAAATTGCAGGATTCTTTAAATTGCAGGACCACCTGCTTTTTACTGAGTGGAAAGGTAGTTACTGAAAAAAGTTAAATTTATATTTAAAATGAAAAATATATCTGAGGGAATGTATTGACACAGTGGTGTATAGGTACATGAAAAATGCTCAAGAAAACAAAGAATAGAAAACAAAAAAAGACAAATTCTCAGTGAAGAAAAAAAGTAGAATTTATTAGAAAAGAGAGTTTTTGTTTGCCCTCCAGTATATTTCTGTGGGCGTCTTTCCACTCATAAACTTCCTACAGCAAGGAACCCTGGCCACTCCTTTTTAAGAAGAGATTTCTAAGTAAACATGAGGAAAGATCCAAGAAAGGGAAAAACATGGGCATGGACCATCTTGAACTCTTGGAACAAGAAAGCAATATTTTATACCAAGTGGTTTCCCCTAAGGAGAATTTTTCTTTTTTTGTTTGGTTGCTTTGCTTTGTTTGGGCATCACACCTTGTGGTGCTCAGGTTCTGCATTCAGCGATCACACCTGGCAGTCTCTGGGGACTATATAGTGCCAAGGATTAAACCCCGGTTCGCTGCATGCAAGGCAAGCGCCCTACCCACTGAAATATCTCTCCAACTTCTAAGATCTTATGTATGTGTGCCCACACACATGAGGAAGGATGTAATGAATGTATACATGATAATCACCTCCAGATAGCAGTGTGTTATCATGTCTTGCCAAGGCACTACATTAATGAATACTGTCCCTGCTTCCAATTCCACTCCCTTCTAGAGAAGCCACTGGACTCTGGTTACTGTTGGCATTGCTCTCTTGGAGAGAGATCAGGTATTGTGCCAACTTGGAACACTTGCCCACTTCCTTCAAACCCAAGACTCCCATTACAGTGAAGAGAATTTGACAACAGACATAGGAAGACCATCAACAGCTCAATAATAGAAATCTCTAGAATGACCTTCACTCTTTAAATACAAGTTGCCTTGACAGGAATAATTGACTATGTAGAAATTGACCAGTGAGAGTCTGTACCATTCCCCCTTTTTATTCCGTATTGTATATATAGCAAAGAATCTCCACCCATGGAACTATAGAATAAATTTAGGAAGGAAATAGTAAAATGTACATAAAATATAAATTTTACATATAAATAAAATAATAGAAAAATGGAAAAGGGAAACTTTGTTTTAAACTCAGGGGTTAAAGAAGTCAGCAAATAAAAGAAAAATTTCTCCATAAAAAGAAAAAGACTGTAATAATGACTACAGGGGAACTCCAGGAGATGTTTTAGAAGATGAATAAATATTGCTTGCTATTACTGGTGTGTATGCTCTATCCAGTACTGAGGTTAGTTACCGTATGTGCATATTTATTTACATATACTAAGTTTTTTTTTTTGAACACTGGCACAAAATAGTTAAGTGTGGTTTTGAAGTGTTTAGTTTCCACATCTTTATTTAACACATTGAATTTCAAAGTACTTAATTGTCTTTGCTAAGAGTTTAGAATCCTAGGAGTAAATATTTGAATTTAGCATTTTTTTTCTTTTAGCGCTGCTTTACTTTTATGGACCGGGGCGTTGTGTTTAAGATGGTCAACAGCTACATCAGCATGTTCTCTTCTGGGGATCTCAAGGTAAGAACCGAGTGCACATTAACAGCTTTCTTGTTTAGAAAGCAAGGACATTTTTATCTCAATAAAGTTGCATCCGTTGATGTCTGCCTAAAACATTGACCTTCCCTTTCTCTGTATCCAAAAATCACTTCCATGTCAGTGAGCCTCTAAACTGACCCACCCACTGAGTAAATCTCCCAAGGGTCCTGTTAGTAGGAGACAAAGGGAAGAAGTAAATTATTTTATTTTATTTTTATTTATTTATTTTTAATTGAATCACCATGAGGTACAGCTACAAAACTTTCATATTTGATTTTTAGCCATACAATCACTAAACACCCATCCCTCCACCAGTACACATTCTCCATCACCAGTGCCCCCAGTATACCTCCCCCTACCCTGTTTCCAACTCTCCCCTGCCTCTATGGCAGACAATTTCCCCCCTACTCTCTACTCATTTGCGGAATATAAAATAACATAATATGAGACTGACACCAAATGACAGTAGAGGCAAGGGCCAGGAATATTGTTCCATAGTTGGAAGCCTGCCCACCTCATGAGCTGGGGGAGAAGGCAGCTGGAATAGAGAAGGGATCACTAAGCCAATGACGGCTGAAGTAAAGTGTTTTCATTTCATGTTTATTTCCCTTGCTGATGGGGGAAAGGAGTAGTTCTGGATCTACAACTATTTAGATTTATTCAGCCCATCTCTGTTTCCACACTGACAGCCCCATTTCCATGGACGAGTCCTTGCCCGAAAAGGAAGTGTGTGCTGGGAATTAGGCAGAGAACAGTGCCCTCTAAAGAGCACTGTTTGGTCCATGGTGCTCCCAGATAGGTGCAGTAATGCCAGCTCCAAGCTGAGCCCTTGCAGGTGAGACCCAAACATCTCCAGTGTGTTAAGATTTCCAGGTAAGGAACTGCAGACATAGTACAGTGGTCCCGCCAGGGTTCAGTCCCCGGCACCATGTGTGGGCGGTCCCCCAGCACCACCAAGAATGATGATTCCTGAGTAGGGAGCCAGGAGTAACCCCTGAGCACTGAGTGTGATCCAAGAACAAAAAACAGTAATGAAAGATATTCAGGTTCTTCTAGTGTTTTCTCAACCCGAGAGCCATTGAACGATAGAGAATATGGCATGTGCCGACAGAGGGAAGATCAGAAACATCTGCATCATCAAAGTACTGTCCTTCAGGATTGTTTCTTGCTACTCGAAGGAAAAACTTGAGTTTCAAGTAACAGATATTCACACCCATTTGAACAAAATAGGATTTATCGGCAGTATAAGGGCTGGAGCGATAGCACAGCGGTAGGGCATTCGCCTTACAAGCAGCCAACATGGCCGACCCGAGTTCGATTCCTCCGCCCCTCTCGGAGAGCCCGGCAAGCTACCGAGAGTATTCGATATGCCAAACACAGTAACAACAAAGTCTCCAATGGAGACGTTACTGGGCCCGCTCGAGCAAATCGACGATCAACGGGAGGGCCTTTACCTTTACCTTTACCTTATGTTGGGAATAAAAAAAAATCTCATTTGTAAAAGAGCTAGAAATCTAGATGCGAGTGTTAGAATCAAGCAATGAAACTGATAGCGAAAGAGAAACCTTTGGCCCAGCCCTACCGCTGCTTTAATGAATCAGTTCAAACCTTTTCCTCCCTCTTAACTTGCTGATTAAGATTTACATTCCAAGGGCTGGAGCAATAGCCCAGCGGGGAGGTCATTTGCCTTGCACTTGGCCGACCCGGGTTCGATTCCCAGCATTCCATATGGTCCCTTGAGCACTGCCAGGGGTAATTCCTGAGTGCAGAGCCAGGAGTAACCCCTGTGCATCGCCAGGTGAGACCCAAAAAGCAAAAAAAAAAAAAAAAAAAGATTTACATTCCAGAGAGGAAATGTGAGGAAATGTGACCAATTTGCTTTGGATTGCATGCCTATCTCATAAAGAGAGAAGACAGGACACCTGAATTAATAGTGTCCCATTAACCTTGACCCACTGGGAAGAATGAAGTCCCTAAAGAGAAATGATGAAGGTATTGAGGAAAACTAATGAGTAAAGATGCCAAAACTAAAATGGTTTTCTTACATCCTTTCGTATCATGCTTAGGAGCCTGGGAATTTATGAACAGGAAAGTTACATGATTGCATATCATTTGATTTTGATAATTAATTTATCTCTAAATATTTTTGAATGAATATTCTTGGTAAGTATACTGGTCATGCATTGCATTTAAAGAATATTCAATTAGATATAATGCAAGTAGACCAAATTTAACATGTATTTAAAGACCACACAAAATATTCTCAATGAAGAGTCATTAACATCTAATTATGTTCCTCATAATCTAATTATGTTCCTCTTGACTTGGCAGAACAAAGGCTGAAGTCAAACATTATTCTTTCAAGTGGCAGTCTTTAAAGTTATTGACTGAGGTTGCCACACTATATCGTTCTAAAATATCTGAGCAAAAGAAGTATATTTTATTTTGTTAGCTGATGCTATAAAATACAACAACACAATCTGAGTCTTGAAATTTTATTTTTGCTGCATGACAAGGAAAACAAAACATATGCATGCTAATCGTTCCAACTTTGAGACTGTTTTTTGACACACTTGTTCACCTTAGACCATATCTTGACTAATCTCTGTCCTAGTCTAAACATTATTGAAAAGAAAGACTTTTTTGCAAGAGTAGAGAAGAGATGGATTCAATAATATGCCCTGAGAACAAAAAGCGTGACTTGAATTTTTAATTAGCCTGCAACTTTGTCTTTCTTTGATTCTTGGCTCATTAAAGTTGATGGACCAGACCTGTTCTGACTTACTATGGTTTGGGAGTTCTACACGTGTGAAGAATGAGCATGTTATAAGTAAGAATTTTATGATAAAAACTTATAAAGGTAAAAATAGAACTCGGAGCATCACTGTATCACTGTTTCACTGTCATCCCATTGTTCATCAATTTGCTGGAGTGGGTGCCAGTAACATCTCCATTCGACCCAGCCCTGAGATTTTAGCAGCCTCTCCTTACTCGTCCTTCCCGACGGTGCTGTATTGGAGGCTCTTTCAGGGTCAGGGAAATGAGATCCGTTATTGTTACTGTTTTTGATATATCGAATACCACCGGGGAGTTTTCCAGGCTCTGCCAAACTCGGAGTATATCTTCCATAATCTCAATGTAGGTTACAAATGAGATCATTTCTTCAGGTCTTGCCAAATCCCCAAAGATAGGGAGACTGACCTTTACTTGCAACTACAGGGGAGACAAAAATCCTTCAAACTGTACAGTTAACCTACTGGTCACACAAAGTGCCTTTTTTAAAGTCATGGTATCAGATTCAAGTGCAGACTTTTTGTTTAATCTTAATTACTTACTTTGATAAAAATAACTCATCCAGCGTTCTTCTTTTCAGACCTTATGCCAGTACAAATTTGATTTTCTCCAAGAAGTATGTCAACATGAACATTTTATTCCTCTGTGTCTTCCCATAAGATCAGCATATATTCCAGGTAATTCCCAGATATCTCTTTATTTCCTATAAAGAAGACCTAAATACTTTATCTTTTGTTTGCTTGTTTTCCTGTCTTCTGTCTTGGTTTTGCCTGAAGTTATTGCATGGGCTCCAATAATTAAATCAAAATGCCAAGCAAGTCTTTGGCATTTGGTAGAGAATATAGTTCTAGGATTCTCAAGGTACAGTTTGATATCCATGGAAAGCGGAAACCAGAAAGATCAAGAACCTCTTCATATGTATTTTAGCCTGCTCCAGTATTTTCAAGGGGAAAAAAAGAGAGTGTATACTATCACACCTATAAAGTTTTTGTCACTTTAAATTTAAATATCAGCTATAGACTTTATCCCAGTCTTCACAGAGAAAGGGATAGAAATGATATCTTAGAGATAATTGCATTCTTAACTTTTTGTTTTGTATTGGGTTTTATTTTCTAAATGAGAGACCCATGTTATTGACACACTGCTTAAAAATTCTGGAAAAAAAATCCTGTTTTTGTCCATTTGATCCCATTTGTTTATATTATTTATTCCAGTTATTTGTATCTTCAAGACCTGATATGTTTTCTGCAGACCTGATAACCATGAACAGTAAAATGTATGTCTCATTGTGAGCTGTTTCTCATGGGAAATGGGTCCCAAGTGAAAAGAAGAAGAAAAACTAAAATAACTCCATCTAGATATTTGTCTCAAAAAACTAAAACTTTATAGAGAGATTAACATTTTAGAACAATATATCTTAATTTTTCAGCATAAATGACACATAATTGTTTGCAAATATAATTTGTATATCAATGGGCATGTGTCTGAACTTTCTTTTATATTAAATCCAGATCCTTTGACACCTTCAGAATCAACTCAGGAGTTACATGCATCAGGTAAACCACTGGATTTTACATTAAATTATATAAGCATCAACAACATCATAATCTAACAATATCGATGTATGTAATTACTACATAGTTCCAATTTTCAGATATTAATATTCAGATTTTACATCATAATATAACAATATTCGGTCACGGTCATGGTCATGGTCCTCCTGTTGTTCATCGATTTGCTTGAGCGGGCCCAGTAACATCTCCATTGTGACACTTGTTACTGTGTTTGGCATATTGAATACATCACGGGTAGCTTGCCAGGCTTTGCCGTGTGGGCGAGATACTCTCAGTAGCTTGCCGGGCTCTCCGAGAGGGGCGGAGGAATGGAACTTGGGTCGGCCATGTTGGCTGCGTGCAAGGCAAATGCCCTACCCACTGTGCTATCACTCCAGCCCATAACAATATTAATGTATTTAATTACTACATAGTTCAATTTTCAGTTACTAATGCTCAGATTTTATATACATCTCAAAAAGTTTCTTGAACTTTTCTCTTTTTTACCAATAATTATGTGATTTCCCCCTACTTTAATTCTATCCTATTTATCTCTAGAACTTAAAAATATTTTTAATATCCCAAAGCATCCAAAATTATAAATGAATAATGAATAAATGAATAAAACTTCAAGATATAGAGACTAACATGCTGGCTCTATATAACTAGCATTATATTAAATACTTGCTATGAAACACTCCGGTAACTCAAATGTGAGGAAATTCATCTTTGTGCCCTAAAATGTTAAAAAAATGTTTCATTGGCTCCTGTTGTGAACAAAAATATCCAGTTGCTCATGTACAAATCATAGCTGCATTGCGATTATATGAGGATTCGGTGAGCTCATACCTGTACAGTGTGGAGAGCAGTGATCCTGGTTCTATAAGTAAGCATCTTCCTCTTATTACCAGTTACACTTAGGGAGCATGTCAGACATTCTGAAAAACATATGTCATCACTAGAAATTCTAACTTTTTCTCCATATTCCAACTTCAAATTTTCTCAGTTCTCTTTAGACTGCTCCAACACCCTCTTCAGTTCATTTATTCCTTGCTTTCATTTCCTTTGCTTGTTTCCTTCTACCTCAGGCCCAGTTAGCTCCAACTTCTCTCCCTTCCCTATTCCCATAGCCTCCATATCGCAGCCCCTCACCCCATTCCTCTCATTTACATTCTTTCACTATATTAATAAACCGATAAAGCACAGTTCTGATTGAGCCACTTTTTTCAATGCCATTAACCTCTGATTGAGCAGCTGATCTCAAAGATGTAGAAACGCAAATGAATTTCTCCAAGAAGTACAAATGGCAGTAGGACAAATGGTTGCAAACTCCAGCCAAGCAATTTGTACTTTAGTTTCCCATCATCTAGCTCTACACTTTAGAAGGTTTCAATTTTTGTCACTCTTTTATTTACTGCCCACCCTCATATTTATGTCCAGAAATACCTGAACTCATAATTCTGTGCCATCAGAAACTGTACTGCATAGGACCAGAGCAATCGTGGTGGCACAAATACCTAGCATGTGGAAGACCCTGAAGTCCATCCATGGCAATGCAAGGTCTACTGAGCACTACTGGGTATTGCCTCCAAGTATGGCCAGGAGTGACCACAGTCTCCCTATCTCTAAGATCCATACTAAAAAAATGATCCCTTATCCTCCTGTCCACCCTTTTGTTGCCCCTTTTGCTTCCAGAACTCTCTGTCTCTCCAAAGGAACTTGAAGGCCTATCTCAGCATCTTCCTTCTGGTATCATCTCATGATTCTGCCAGACAAATATATTTCTCCTCTCAACTCGTAGAATACTACAGATTTAAACATGTGACTTGAGGTCTTGTCTGTGTCAGTAGACACAGGACTCCCCATCCTACTGAGAGCTTCTCTATTGCATTTCTCATCTATGTAGAGTGACTCTATTACTGGTTTCTTCCCAGTAGTGGAAAGAATTGATAAATCTGGGACGGGAGTGATAGTTCAGCAGGTAGGGCATTTGCCTTGCACACAACCAACCATACAGTCCCCAGAGTACTGCCAGGAGTGATTCCTGAGCACCAATAATCAGGAATAACCCCTGAATATTGCCAGGTGCAGCCCCTCCAAAAAAAATTACCAAAAAAAAACAAGGATAAATTGGTTGAGAGTATAAACTGATCATTTGTTTTTCAATGACGTGGTCCTTTTATTTTCTTCACAAAGATATGCCAGAATATTCAGTCACGAATGAATTTTGTCGAAAGCATTTCTTAATTGGAATCCTGCTCCGAGAAGTTGGCTTTGCGCTGCAGGAAGACCAAGATATAAGACACTTAGCTTTAGCTGTTCTAAAAAATCTAATGGCTAAGCATTCATTTGATGATCGATACAGAGAACCAGTAAGTGACCTTCCTTTCTCCCTTCCCTAAACACCGTTTAATGGTTCACTGCATTAAATGCATCTCAACCCTATGAGTTTATTGATTTTTATGTGAGTCATTTCTTTTGGCTTCCTTTCACCTAGGCAAAACAGGCGCAGATAGCAAGTCTATACATGCCTCTCTATGGCATGCTTTTGGACAACATGCCAAGAATTTACCTGAAAGATCTGTATCCTTTTATTGTCAATACATCTAATCAAGTAAGTTTCATACTACTTCAGATTCTTTCTTTTTCTTTTGGTCATACCCAGTGGTGATGCTTAGGGGTTACTCCTGGTGGTGCTCAGGGGACCAGATGATATGCAGGAGATCAAACTCACATCAACTGCATGCAAGGCAACCTCCCAACCCGTTGTACTATTGCTCCAGCCCCTCAGATTCTATTTTCTAATATCTGGAGTTCCTCCCAAACTGTACTCAGAGTACCTGAGGGTGGAGGGTGACACTTCATGGACTATATAGGCCTCATGGTTCAGTCACCAGGCACAGCAATGGGTTGCTGCTTGCACTCAAAGGGAAGCCCGTCAAATCCAGCCGTACTTGGGGCCTACCAGGTTGCACTTTGTGGTTCTCTGGAGTTTCTCGTAGGGCCAGAGATTCCACCTGGGGCCTCATGCATGCAAGGCATATGCTTCAACCCTTTGAGTTATCTCCCCAGTCCCACAGAAGTCCATTTTAATAAAGAGTTTGCCCTTTTAAAAATATATTTGACCTGGAGACTGATGTTACCTAACTGTGAGCAAATTAGGGGGGAAGCAGTTTTTGCTAACACTTTTTGGTAGGTATTTTAAGACATTCATATCAGTGTCATTTGTTCTGGATTGGACTGTGAAGTTTCCCTCTATTCTCTGGAGCATCATTCAACAGACATACTACCAATTCCTCCACTGTTGCCCTCATGGCCCCGTCATCAGCGTACACCCTTCCCACTACCTCTGTGCATTTGTTTTATGGTCACAAAATGATAGAAGGCACATTCTTAGCCCAGGGGGAGACCGTTGCTTATGCTTCTTCCACTGGGACAGCATAATGACTCCCAAATCACCAGGTTTAAGGGTACTGTTCATAGTCCCAGATGTATTAACATTTATATAAATCCAGTAACTGCAGAATATTACCATTGAGAGCAGTTTTTGAACCTCTTTTTCTAACCTTTTCCCTGTCCAATCTTGTTCTTTCCTATGCCCCTTCCTCATCCTACTGGTTGACAGTTTATTGCCCTGCCACAAACTTCCATTTATGCCATTTTTACTTGTATTCCCTTTGGAATACCTGGTGACCTTATGGCCCCCATAAGAAGCTCTGGTATAAAAAATAGGAGCTTTCCCTTTGTGTCTTTGGTTTTGCTTTGTTTTGCTTGGGGATGGGAAGCTTTGGAAAAACACTGTTCAATTCTCTGCAGTATCAGTCATCAGTCACACAGTATCTAAGGTCCGTGTGATGCTAGAAAATTTTCTTGGGTCAGAGAGATGGTACATCAGGTAGGGAACTTACCTTGCATGCAGTCAGCCCAAGTTCAACCCCCAACACCCAATATAGTCCTCTGAGCCTGCCAGAAGTTATCCCTTAGCACAAAGCCAGGAGTGAGCCCTAACTACCACTTGATATGGCCTAAAAATATGCCCCCCAAAAAGTTATTCAATCTCTTTATACTCCATTTTATTATTGATAAAATGAGAGTGATACCTTCATTATGGAAGTTTTGTAAGAATTAAATTATATAATAGAAAATATTTGCAATAAAATCTAGTATACAATAGGTAGTAAAAATATAGCTTTTAGGGGCTTGGGGGATATAGCTTAGTGGCTATGAGTTCCTGCCTTGAAAGTGTAAAATCCCTGCATGCACTTATTGTGATCCTGGTGGCTTTACTGTCTGTAATCCTTGGTGTCACAAGAAACTTCCAGAACCACTTCAACCAGATATCTGAAGGCTCCACAATAAACCCTTATGCATCAAATACAAATGATATGCAAGCACAATGCCAGGAAGCGCAGTCCCTGTTGAGCAGACAACAGAAGCTAATAATTATTTAGTCTATTTAGTCTATCATATTTTAGTAGCAACATGAGTACTAACACATATTCATATCATAGTGATCTGTAATCTGTATGTGTGAATATATCAATAATATAATGATATATATCAATTGTATTTCATTGTATTTCTAAAAGACATATTCTACTAGATGGCAAAAAAAATCTGAAACCAATGTATAACTAAAACTAGTTTTAAATGGGTTCTTTTTCACTCCCTACCTTGGTATGAGACCTTTGCTGAAATAGGAACGAGCAGATATCACCTAATTGAAGGTGTGGTGATGAAGGCATATGTATATTTGCGATGTGGAAATAACGAGTCCCATTACCTCTTCTATCTTTGGATGCAGGGTTCTAGAGATGACCTCAGTACCAACGGAGGATTTCATACCCAGTCAACTATGAAACATGCAAACTCAGTGGATACATCATTTTCTAAAGATGTTTTAAATTCCATAGCAGGTATTTAAGACCTTCTCAAACTGGTTGTGTTTAACTCCCATCCCTGTTTACATTGTATATCATCGTGCTTTTTTACTCACTCCATAATTCATTACACATAATACGTTTGGCAAAGTGTACCACTTTTATGGAGCTGAAGACTCTTTTCACATATTTCTTTGAATGCCATCCAGAAACTTCCTCTTCCACTTAACTTTCATTTTTCTTGGACTTGAAGAGCAATATATTTGAATGTTATCAAATTGCTTCATTTGGAAACAATCTACATTTTGTTAAGTAAAATTTAAAATATAAAATATGTACTTTAAAATATAGCCTTTGAACTTCAAGATTATTTTTAAAAGTGACTTTAGAAATGCCATCGTAACTTCTCAGAAATGTCAAAATTTGTAAGCTTTTTCATCAAAAATATTTTTATGAAATTTTATAAAGCATTTAAGTGGAAACTTGCTTTTAAAAGCTTTTTAATAAATCAAAGAAATACGCATTATTTTTATTTATACATGTTTTCAGTTTTCTAATCATTAACACTGACATGACCCTTACGATAATATAATGTTTCATGTGTAAGTCAGTCTCAGACTCTATTGTGACAACTTCTCAGAATGGTGCCACGACCTCAATGATCCTTTTGGTTCATCGTTTTAACGCTTTTTGTGTGTGTGCCCATACATCTCATTACCATGTGTGTGCTGTGGCTTGTGTTTGCAGCCTTTTCATCAATAGCTATTTCTACAGTAAACCATGCTGAGTCCAGAGCATCCTTAGCAAGTCTTGACTCCAACCCAAGTACCAACGAGAAGAGCAGTGAGAAGACCGATAACTGTGAAAAGGTATGAGTCCCCTCCCAAACGTACTTACTGAGCAGATGACCTATCAGAAACTTCCTACTCTTACTCAATCCTTATTGGTTCTTTGATTCCTAGATCCCAAGACCCTTGTCTTTGATAGGCTCAACTCTTCGCTTTGACAAATTAGATCAAGCAGAAACCAGGAGTCTTCTTATGTGCTTTCTTCACATTATGAAAACCATTTCGGAGGGTAAAGAGAACTCCCTAAAATAAAATTTTAAAATAAAAAAGCAAAGATCCTTAAACTTAAGACTCTCATGTTACATGGTATTTCTTTTCAGAAACTTTGATCACCTACTGGCAAAGGGCACCCAGTCCAGAAGTGTCTGACTTTTTCAGCATTTTGGAGTAAGTTTTAAAGTTCACTGTTTGACATTTGTTTTCTGAGATCTTCAAATTAGCTCAGTACATCAGCCTTTATTCAAAGTATGCCTCTCATGAATTATCTATAAATAATACTGCATTGACTATTTTAAAATTTGTCATTTTAATGTACTAAAATGAATAAGTTGTATAAATAAAAAGTATGAATAATTATGTGACTTTTTTCCTCTTTAGTGTTTGTCTCCAAAATTTCAGATACCTAGGAAAACGCAATATAATAAGGTAATAATTTTAAATTCCAGTAGCATAGTATGCTTTTTAAAATGATTGTGACAAATGTTAATGAATCAGTTTAGACTTTTAGATACATTCTAGAAATCTCAAAATGCAAATTCATACAACAAAGCTGATCTCATATTAGGCATAGAATTTTGGCAATTTCCCTGTACCTGTAATAGATCTTATATTAATTAAATCCGTCTAATTAGAAAACTCCAAAGCATAGTTTTCTGCATTTTATGTATCTTCTGAATGAAATTCTCTAACATTATATTGTTATAACTTGGAAGGTATCTATTTAAGAGAATGCTTTTAGAAAACTGAAGATAACAACATCTATTTGTGTTTTTATTTTTTTCCTGTGAAAGGCAAGAACAGCCTCTAGCACCTTTATTGAACCCTAACTTCGAAAATGTCATTTCCGTTTAGCAAGTGAAACATTTCATTGCTCAGTAACTACTCTGTCAATTCTTGGTTTTTCGCTCTATATAAATTAAAATTCTGAGCTGTGGTGAAAACTTCAATTTTCCTTTCAGAAAAATTGCTGCTGCATTTAAATTTGTGCAGTCCACCCAGAACAATGGAACACTCAAAGGATCAAATCCTTCCTGCCAAGCGTCGGGCCTCTTGCCACAATGGTAATAACAACTTTGCTTGATTGTTTAAATTATATCTCTGAGCACAGCGTGTGTATATAGAAGTGGTACAAGAGGATATGCATATGCATGTTTGTATTTTTAAATGTGTACATATTATTGTGTACACATACGTGATTGCTTCACGTGCAAATTTTAAGGAACTGTTAGCTGAAGTTTAGTTACATACCTGTCTGCCCCACTGGCTTGTAGAGACCTCAGAGGCAATGGTCAACCCTTATTTATGTTCACCTTGGACACAAAACCTGGCATGGACTGAAGATTAATAATGATCTTAATATAACCGAACCTAAAAGGGTAGATATTGTTCCAGTAAATGCTTCTCTAAAGGTTTGTTCATCTCCTTGTGACAACATAAAATGTGAAATTGTAGCTCCTACTCCTTTCCATGTAATTGCGATATTTTATCAGGGCTTTAAAGGTAAATTGTTTCTAAGGGGCTAAAGTTAATGATGACCATGGATGACTCTCCTGCTGACTTCCGACTTCCTAGTTATTGCCCTGATTTAACTTGTACCATAAGGCCTGGAATCATCTTTCATTAGCTTATCCTACGGGAAACATTTGCCACAAAATTCTACATTAAAATTCCTCTGGGTATAGTAAATTAAAGTTCTTTGCTAAATTTTTTTTCCAGTTTGATTTCTTCTTCCCAAGGGTGTTATAGTAATATGGAAGATGAAAATGACTCTATTGTAGGCAGAGGTTTAAGAAAGAAATGTGAGTGGTTCCATAGTTGATAAAATATAAAATAAATTTTGCTCCTCTGCTCATGGAGATTCCTTGAAACTTCCCCCTTGTGAGAAACTAAACTAAAATGTAAAGATATAAAGAGCATGTTTTGCAATGGCATTAGAATAGAGGACTATAAATAATCATTTTCCACATTTAATGATATTAACAGCCATGTGAAGACACTCTAGCTCCAATTTGTGGGAGGAATAAGATTCAGGCTCCTTCCTGAACCATCTGAACTGGTCTTAGACACTTCTGCCTCTCTCTACCTGGAAATCCAGCCTTATCTTCTAAGAGATTTAGACGAATATAAACTCAGTACCTCGAAATAAGTCAGATCTATAGCTCCAAGCCATGCAGCCCAGAACTCATTATTCGTCATAGCTATGACATGACCTAGACTGCCCTGACTACTTACTCCTTAACCAAAGTCAGATCTCCTGACTCCATCCAGACTATTGGTTTATGAAACCCAACAAAGCTTTGAGGCGATGTGAAAATCCATTGATTCTTTTTTATATTCTCTCTTCTTGCTATCTCCGTTGCCTGCTTTCTTTAGATAAATGTTTGAGTTTCCGGGCATAAGGATGACTGAAATGAAAGTCAAGAATAGTGGGGCTAGAGATACAGGTACAACAGGGAAGGCGCTTGCTATGCATGTAGCTGACTTGGATTTGATCTTTGGTACCCCAATATGGACTCCTGAGCTCTCCAGGAGTGGTCCCTGAGTATGTCCTGAGCACCTCTGGGTGTGACCCCAAAACAAAGAGAATAGAAGAAAAAGGGAGGGTAGTAGACTTGTGGGGGAGGAAAGAAAGGGGAAGGAAAGGAGGAGAGGGGAAGGGAAGAAGAGGGGAAGGAAGGGGAAGGGAGCAGAGGGGAGGGAAGGGTTGAGTTTCTGCTTGCACTGTAATACCAACTCATTGCCCCAGGGAGGAGTGCCAAAGAATCATTGAGAAATCCACTACTGCTCTCTGTCACTGCCCTGGGAAAGTAGTGAGAGACCCCTCAAATCCCTCCTCTTGCTAGATCTATGTCAGTATCTATGAGCCTGATGCAGACAGAGTGAGTTAAAAGAAATTTCTAAATAGGGGAGAGAAAAGTTTGAGCAGATTTTGATATCTGCATACCTTTGGGATGTACAGTATCATAATTTCTAATGTCTGCCTCTGTTCCTTCCTCATCACCAGACAAGGAATTTAACCTTCATGGAATCCCGTGACTTCATTAAAAGTTCGTGCACCTCTAGAGCATGTTTCAGTATCTACTATCCTGTAGGACCCACTGCCCTTCTGAAGCCTTTATCATCTTAAACAAGGGGGCTTGGGGTGGGGGTGGGTCACATCTCATGGTGCCAAGGGTCTACTCATGGCTTTGTGCTAAGAAGTGACCCAAGTGGTGCTTCAGGGACCAACTTTGGTGCCAGGAATCAAACCAATATCAGCTGTTTCAGTTGCAGAGATAGTACAAAGGTACTTTTTATAAAGTCGGTTTCACCTGATTTCCCATCATTAATATTTTTTTTTCAATTTTTATTAGTGAAACACCATGAGGTACAGTTGTAGACTTACAAATTTTTATGCTTGGGTTTCAGTTATACAATGATAATGTTCCATTTAAAACTGAGTCTAGAGATGTAAGTGTGTGGGGATTGTCACATAACTTGAACCACTCTTCTCATTGAATTTTCAGGATGCACACCACCTCCAGTCAAGAAGGACATAAACATCACAGATCGCAAACTTTACCTATAATTCGAGGCAAAAATGCACTTTCGAATCCCAAACTCTTACAGATGTTAGACAATACCATGACCAGTAAGTAAACCAGAATGTCGGCGAATCGATATGGCTATTGGTTTTCTTGGTGGGAAAAGTGTGTAATGTTTGAAATGTGTTCCAGTGTTTCAGAAATGTACAGACTGTTCTTGAACCCCTGAAACTGCTGCTGCTGGAATGTTTCTTAGAAAAAGAGGGAAGGGATTTTTCAATGTTGTGTCCAGAGGGGTGCAGAGGTAATGCAGTGGATAGAGTGTTTCTGTTGCATAAAACTGACCGGGTTTGATCCGCAGCACCTGTATAGACCCCCGTACCCCTGCCAAAAATGAAAGAAAATTAGGGGCTGGAGCAATAGCACAGCGGGTAGGGCATTTGCCTTGCACGCGGCCATCACGGGTTCTAATCCCAGCATCCCATATGGTTCCCCAAGCACCGCCAGGAGTAATTCCTGAGTGCATGAGCCAGGAGTGACCCCTGTGCATCATTGTGTCTGACCCAAAAACCAAAAAAAAAAAAAAATTAAAGAAAATTAAACAGCCTACACACTGAGGGCTAGCAAAGTAGTCTGGAGTGTTATGTAGCAGCACCCAAGTTCAAACTCTGACACCACAAGGTCCACCAGCAACACTGGATGTAGTCCTAGAGCCCCACCAAGAACTTCCAGGTTCAGTAGGTGCAGCCCTGACACACCCTACCACCTTTGGATAGCCCTGGCGGTCCCCCACACCATGGACCCTTTAACTCGGTTGAACAAATATCAGCAGGAAAGAGGCCCCTCATCACATCTATGGAAGCTGTACCACACAAAATATAGGGAAGCTATATTTTATTATAGCTTATTAGAAAGCAAAGGGAAGGACAAAACTCAATAAACATGTTCTGCTGTAGTCTCCTTAGAAACAGGTGAGAATTGTGACGTTATAATAACCTTTCTCACTAGACTGTAAGCTCATAATCACCAGCTCTGTGAGAAAAAATAGTTGCTTGTGTCCTAAGAACATTAAATGTGACAATGACCCAGTATCATACATTTGTGAGTAAGGACAAAATGGGACACAGTGCTTGGTCTCATGTATATGTTAGCTATTATGGACACGTGGTCACCATCAGCTCTTTGAGGGCATGTGCCCTAAGCTGAGATGGGTGCTGGCCCATTCTGTGGAGGCTGTTAAAGTGTGCTGTCCACTGAAGCCTTTTATTGTGTCTATTTTCCTGAGAGCATGAAATTTAATCCAGTTGATTATTAAAGAATGACTGAAACAATAGAAGAGAAGTAAAAAGTAATGGGGTTTCAGGCTGCACTGGTCCTGGAATCCCTATAACACATACATGCCAAGGATGTAGCTGCCACGAGATACTATAGTCTGGAAGACCTAAATACAACATATTTCTCAATTCTCACTGTGTAAAGGCTCAAAATCAAAGTTCCTGTGTGGGGCTGGAGTGGGTGAGGCACTTGCATTGAACACAGAGGAAAAGGGTTGAATCCCCAGCACAACAAAGGGTTCCCCAGTCCCACCAGGAGTGATCTCTGAATGCAGAGCCTTAAGCATGTTGGAGTGTGACCAAAAAAAAAAGACCAACAGTTAAAGTGTCAGTACGTTGGTTTTCTGGTGTGGGCTCTTCCTCCTTGGCCAAGAGCCCTCTTGGTATCCTCTGCTCTCTCTTTAATAAAGATTCTAATCTCATTCATGAGGCTCAACATTCATGATTTAACTCTCACGAAGACCCACCCCCATTATAATGGAGAAGAAAGTTTCCATGTAAGAAATGAGGTTCTGAAGCTTTGGGTCTATGGCACCCACTGAAGACAATCTACTGCTTTTGATTCAGCCAATAAGGCACTGGAACAGACAAAAATATTTTTAAATAAGCCATTCACCAAAACATCAGCAATTACTATGTACTTTGTGACAAGAGAACAAAGAACGGTCTTGGATGTTGATGTAGGTTCTACTTTGTGTACTGTAGATAATGCCAATGAAATAGACATCGTTCACCATGTGGACACAGAGGCCAATATAGCTACTGAGGTTTGCCTGACTATTCTAGACCTGCTGTCGCTCTTCACTCACATTCACCAGGTGAGTATTACCAGAACATCTATAGCAAAAGGAACGAGAAACAGAGTCATAGGAAATCAATTATAGCTTTTTAAAAATATTTTTGAGGGGCCCGAGTGATAGGAAAAAGGGTAGGGTGTTCGCCTTGCACCCGGCTTACCCAGGTTTTATCCCCAGCATCCCATATGGTTCCCTGAGCACTGCCAGGAGTAATTCCTGAATGCCGAGCCAGGAGTAACTCCTGAGCATTGCTGGATGTGACACAAAAAGCAAATAATAATAATAATAATAAATTTTTGAAACCAAGTAACCTCACATAAATCAACCTCTATGTAAGTGGAAACCATGTTAACAGTGAAAGCCACATTTTATCAGAAGTTGACTGGTGCCTGATTGGTGGCTGACATATATGATAATATACAGCATGTCCAATAGATAAGCCTTCCTTTTTCTCAGCTATACTCTCATGATTTCTCTACTCAGTGTTAATGTGACTATATTTTTTTTTCAAACTCAGAGAAAAAAAGCTGAATGATGGCTAGGTCCAAAAGACTAATAATATTGAACATCTTTTGAATAAGTCTGTATATTCTGGCAAAATTATATTACAACCTACGACCACAATGGATCATGTTTAAAAAAAAAAAGACCGAGTGTACAAGTTTATGCAAAAGTATGAAGAAGCAAGAATTCTCATTCAGTGATAGTGAAAATACCAAATGCTCTGGAAATACTCTACAAATGCTCTAAAAAACAGTTTGGCAATCTAAAACATTAAAAGTACATTTATCATGTGATCATCCATTACAGTACTAAGTATTTATACATAATAAATAAAAGAATTTGACCACCAAAATCTTTCACACAATTTTGAGGGGCCATACCAGGTAGTCCTCAGAGCTTACTCCTGCTTCTCTATACAGTGGTTATTCCTGGTATGGGGTGCCAAGGATCAAACACAGATTGGCCACATGCTAGGCAGATATCCTACCTACTGTACTATTTCTCAAGCTCCATACATAAATACTTATAAAAGCTATATCACTGTGTCACTGTATCACTGTCATCCCATTGTTCATTGATTTATTCGAGCAGGCTCCAGTAACATCTCCGTTCATCCCAGCCCTGAGATTTTAGCAGCCTTTCCAAACAGTATCAGAGGCTCTTTCAGGGTCAGGGGAGTGAAACCCGTTACAGTTACTGGCTTTGGCATATCGAACATGCCACGGGTAGCTTGCCAGGCTCTGCTGTGATAAAAACTAAATAGATTACTAAATTTTAACTATTTTGAAACTAAACAGAAAAAAATTAAATATACACTTGTTGGTGAAAGAAGTTTTTTAAAGATAGTATATCCTTGGCAGTCAGAGAGACAGGACAATTACAGCAGGCAAGGTGCTTCCTTGCATGAAGCCTTGACCAGGTTTCAATCTTCAGAATCCCATATGGTCACCCAAACACCACCAGGAATGATCCTGAGCACAGAGTCAAGAGTGACCTCTGAGCATTTCCAGGTTTTCCTAAAAGCAACATATATGTTTATATTGTTCTTATTATACATATCATAAAAATAATATATGCAGACTTCTTTTTCAAGTCATGTTCTCCCTTTTAACATGTTCCTTGCTTTCTTGTCTCTATGTATCTTTGCTGTCGTTTTCTACTCTGGATAAGCCAATGTTCTCTCACAAACACATAGTTCCTCTCTCTCTCTCTCTTTCTCTCTCCCCTCATATCTTTCTAAGCAAGTTTCATTCAATAAAACTTATCTTTTCTTGCTAAAAATATAATATATAGTATATCCAGATGCTAAACTACTTTTCATTCCATATGATTCATTCCTACAAAATTTTAGAAAGTGAAAACTAGAAACTGCACTTCAATTATATCTCAAACTATTAAAAATATTAGCTTGGTATAAGTGAGCTTACAGATTAAATAGAGCTTGGAAAAGTTAGATCTATTTAGCAAAATCTACACCAAATAACATGATTATATCAAGAAATTCTTTCAGATACAATGGCAGTGTGGTGGGGAAAATATACATATATGTATACATATATAGACAGACACATATATACATATATGTACATATATATTTATATATTAGTTCTTTACTGATCACTAAAATGGCTTTAAAATCTCATTCCTCTTATGGGCTTTAGTAATGTCAACAAGAACCTACTATTCTCATGTTATTCTGCGATTTGTTTTCATCTTTGAACTCACAAACTCCTCTCCAATTTATATCCCTAGTATTAGCTATTTCTCCCTCCTGAGATAATAAGATTTTCCCAGGGAATATTTCTTGATTTCAGCTCTCTATTCACCCCTTAGAGAAGTCTTAATAAGCCCTCCAATAAAAGCAATCCCACCCCAAAGTACACCTTCCATCATATTCATATCATATAATTCTTACCAAAGCCTAGTATAAATAGCACATTATTTCCCCCTATTTTCTTATATATTATCTTTGCATTCCCTCTGTCTGCTTCACTGAGAACGTAGACCTTATCTTTTTATCCAGCACTTTATGTCCAGTACCAAGAATGGTGTGTACCAAACACAGCAAAAGATATTTTCCTGCAAAACACATCACCCTTCACTCACACTAAATAACTGTGTGTTAAATTTCCAGAGACAAATGCAGCAAGCTGATTGTCAAAATTCAATGATGAAGAGGGTCTTTGATACCTACATGCTCTTCTTCCAAGTCAACCAGTCAGCCTCTGCTCTGAAGCATGTGTTTGCATCCCTGAGACTGTTTGTATGCAAGGTATGAATGAGTCCTCAAGTTTCCAGGGAAAACTGCTGTTGATGATAATAAACACATATTAGTCCTCAGTATGGAAGGAAGGAGACTTTTTTCTTCTATTTTGATCACGGTCACGGTCACGGTCCTCCCGTTGTTCATCGATTTGCTCAAGTGGGCCCAGTAACGTCTCCATCCTGAGACTTCTTGTTACTGTAGCTTATGTGGTTTTAGTAGATTAATTCATGGTCTGGAAATAAGTCACTGCTTGACAACCTATCCCTTTGAAGACCAAAATGAAAACATTGACATCTGGCCACCAAGTCTCTGGGTTTTTGCCGTTAGGGGCTGTTTCAGTGAAGTGCTGTTGGGAATTCCCTTCCTGCCAAGTTCACGGTTCCACAAAATAGTGAATACCTCCTCTAAGGACACCTGTAAGTGACCCCTGTGGTTTTGCAATGTTGGGGGAACAGAAAACATTCCATGGCTCTCCCTTGCTTTATTGATCTGAGGATTAATTATGTAGGAAAGAATGACTATTTCTAGGAAGAAAAGCGAATGCCAACCTAGACTTTCCTAAATAGAATTTCTATTCTCCACTTGAAAGTGAAAGGAAAAGACTAGATTAAAAGAAATAATGAATGATTTTGTTGGAAGGAACTTGAAAATGTCAGGGTAAACAGAGTGAGATGAAAGAAGTCCACCCCTCTCACCAGTTCTCGCCTCTCCCCAGTTTCCCTCAGCATTTTTTCAAGGACCCGCTGACCTCTGCGGAGCCTTCTGCTATGAAGTCCTAAAATGTTGTAACCACAGATCACGGTCAACTCAGACAGAGGCATCAGCACTCCTGTACTTTTTCATGAGGAAGAACTTTGAATTTAACAAGCAGAAGTCAATTGTCCGGTCTCACTTACAAGTAAGTGATGTCAGTTTTGACTAATGCCACTGTGAAAACCATAGTCTTCCGTCTTACCATCCCCAGAGCAACCATATGCCAGCAACTCCTCCAGCTTCCTCCCTGATGATTCCCATTACCCTGCATTCTGTTTCACAGGGAGAGGGCAGTTCAATAGAAGTCAGGGAAGTCCCTACTCCACAGAACTTTCTTTTCTTCTGCCAAAGAATTAAAGCATATAGAATACAGAACTCAGACCAACTCTGGGCAACACTGACCAGAGTTCACCAACTTTTAAATTTGTAAACTTATTTCTCAAGGAATCCCAAGATTCTTTGTAGTCTTCTTACAATCTTTAAGATAGTAAAGGGAAAGTCCAGATTATAAGGTCTTCTGAAGATTGAATACATAAACATATCACTCACTGACTGTAAATGGAGAAATCAGTGATGCATTCAATTCAATCCACTTTTTAAAACTGTCATTTCTAAGTTGCTTACTTTGGTGCTTCCTTTTTCACTTGTCTCTTTCAGCTCATCAAGGCTGTAAGCCAGTTAATAGCTGATGCTGGAATTGGAGGTTCTCGGTTTCAGCATTCCCTTGCAATCGCCAACAATTTTGCTAATGGAGACAAGCAAATGAAAGTAAGAAAGGCTTCGTGGATGCTCTTTTTAAGAGTTATAAATAAAGTGGATTATTTCTGTGAAATGTGGAAACCATCAAAAATAAAATTCTGTATTTCATTTCAACTTTAATTGAGTACTTACATTGACTTTGCTTCTTGTTCGAATCAGTAATCAACTCACCCTCTTTCAGCTTGTTTAATATAGACTTTCCAAGATATGTGACTGAATGGTACACAAAAAGAAACTTACCATGAATATCACAAAATGTATTTATTCCAAAATAATTTTATTTTTTTACCAAATACTTCTTATCTTTTAGAAGTTTCTGAAGTCAGTGTATCATAAACACACTGGAAAAATCAAGTGATAGAGTAGTTCAGATGGCTGAACTGCAAGTTAAAAAATTATGTTGTTAGACAACTTTTCTTTACTGAATCTCTTTTTTCCTTTTCTATCTCTTCCATTTTCCCTTCTTTACTTCACTTTTAGTTACCCTTTCCCCTTAGTTTACTCTGTCAGAAACTCCAAAGATACTTGGGGTATTGATGAGAGCACCTTGTTCTATAACACCTTTAAAGTCTTTGAAGCCAATCTCTTTGATCCAACTTGTATCATATGTCCAACCCTAAACCATTCTCTGTTGCCTGAGAAACAAAAGAACCTGATTAGCCAGGCCAGTATCACGTTGTCCCCCAGGCACCACTTTGGTGATGATGAAAGCCAGTCCATTCCCATCACCTAAACTAGAGCCAGTTGTCTCAAAGGACAATGGGGATCTAGAAGGTGGACTTGGAAGATAAAATGGTGATGTCTACTACAATTTTCATTTTGCAGTTGTATACTCATCCTAACAATCTATAAATGCATGTATAAATAAGTTTTTATGAAACATATCTAGAAGGCACTAAACAGAGAGACCAAGCCATAATTAATGACTTACCTTAGGAATTCTAAACAGAGAATGACCTCAGCTCTCTCTTTTCCAAAGAACAGCAATTTCCCAGCAGAGGTGAAAGACCTGACTAAACGCATAAGGACGGTTTTAATGGCCACAGCTCAGATGAAGGAGCATGAAAAGGACCCAGAGATGCTCGTGGACCTCCAGTACAGCCTGGCTAACTCCTATGCAAGCACCCCTGAGCTCCGAAGGACCTGGTTAGAGAGCATGGCCAAGATTCATGCAAGAAATGGAGACTTATCTGAGGTGAGAGAAAAGTCTCAATCACTCTCCATCAGCATCATTCAGATAATCATTTATGGCTGCAATATAAAAGTTATCAGATTTTCCCCTCATTGAGCTAAGATAGCTATATACCATATCCAGTTATTACATATAAAAATATATATTATATATACATAGTGATATATATATGGTGTATCAAATTTATATGTAAGATCCAAGGATGTCTGATTCCAAGTAAATGGCACCAAATAAAGGAAGTCTAGAGTCACTTATGGAGTTAGAAATAAAGCGGAATGGAATCTTAAAAGCTGAGACAGGGGCTGGAGCAATAGCACAGCAGGTGAAATTGTAAGCAGGGTGTTTGCTTTGCACGTGACCGACCCTGGTTTGATTCCCAGCATCCCATATGGTCCCCTGAGCACCACCAGGGTTGATTCCTGAGTGCAGAACCAGGAATAACCCCTGTGCATCACTGGGTATGACCCAAAAAGCAAAAAAAAAAAGCTGAGATAAATTAGCATGATGGTAAGGGTATCTGAAAATGGAGCGTCTATAAGATAATGTTCTATTTTAAAATTTCTTCCTTGCAATTGTAATATTATGGTGAAATGTGGCCACCACATTGAGTTAACTCCATTTAGGGTAAACCCTCCTTATTTGTAACTCATCTGTGCTGGTGATAGGAAAGTCAGCTCTCCTTAGAGCCCTGTGAGGCTGTAGGAAGGTTATAAATCATCAGCTAATCTTTCTTGTGTCTTTTAAACACTGAGTGTATTTATATGCAACAATTCAATGTGCTCAGATTGCTTTCATATACTAAATGGGAAAGTTGTGCCATAAACTAGAAATAAGCCACTTTGGGGAGGAGTTTAATTCATCTAGCCAAAACCTAAAACCTGAAGATCTTCAAAATGCATGTGGTGACCAGAGACCCTGAAACGGCAAAAAGTTCAACCAGAGGTCTTGCCTGAAAGCAGTGTGGTAAATCCAAGAATAAGAGATCCCAAGTTCTCTTGAACTGCCATGAAAAATGATAGTATTCATCCATAAAACTTCAAAAGGTTGCTGGAAAGACAGTTTAGGGGAACAAGCACTTGCCTTGCATGCAGATGACCCAAGTTCCAATTCCTGGGACTATATATGGTTCCCTAAGCACCACCAGGAGTGACCGATGAGCACAGGGTCAGGAGTAAGTCTTGAACACAGCAGTATGTGCCCCAAACTCAAACCTTCTGATCCCCTCTCACCCCCCAAAAAATCTTTAAAAGAAAGAATACTATATCTGTCCCTCTCCTTTTGACTCATTTCACTGCATTCATTTGTGGTATAAAAAATATAACATATATATATATATATATATATATATATATAGTACAAGACTAAAATCCATGGCTAGGGAAAACAGGGACTAGGAGGAGTTGTCAGTGGTTGGAACTAACCACAAGTGTGTGGGGGGCTGAGGGTAGATAAGATAGAGAAGATACCAGTATGACAATAATAGCTGGGAATGATCACCCTGGACAGGATCTGAGTGTTGAAAGTAAGAAAAGGGATATTCTTGATAACCTTTCAGTATCAATATTGCAAACCACAATGCCCCAAAAGAGAGAGAGACAGAGAGAGATACAGAGAGAGACAGAGAGAGAGAAAAAGAGAGAGAGAGACAGAGACAAAGACAGAGAAGAAAAGCACCTGCCTTAGAGGCAGGCAGGAGGTAAGGGGTGAGGGATGATGGGAGGGAACCTGGGGACACTGATGCTGGGAAATGTACACCGGTGGAGGGATGGATGTTGGAATATTGTATGGCTAAAATCTAATCGTGAACAGCTTTGTAGGGATCTATCTTACAGTGATTCAATAAAAAAGTAATAAATAAATAAATAAAATATTAAAGTATGAACTCCGGCAGCTCAAATTCTCACGTGCTCAACAGTATCCAAGGAAGTAGCTACTTTCTATACAACATAAATTCAAAAAGTGCCATTATTAGACAATTAAAAAGCAGCTTGTTTTAGCTAATAATTTGGATTAAGATACAAGGGTGACTAGTTTTAACAGGAAAAAATGAATTGTGAATTTCAAAATACAAATATATAGATACATAGATGATATATAAACATATTAACAGATATAACTTTAGATTGATTTAGATATTATGGAACGGAGATGGTTTTTGAAAGAGAAAAAAAATTCTTCGGGAACATTCATTCATTCACCTGAAAACTACATCAAGAAAAACAAAAAAATTTCTGAAACACAACTTATTTTTTATTGCAGTATTTAGGGAAATTAATGAATTCTTATTTCTAATAGTATATATTTTTTTGGTTTTTTGCTATTTTTTTGTGGGTTATACCCGGCGTTGCACAGGGGTTACTCCTGGCTCATGCACTCAGGAATTACTCCTGGCGGTGCTCGGGGGACTATATGGGATGCTGGAAATCGAACCCTGGTCAGCCACATACAAGGCAAATGCCCTACCTGCTGTGCTATCACTCCAGCCCCCCCTAATAGTATATATTTTTTATTTTATTTCACAAAGCTGTTAACAATAATAAATTACATTTAATATTTCAACATCAGTCTCACCACCATTACACCTTCCCACAACCATTATTATGAATTTTCCCACCACCACTCAAAACCTGCCGAACAGACAGATGCTAGATAATTTATTTTGTATTGCTTGTTATGAATACCATAAAATGTCGAGCAGCTGCGCACTCCTAAAATTCTAAAATTTCAGATAGCTAGGGTATGGAGAAATCTCTGCAGTGAGCTGCTTGGGTCCAAGATCCCTTTGTGTGTCTCTGGATCATGGCCATTAATGAGCTTAAATAGCAGCCAGAGGCAGTTCATAGGTGTGACCTGCAGGGTCCCATAGGGGCGGAGAGATGAGAAGGAGCGACCTCTCCTCTGTCTCTTGAGGCCTGGAGTTTGCAGTCACTGGACCCACATATCCATTCTCATTGGGTTCTGGAATTTGACTGCTGCTGGGATTCCTAGGGGACAGGTGGAGGGACAACACCTGCTCCCGTCTGAGGCACCCTGGTGAAATCGGCCTGGTGCAAGGTCAGGAGGCATCTCTGCAGGAAGCTGCTCGGTTCCAAGATTCCTTTGTGTGTCTCTCTAATAATATCTTTATAAAGAATTCACCCATCTGACATGGATGTGACTCCATGTGAGGAGTACTCCTAATTGGATACATAGGCAAATCTCGCTTGGCCTTTCTCTGAACCTGTTTCTTTTCTTTTTCCTTATAGGCTGCCATGTGCTACATCCACATCGCTGCCCTCATTGCAGAATACCTGAAGAGAAAGGGTAAGATGACTGAACGATAGGGGCGGGGGGGGGGGGGGGGAAGCTCAGAAGCCAGCTTGTTAGAATCTAACCTAAAAATAATTCGTTAATTTTAGGCTTTATTCATCTCAGTTTTGCTGTCTTTGATCACAGTGACTTTCACAGACATGTCAAATTATATTGTTCATTTAAGTGTTAACTCCTTCATGCCATGATGCTGTTTTATGTTGAAGGCTAACTGGGAGGGTCATCTTCTTTACTCAAAATGAGAAAGCATCCTCGGTTAGTGATTTGTAGCTTCATGGGCTTGTTCTTAACACAACCATTTGGCAATGTCCTAACCTCATCTCGCACTACTATAGGTTACTGGAAAATGGAAAAGATTTGCACAGCATCCCTGCTCGCGGACGAGATGCACCCCTGTGATAGCAATCCATTACTAACAACTCCCGGTGGAGGAAGTGAGTGCTAACCGAGCGTGTTTACCCCCCACAGTAGTAGAGGAAATCAAGTTGGCTTAAATCTGACTTCAGAAACATTTTATTAATATATTCCTTGCAGCAAAACTCACTCAGACCTACATGGCTTCCACTGTAAAAATCTGCAGCTCCTACGATTCAGAAATCCCCTCCAAAATGCCTGAAGGTTAGGTTACTGAGACGTTCTTAGCGAACAGAAACTGTCTCTTACCCAATTATATTATAAATTATGGTCATGTTTTGCTACCAATTTGCATGCTAGTATACCCTTAGGATTTTATTCTGAATTTATGAACTGTTTAAAATTTAAGTAGAAATCAATTTTAATTTTGAAATGTAATAAAAAGTCTTTATTCAAAATAAGGGATGCTTCCCAGCTACCCTAGTGGTCCCCTGAGCCAGTCAAGACTGATCCCTGAGCACAGAGCCAGGAGTAAATATGCTCCAAAAACAAAAATACAAAATAAAAAAGGGTATGCAAAGACAGAAACGTATAAGTAATATGTACATATGAATATAGAGATAATGGGTTATATTTATAACCAATAAGTTCCCATTTCCTTTTTATTTTATGGAGCTGGGAGTCTTCCCAGCAGTGCTCAGGAGACTCAGGAACTCTGGCAATTCTAGGGCAACTGAGTCGGAAGTTCAATGCAAGGACATGAGGATGAAGAGCAGATCAGGATGTACAATGCAGGGCACAACCCAGACTATGTCTTTGGTGCCTGGTGGCCTCCAGAGCTGCAACCAGTGATGTCAAGGGACTATATGGGGTCAGGAATGTCAGGTCAGGTATATGCTAGGCATGCACTGTACGCATGTATCTCTTGACTCCTCATTTCCATCTTTAAAAGCATAACTCATATGACAAGTTTCAACACAGCATTTTTAGTGTTAATTTCCTCTTATTAAAAATATTGCATCTTCCACCCCAAATCAGTGGGGGACCAGAGAGATAGTACAGTGTGTAGGGCATTTGTCTTGTACATGGCTAACCTGGGTTGGATCCCCAACATCCCATATGGCCCCCTGAACACCACTAGGAGTAATTCCTGAGTGCAGAACCAGAAGTAACCCCTGAGCATCACTGAGTATGGTCCAAAAAACAAAACAAACAAAAATATTGTATCTTTACTACATAATATTCTAAAAAAGATTTTGTGATAATAGCAGTCAACAGTAAATAGAATTTAGCTACAGTCGTTTTGATACATCTTTGTCCCTCATTGTTTTAAGTATTTAAATATTCTTAGAGTGTCAATAAATATTGCGAATAAGACATTTGAAGTAAACAACCAAGTGAACCATGAAAGAATGAGGTGACCTTGAGAAATTGGCATATTTGGTACCATGCCTCCTGTCCTTGCTAAAATTCAGGGATTTTCCTGTCTCATCCTTCAGTTCCTATTGGAATTTCATTTTATATGTAACTCATCAAAATCACTGTTGTTCAGTTATTTCCTCCCCATCCTTTTTCATTGCAATCAGATGCTGTATAAGTCCATGGAGTATTGCAATTACACTTCAAAATTAGGTTCCTTTATTACCTCCTGTTTTACATGTGAGCAAACCAAGATAAGTTAAATAAACTACCCCAAAATTTGTGATAAACTCTTGCTCATGGAATACTCTGTGACTCTGTCACAGCCAGTCATATCTGCATTCCTTCAGATCAAATTCCCCCTAAAAGGGATAGACCATATAGAACATATTATCAACTGTTTCATATGTCTCTGTAAAGCCTGCCCTTTTTCCATGTTGATGTTGAAAATTCTGAGAAAACTGGAGGGTTTTAGATGATTCAAAAGAGTGAAAATGAGCAAGTACTGAGCAGTGTCAGTATACTAACCTTGTTCTCAGATATGCATGTTCTGAATTCCTCCAATACTGTTCTCAGACAGATAACAAAGTTTCTGATGAACAACACAGTGGGAAATAGATTCAGAGGTAATTCAGTCAGGACCTTGGAGCTATGTCTACCTACAAATTTTGTGTTCTGTCCATAAACCTATGCTAGCTCCTTATAGAAACCAGGTAACCCAAAATAATATAAAAATCTAAAAGGCAAAACATTGTTATCCATATTTTCCAACACTTACAATCTGACCATTATGTTGATTGCATGAGCTTTATAATAATATCACTTGAAATGGCTTGAAGAAAGCCATTGTCTCAAATATTAGACTCAAATATTAATGTTAAATTTTACTCAACCTTCCCAGGCATGTTCTCTATGGGCTGGCCAGCTTTTCTGAGCATTACACCAAACATTAAAGAAGAAGGTGCAATGAAAGAAGATTCAGGAATGCAAGATACACCATACAATGAGGTTAGACCATAATTATCTCAATAATAGAGAAAAAAACTATATTAAATTGCATCATTAAACTAAATTGGGGGAAGGGGAAATAAAGCTTATTCAGAAGTCTAGTAAAGTCCCTTTATAATATGATTTAGAAAAATGGTATGCCCATTAATACTTCTGCTAATATTAAACTTAATTGATGATAGTTAATTTTAGTAAAAACTTAAACCAAACTTTACTTTTCTAATATGGAGCCAAATATACATAAATAAACTTTCCAGTAAGATATAAAAGCACTAGTCTTTGGAGAAACATGATAAGGAATGTTGCAACTTTTGTGAGCTGATAACAGCTTTTTTTAATGTGTTAGAAATTCTTTTTACTTCAGCTAAAGGGCTGCTTTTGAAGAAATCCTTTTGGTTTACCAAAAAAAAATGGTTATTTTTTGTTAAATAAAAAAGAAAATTTTTCACTGAAAACTAGCGACAATTCTGGTGAAGCAAGACACCTCCCCTCAAGTAAAGTATTTTGTGAACTAGTTTGTAAATCATAATATTACATAGGTTGGAGAAAGGGTAAGACATAAAAACTTTGGAATGATCCTTAATGAGATTTTACATATGATTCCACATGAATTTGTTGTACACTGCAAATAACAAATGTAACCATATCTTTTTATTAACTGTTTTAAATATTTAAGAATCCTTTCTTAATTATTCCAACAGTGTTATCCACTTATTTTATGGAGTTTATAGCTTGTTTTAGTTGAACATTTATTAAACCATTAACATATGAATCATTGAGTTAATGATGGAAAATATTTTAAAACAATTTATACTCAATTTGCAAACTTGATCAAGACAAAATTCTTAAATCTCTTTCTCAAGGGAGAGTAGTCAGTCTTAGACCCAAGAACCATAAATCCATGTATATATGGTCACAATTAAAAGAAAGACCAATTTTTGCACCAAAATATGTGTAATGGGAATGGATTAATAAAAGCTTCCCAGACGTTTGCATGGGATCTTGATGCTTAATAGAAGCTGGAGTCAAATGGGGGAAAAAACGTATTTCTGTGCTTAGAAAACATATTTCTGTTCTTAGAAGCACAGAAATATGAGCAACTGAAAGGTGAAGATGGAAAAGTATTCTAACTATGAAGTGTCCAGTACAGTATAGCCAAACTTCAGTCATTAGCCACTGTAAGGGAGGTTGGTGATTGAGTGTGGAGCAATTTGAAGGTCATGCTTGAGAATTTGGACAGCTCTTCTCAATGCTGGAGTCCCCACAAAAGTTTTGGGACATGCAGATCTCATGATCTTATGTTTCAGAAAGGATAATGAGTTTGCAAAACAAACAAACAAAAAGCTACTGAGATCCAGGATAGAGGGAACAGAGTTCAGTTCAGCAGATGTATTTCCTGTGACAGTGGAAATGCAGATAAACAAGCAGACTTGAAGGCGTTTCGTGGATTTAAAATATTAAGTTGGAGGAACTAACAAGGTAAAAGTGGTGAGGCTAAGAGAAGACTCCAAAGAAAATTTCACATCCCTGGGAAGAAAGGGTAGGAATGCAAATAAATGAGGTCAGGAGCAGAGAAATCCCAGGTGAAAAAATGCTGACAATGCAACTATTTTGAAACCAACTATCAAGAGAAGGCTCCAATGTTAGTCATGTGACAATCTCATTTCCATCTGGGGCATTGCAGCATATCCTGGTAGAGCAGCTGTACATGTGTGTGGAATTTCTCTGGAAGTCTGAAAGATATGAACTTATCGCCGATGTCAACAAGCCCATCATTGCTGTCTTTGAGAAGCAAAGGGACTTCAAGGTATGCTTTCGAGACTTCAAAATGAGTTGAAATTACCTGCTTAAAGTTTATAAATTACTGCTCTCCAAAATAAAAACTCTCTGTTTCTCGTCATACTTTTTTTCATGGACATCTATTTGATATGTAACATTGCAATACAGTCAAGGGATAATGGTGTGTGGATTTGATACAAGCAGATATTATTGTATAATGTAGAACAGCATTGAACCTCCTATTTTTTTTTAATGTCAGTCTCACCTTCATGAAACCCTTTGATTTACGGTTTCAGAAATTATCGGATCTGTACTATGACATTCATCGGTCTTACCTGAAAGTGGCTGAGGTGGTGAACTCTGAGAAGCGGTTGTTTGGTCGCTACTATCGCGTGGCATTTTATGGGCAGGTAGGTTCTCTCGGTGTGACATGGCATGTTCTCTTAATCCGTTGGGTTTTCTGTCATTATGAGACATCTAACGGCAAGATAGAAAGCACACCAGAAACTGTGTTGTGTTTGGGTGTATTTTTGTCTTTCTTTGAAGTCAGAGTCTATATGTTCATAGAAATGTACAAGCTAGATAAATAGGCAGAGAAATCTTAAAAGAGATTCAATCAAGCAGATTTCTGTGTCTAGAAATCTAGCTAAATTTCTAATCTTTTGAAGAAAAAAATTGTTTTCAGCACTCTCTTCTTCCTGGTTCCTATCTTTCTTAAAATACCTCTGTACATGCATTGAATATAAAAGGGAATTTCAACTGGACATATTTTAGGAAATGAAACTTGTAGCATTCTAGGAAATAATTTCTAGGACTCCATCACAAACCTAAGAGTTTCCAATCATGCATATACTTATTTCCAGACTGTTTTCAGACTATGACTGTTTCCAAGAGGAAAACCTTTTGGATATTTTATTTTCTCTATTGAAGATCAATGTCACGCTTAAGTGTTCTTCCTTGACAATGAACAAGGTGGAAAATATTACTTATTGATAGAGGCTTAAAAATAAAGTAAAATTTGTATATTATTAAGGTATATAAATTCATTATTACATGTAATATAAGTGATATATTACATTATAACTTAAGTCATAAATTATATAGTACATAATACAAATTATATATTAAATTATTAAAGCATAATTCTTTAATCTACCAGGCACCATCCTGTTCCCTTTCAGGAAAGCTTCTAGCACTATTGTATTTCAACATACATATTTCAGACTTTTATTCCTATGGATAAAGATTCCATTCTTTTACTGCCACAGTGGGAGGTCTCCCCAAAAAAAGTCATTCCAGACCATTTCCTATAGAAGTCTTGGAAAATATTAATTTTCCAGAATTAATGTCCTTACAGACCATTTCCTTTAGAAGTCTTGGAAAACATTAATTTTTCTCTGTCACCAAAGGCAATTTAACACGACCTCCTGAGTTGAGAAAGACAGCTGCTTTCTCCCTAGGGAGTAAAATGTCATCTAAAAGTTTACAAACTCATGTGAATCCCACCCAGATTTCCAGCCCACATAGTATGGAAATTGTTGAGGAGACAAGGGGAGAGTCTGCAGAAAGAGGCTCTAAGTCATATGTTTTAGGAATCCTGGAAAAAGAATCAGAACTCTTTGAAGTGGTAATATATTTTGGTGGAGAAAAAAAATCTGCAACACAGGAGTAGAGAGTAAAAAAAAATGTACCTTGAACATCTTGGAGAAAATTACTGGGTTTTTTTCCAACTTACATGGAACATCAGCCAGAAAAATGATGAAAGGAAATAGGAATCAGGAAGGAAATGTGAAAATTGAGGGGCTTCTTGGGAGCTAAGCACCCCGGAGATGGCTCAAAAAAAAAACTCCAAAACATGCATTCAGCAGCCCAAGATTTGAGTCTAGCACTTTTGCAGAGATCTTTTCAATAAAAAAGGAATGAACTGCTGTCCATAATCTGGCCCTGAAAAGCAGGTTTCTCCAAACAGCATAGAAGAATTGGACTACTAAAAGGTGTCAGTTCCAGCTCAATTTTAATGCAGATATTTACTCTTTTCTTCCTTTGGTCTTGGGTGTTCCAGGCTGTGGTAAGTTTGTTCTCTCTCCATTTGCATGTTTAATAATCCTCACAATTCCCTCCCCATTGTCTTACTCAAACTTGACTTACTTTGGCGATTGGGTCTTCTGCACAAAGGTGATATAACCCTGCTCCCATTCATTTGGGAGTCATAATGCAACTTCTTGAACTAAATGGAGCTTATACCAATGATCTGAATTACAAAAACGTATAATTTATTTTATGGATATGATCTTTCTACACAAATATATACATAGTCTGAAAGCCTACAGACATATTCACACAGATGTGGGCACTACACACAGGAAATCTGTGTACAGAGAGGATGGTGCAATAGTACAGTGGGTAGCATTGTACTATGTTTACTTTGCATGTAGCTGACCTGGATTCGATTCCCAGCACTTCATACGGCCCCCTGAGCCCACCAGGACTGATTCCTGAGTGCAGAGTCAGGAGTAAACCCTGAGCACCAATGGGCACAGCCCTAAAACATACCGAAAAAATGAAATCAGAGGACAGTTGACCCTTTCCTGTCTTCAGATTTGCACCCACAGGGACAGTATTGGAAATGCCACACTCACTTCAGATTTCAGACTTAGAGCTCACTAAGAACAGAGGGGTTGGGGAGGAGGCAGCAGTTGGGGCAATGATTGTGGATGGGTACCTCCCCAGCATTCTGAGAGTCTGAGAGGACCTTGCCTTTTCACAAAAGAACATCTTTGAGAAATAGGACTGTCTCACATGGTGTCTTCAAAGATGAATGGTGGATCCAATCTTGATCCAGTAAGAGTTAGTCTCCAAAGATACAGACGGAAATGGTATGAGAACAAGCTGGACCAGAGCGATAGAAGAGCAGGTAGGGAATTTTTCTTGCATGAGACCTATTCAGGATTCCATCCCAGGCATTCCATATGGTACCCTGAGCCCACCAGGAGTAATTCCTGAAAGCAACAACAGGAATAACAAGCCCTGAGCACCATCAAGTGTGGCCCAAAACTAGACAGAGAGAGAGAGAGAGAGAGAAAGAGAGAACAAACCAATAATTGTATCTAGAGTAGTTCTGTGACAGAAGAACTCTCCTTACTCTTTTGAAACATATGAAATTGCTTATATTTAATACTTTCTGCCTATAAAAATAGCAATTTCACATGAGTCAACATAATTATTGTTAAGATAGAGAAGACAAATTCTTTCAATATCTACTAATTGTTCATATTCAGATCTGCTCTTCTTACCAATACATACTTTTTTGTAATTCTTTAATTCCTTCCACATCCATATCAAACCAGTATTTTCCATCTTCACTTATAAATCTTGGGGTCATGGTCCTTAACTCACCTACTAAAAGAATATTTGAAAAACCATGTACTAAATAGACTGAGGGACAATATGGGAGGATTGGGATTCAAATGACCTAATTTTATTCTTTTTGCAGGTTCCTCAATAAAGTGTGTTGATTATACACCTGCCTTTTATTTCTAATACTGTCAGGATTCTTGGTAGATGTGTCTTTTTCCATTAAAAGCTCCATCTTGAGCTAAAAAGCAACGTGTTTTTGTTAAATATAAAGGCCTAAATACCTGTCTAAGAATCATGCCCTCTAAACTCTAATACTAGCCATCTGTGAATGGGAAGAGCCAATGGCATTATCTTTGATAAGCTGAAATATAGGGGCTTGTCATCATTGTGTAGGTGACATTCAAGTACCTGTCCAAGATTCCAAAGAGAGAGAGTGTGAACTACTTTATTTTCTAGTAGCAAATAGAGCACAGAATTTCACATGACAATAAAGAGACTTAAACATTACCTCTAATCATGAGACAAGTGATATTTCCAAAAGCCTAAAATAAGAGTCTTGACCACTTATAGCATAATCCCCTTGGTTTCTTTTTTTTTTTCAATTCATGCCACTGTGAAATTTACCTTTTAATATCCAAATTGGCTTGTCTCATAACCATGATACAAAATTATGGCTATATATGCAATACTCTTGGCTTCCGCAAAGGGCTTTGGGTAAATATTTCAGTATCGCCTGGGGACTTCATTTTATGGTAGTGACTAGAATAGTTAATATCATGTCTACAATGAACCAGACATTAGAAAACAAGTTGAAAATGGATTTTTCAAGGCAGGAGCATTTAAAACTTAAGTCTTGCATAACATGAATTTTTTAATCCAACACCTGGCCTCATTGACTATGGAAATTTTACACAAAGTAGCCTATATAAAGTACCCCAAAAGTGTCCCTGAAATATTCATCTCCAGGGGAATGAGACAGCAGCAGTGATCAAACATCAACTGTAATCAATGAAATCTTTGGGCTCTGGTATTTAGCTGGAAAACAAGCAAGTGAATGCTCATTGCATAACTAAAGAGATAAGATGCTCCTGGAATGAGTTAAATGAAAGGCCTGGGGAAATTTCATTCTATTCACCAAAAGATGCAGCTTCTGTGATTTTCAATCACATGTTGCAAGATATAGCTGCATTTCAGAATTTTTCTAATCTCAGAATCTTGATAGAAAAGGAATTGAGGTGAGGAGGGATGTGCAAATTTGTCTGTGTAGTTTCAAAGTCCATTGACTCTGTGTTAGGATGTGGTAAGCCTTCCAGGCTGTCAACCTATATCAATGAGCCTATATGAATGAAAGTCACTGATAAGACTACAGATATGTTTACACACAGATGTGTATGTGTGCATAATTTAGTTCAGATTTATGTGGAACCATTTTTCTGCATTTGCATTCTCGTCACTTCTGTAAGTGGTTAGTCTATTATTAGTATTTTTGACTCATAATTGGCACACTAAATTCCTCTTTGAATGTATTTATGTGTAAAGTGAATCAGCCAAATCTAATAGCAGGGGAACCTAAATGCTATATCCCAATCATAAATCCAGGGGCATTGAAAAATTCTTAAATACCTGTAAAAAACATCTAAGAAAAGGTCAATGTTTTTAGATGTGTCTGTTTAAGTACATTTTTATCACCTTTGAAGATTTATAATATGTGCAGGTTAATTGCTTACCAATCAAAGTGCATGATTAGAAAATGTGCAGTTTCCTAACCATTATATAGATCAGGGTTTTGTTGCACAGTAAAATGACATTTAGAAACGTAGCAAAGGAAATGTAGAGTTCAAATTTTCTGTTGTCTTGAAATGCAACCTTGGGGCTGTCTTCACTTGATATATCTATTTATAAGTAATTTATTTCACAGCACTGGAATGAAAACCTTCTATAGTTTCCGTAGTAATGTTCTGTGGATCCATTATCTTTATTTTCTTTGATAATATCCCTGAGTAAAAGGTAACACAGTCTCCAAACAGTTTTAGAGCTGTCAGTTGTCTTCCCCAGATGCTCTATTTCTTTGCTAAATAAGTAAACACAAAAAAATAAATAAATTTATCATAGTTTCTTTACATTTTCAGGGTAGAGTGTTACCATGACACCTCATCTCTGTCCATTCTACCTCACTCCCTGGTACTTACAGTTCTGTAGTCAGAATCTAAGGATTTATTTTCACTGGCCATTGTTGCCTTTGCTTTGGTTCATTATATCTCATATGTGAATAAGATGAATGGTATTTTGGTTAATGTTACAATCTCTAGTTTAATTCATATTGTAACAAAGTTCAAGATTTTCCTTATTTGTAGCTGTGTAATATTTGTGTGTGTGTGTGTGTATCTTCATTACTCACTCATCTGTTCATGGGCATGTGTATTGTTTCTAGATCTTGGCTCCTATAATTATCTCTGACTGCAACAAGCATAGATGTGCATATATTTTTAAATTGGTTTTCTTGGCATAGACTCCAAGTGGTAAAATTGTTGAATTATATAGGATTTCTACTTTCAATTTTTTGAGGTCTCTGTTCTGTTTTTCATATAGACTGAAGCAGTTTACAATGCCACCAGCACTTAAAGAAAATGCTTCCTTTAGCTCTGTATCCCACCAGTACTCATTTCCAATCATTTTGATGAAGTCCATTCCCACTGCACTGTAGCACTGTACTGTCCTTCTGCACTGTTATTCATCGATTTGCTCGAGTGGGCACCAGTAACGTCTCCATTGTGAGACTTGTTGTTACTGTGTTTGGCATATTGAATACGTCATGGGTAGCTTGGCAGGCTTTGCCATGCGGGAGAGATACTCTTGGTAGCTTGCTGGGCTCTCAGAGAGGGGTGGAGGAATAGAACCCAGTTGGCTGATGCAGCCAAGTGCAAGGCAAATGCCCTAATGCTGTGCTATTGCTCCATCCCACTAGTATGAAATAATATCTAATTGTCACTTCAGTTTGCGTTTTTCTAATAATCAGGAACATTAAACATTCTTTCATGTGCCTGTTGGCTGTTTATATGTCTTCTTCGTTTTTTGTTTGTTTTTTAATTTATTTTTTAATTGAATCACCGTGAGATATATGTCTTCTTTGGAGGAGTGTCTTTCTGTTCAGTCACTTTCTAATACACTAAAGTGAGCAGCAATTGTCTCTCCTACTAAGGAACATTGACTTTCCTCCCCACGTTTTAACCAGAACTCAAATTACTTTATTGACACACTCTTTTACTTTCGGGAATAGAGCAATAGTACAACAGGTAGGGCATTTGCCTTGCATGTGGACAACCTGGATTCAATTACCCAGCACCCCATATGGTCCCCCAAGCATACCAGGAATGATCCCAGAGTGCAGAGCCAAGAATAATCCCCCTGGACAGCAAGTGTGGTCCCAAAACAAATAAAAATAAAGAAATGAATAAAAGTAATGATTCGCTATATTATTTGTATCCTCAACAGAACTAACGCTCACCAGGGCCTATTGAGTACCAAAAGCTCTCCCAAGGGCCTCCCAGTCAATTTCCCTGGCTATACTCTTTCCCATCCTCCAGATGGAGTAGAGATGACAAAAAGTGACAGTTCAGACCAAGACCACCGAGGTCATAGTAATGTCAGTGAAATCCAGCTTCCCAGGACTTCCTTTCTGCTAACTCTGGATTCCAAAGTTACTTAAGAGAAAAATTCACAGTGAAAATGTCTCTTTGTGAGAGTTTTCACACAAGGCTAAGAAAATCTGTCTGGAACTTGGAGACCTTTATCTCCTTGAAAAGAAAGTTGTAAATGTTGCTTTAGCTATTGCTCTGGGGAGAATTCTGGTTGATGGCCTCAGAAGTCGTATTTCTCTCATGTGTCAGCCTGTCAATTTTTGTCACTAACTTCTGACCTAGAATCTGACAAAAGTCCAACAGAAAAAAAGGCACAGCCGTCTGGAATTCCAGTGGGAATGGGGCCTGAACTAACTCATTACCCCTATAAAGTCTAAATAATAGGTACTATTCTTTATTCTTCTCTTAGAATAGCCTAATAGTATAAGCCCAATAGGTACTGATTCTTAGACTTTTAACATCAGACATCACTTTTTTCTTTCTTTTTTTTTTAGCAGTTTAGGTCAAGATACTCATAATCAGTTATCAACATTTCCCAAAGAAATTGTTGATAATATATTTAGTAGCAGGTAATGAATCATTTCCATATTTCCCTGATGCAAATAAGCCTTCTTAAGACGTATGCCCAATAAGAACTATTTCATTTGTTTATTTATTAAACAAATGTAAAATAACATGTCCCTAAGGATCGGTCTGTCTGCTAAACCCTGAACATACATACTTTCCTATCTTTCAATAAACCAATGCCAATGAGGGAGATGTATGAGAAAGCAAACGATTCCTGGAACTGTGCTGGAGAATGAGCAGTGGTAGCTTTACTTAGCAGTGGTATCATGAGAACCGAAGATTCTTTGTGACACAGAGTATCTTCACTCAATCCTCCAACTTCTTCCTTCAGGTAAACTCTAAAACAGGTAGACCAGATGGATGGATGCACTTGAATTCTAACTCCTAATTTAATCTAGCACTTGAGGTCCTCTTTAATGGAGTACTTCCTTCTGTTTTTAGGATAGATGGACAAAGAAATTAACAGAAGATGGGACCTGTTTGCTTCTCTAGCATAAAAATGATGAAATGGTTAACATTTTCAATCCTGTAATATATAGCATTGAAAGATGATAAAATATATATTTGTAAATTTCATTATTCAATTTTATATAGCCAAGTTGTATTAAGACCCTAATCTATTTTCATGTAAATTTCTATTTTAAATTGCTGTACTTGGGAGCACACCACATGTAAATTGTTATGATGGTACGAACCATTATAGATTTTTGTCTTATGTAATGTGTAATGTATGCAACCTATTTTGATACCGTTTCCTGCTCTATAATGTTTACTATGCTAGTTTCAAAGACTTAGAAGGCCTACTTAAAAAAATACTATTTTTGGAAAAATGATGAATTCTTCCTCGTTATGTTCTACCCCAGGTGACCACATGAGGGCATTCTTCTTCCAAAATATATGCAAGCAGGTATTAACACTGACTTCCACATTAGGGGAGGAGGAAATATGTGTAAGCTATTTCATGAGGGTCCTTATTTTCCCCCTTTTGACAGTAGGGAAACTGCAGGAAACTTCTTCACTTCCTTTTTCTCTTATTTTTAATTTTATAGGGTGAAAATCAATGACTTGGATGACAACAAGACTGGATTTATTTTTTAAGTAAAAAAACTTCTGTTTTGCAATTGGAATTTCCTAATACACGGCGGTTCATTTTCTGTCTTCTTTCTCCCATAGGGATTTTTTGAAGAAGAAGAAGGTAAAGAGTATATTTATAAAGAGCCTAAACTGACAGGTCTCTCTGAAATTTCCCAAAGACTACTCAAACTCTATGCAGATAAATTTGGAGCAGACAATGTGAAGATAATTCAGGATTCCAACAAGGTAGAGGAAAAATCACTAATCATACAAATTCAAGGAAATGAGTTTATTGTCATTTTTAGCCCCATTTATTAAAATTTGTGATTTTCTCCTAACTTAGCAAAGGGAATTACTTGAACCATTTTAGATGTCTTTCCTTCTGATTGGTTGATTGGTGATTTTTTTTTTAAGTCAAAAGCCTTGCATGTGTCTATTTGAGGAATCTCTAAGTAATCTTAGAAACAACTTCCTAAATTCTCTACTTCTTCAGCGGGTTATTTGTATTTGAATCACTGTCAAAGATTGAGCACAAGGGTAGACTTTGAAGATACAGCAGAAATGCATTTGTTCAGTCATAAAGATTTTCCTGGGTCATAACAGTTTTGAAATCTCCCCTCTTCGTAAATCAGATTTATTGAATTACTATGTGACCATTCAATTAACCTTATCATGGCTCAAGAAAGCAAATGTTTATATCCTTTAATTAAATTACCCGGGCCCTTCTAATATGCCTTCATTAATTTAGTCAACCTCAATTTAGCACTTACTGTATTCCAGGTTCAGAACTAGGTGCTGAAGCATCTAGAATCTTTCCCTCTAGGGCTCACCCTTCACCAAGGGATAGGAAAAGAAAGATGTGTGCAAATAGTAGATGAAATGGACTGCAATGAATAGGAAGGGAAACCGCATCAAACTGATGCAGGCAAAGCATCATTATGAGAGGGGACAGACACCCTCAATAGCTTATGCTTGGTAGAGCCATGCTTCACGGAGTAGAGGATATCTCAACTGGGAATATCAGGGAGGGATGGAGTTAGCTGTAAGGAAAGAGCATTCTGTGAAGCCCGGCCCCTGTAGTGACGAGTGCTCTGTCAGCACCTAGTTCTGAGCCTGGGTAAGAGAAAGGCATGTGTTGAAAACATTGGTTGATAATACAGGGAGATGAATCATTTTCCTTGCATGTGGTTGACCATTGTTTGATCCCCAGCACCACATATCGTCCCCTGAGAACTGCCTGGAGTGACTCTGAGCCCCACCAGTGTTACCAAAGACCAGAAAAGTAAATTATAAATGATAATGAAACATAGGCTGCGTAGAAAAGGCTCACAGCAATGGAACTGTAACAACTGGTTTGCACCCAATTTTATTAGCCTATACTATATTGGGCCACATCTCCCCAAAACAATCAGATGTTTCTTCCTAGTTCTCTTTTACAAAACTTTTACTAAGACGGGTCTGGGTGGCTGTTATGAGTATATTCACAGTCTGGCTTAGAAGGCACACTCCCCTTCCCCAAAAAAGGTTAATTGAACTAGAACCACAGTAATGGTTACTTATCTGGGTCAGAAGATAAATGCAGTTCCTAGAAGGATGAAAAAAGTAGCAAATTTGGAGTCAGAACAATTGGAATCTCCACTTCTCCATGTCAGTACAACTGGGCCCACCTTGGGGAAGCTGCCTCCCCACTCTGACCTTCCATTTCTTTTATCTGTACCCTAACGACAGTTATACTAAAGTTACAGTGTAGTTCTTCATAGCATTATAAGTAAGTGCCTGAGCTCTCTCAGATTAATGAAACTAGACAAGTTGTAGATGGGCAATTGATAAAGATGTTTTTAAAAGGCTGGGGGGAGCTGGGGCGATAGCACAGCGAGTGGGGCGTTTGCCTTGCACGTGGCTGACCCGAGTTCGATTCCCAGCATCCCATATGGTCCCCCAGCACCACCAGGAGTAATTCTGGAATGCAGAGTCAGGGAAGAGGGGAGAGCCAGGAGTAACCCCTGAGCATTGCCAGGTGTGACCCAAAAAGGAAAAGAGAAGAAAAAGGCTACGAAATCCTTCAGAGAATTATGAGAAAAGAAATTAAAAATCATCTCCTTCTAATCCTGAACAGCCAAAAAGCAATCTCCTGTCTTTCCTTTCTCTACCAGCCCACCCCAGCTTGTCATCCCCACTATTTGTCAAACAGATTCACGAAAACAGAGTGAGTGAAGAAACTATAGAGTGTGTATCGCAGACAGAGAAGGAATTAAACAAATTGAAAAATAAAAATAGGTGCAGCCATGTAAGGAAAGATAATGACTTGCTCCACTAAGCAGATAAGAAACCTCTTCCTATACTACAAGTCCGGAGCTGATAGTTCCAACTGAAGTGCATGGCTAAATCACAGAGTGATAGAAATAATCTATTCCCACTTTCAAGACACTTGTACTCGAGTCATTGGTGCTGTCATTCATTAGAAAGAGAAAGAAAAAAAAAGAAAGAAAGAATAAGCCACAGCTGGGTACTGGCATTTCCAAGAGCCTGAAATTCCTGGTGAGCTGATTCCTTCCCTATCTACCACTACACCAGATGGTTATTCTTTCGGGGGTCCCAGCTCTAATGTGATACGATGGCCTATATTCCCGTCAGTGGAGAGAGACTTTCCCCTGGTGAGAACAGCCAAGACCAGGCCCAGTTTCCTTCTTTCAGGAATCCCTGTTGCTTGCCATTCATTCCGTTGCCCCTGGTATGTTAATACAGGTAAACCCCAAGGATTTGGACCCCAAATTTGCCTATATCCAGGTGACCTATGTCACGCCATACTTCGAGGAAAAGGAAATTGAGGACCGGAAGACGGATTTCGAAATGCATCACAACATCAACCGCTTTGTCTTTGAGACACCCTTCACGCTGTCAGGCAAGAAGCATGGGGGCGTGGAAGAGCAGTGCAAGAGGAGAACGGTCCTGACGAGTACGTATCGGGGAGCCTGGACCCAGGCAAGTTCCTTTAGGAGGCAGGACTCGTGGAGAACTGCAGTTCCAGCTTACAGGGACCCTTAACTCTGCTGACTTGTGCTTGAGTGCTAGCATAAACCAGTTACCCGATGACCTTCGTTCTCTTGCCATAGACCTGGGAAGTCAAGGAAAGAACTTGTCAGTAGAGCCTATTGTCAACACACATTCAATTCTGTAGTTCTTCTAGCCCTGAGGATCTTGCAGTCAGTGTCTTAAGAAATCAGCTTCCTCTCTCCTGGAACCTACCCACAGTTACTTTAGAGGCAGCAGATTTTTTTGTAGTCGTGTGCTTTGGGGTGAAAGTACTCTGGGATTCAGGCCCCTGCTAGGAGAGAGGAATGCACAAGATAATATCCTCCGGTACTCTCTAGATTGGTTCTCCGAGCAAGTTCTCCTTTTAATGGAATCAACCAGCGTTTAATGAGCGCCGGTGGGGCACTGTTCTTGGCAATTCAAATTACTAAAACATAATCCTTGCACACAGGCTGGTAGGAGAACAGCCAAATAAAGCATATCTTTCCGGAGAGCACACTCTGAGAAATGAAGTGGAAACCCAGGGGAGACTCTCCCCAGGCACCTGGAGGGGAAAAAATAAGCCAAAGTGTTCTGAAAAGATGAGAGTGAAGGTGTCTTGAGAGGCGAACAGGCCTGGATTATGCAATAACTCCCGGATAGCATTGGCATCCAAACTATGAGAAAGTTTGCCTTTAGTTGACTTTCCCAGCATTTTTTCAATGGGGAAAAAAATTCAGAGCTAAGCCATTACATAATATAGCCCACTCCATATATATTTAACCATTCTTTATCATGAGTTCAGTAGGGTTTTTGTTTTTCCTTATGTTACAACTTGTGTGAAAGGTTTTCTCTTTAGGGCTTGTGAACTCTACATGTCCCAGTCCAGTGCTGAGAATGAGGGCATTTTGGTCAGAAACAGGCTGGAGACAATGCAGGTGAAAATAGTTGGGGCAAATGCTAAGAGACTGAAAAATCAACAGCCTGGAAGAGAAAAGCAACTCATATGCACAAAAAATGAAAACGCAGCATGGATTTGGGGTTAGAGAAATAGTACAGAGGGTAGGGGAATTGCCTTGCTCATGGCCGACTGGGGTTTGGTCCCCATCATCGTATTTGGTCCTACCAAGCCCACCAGTAATGATCTTGAGTGTAGAGCCAGTAGTACGATCCGAGCATCACCACCAGGTGTGTCCCCAAAACAAAAAAACAAAAAATGCAGAATGGAATTTGCTCTGAGCAGTTCATATATATGGGATCCTCTGTCCATTAGTGGGATCACATATCATCACTAATGCTCACCCTTTTCCACTCTCCTATTTCTGGGCTGCAGCAAGCCACCTGTTCCCCTACGTGAAGAAGAGAATACAAGTCATCAGCCAATCGAGCACAGAACTGAACCCTATTGAAGTGGCCATTGATGAGATGTCCAAGAAAGTGTCTGAGCTCAACCAGCTTTGCACAATGGAGGACGTGGACATGATCAGGCTGCAGCTCAAGCTTCAGGGAAGTGTCAGCGTGAAGGTGAGTGTGGTCCAGAGCTGTGATAAATGGGGTTGGTGGAACATGATTTAGCACTGTAGCACTGTCCTCTCATTGTTCATCTATTTGCTCGAGTGGGCACCAGTAACCTATCACAACAAATTGTGAGATTTGTTGTTACTATTTTTGGCATATCGAATACGTCACGGGTAGCTTGCCAGGCTTTGCTGTGCAGGCAAGATACTCTCGGTAGCTTGCCAGGCTCTCCAAGAGGGGCAGAGGAATTGAACCTGGGTCTGCAGCGTACAAGGCAAACACCCTGAAGAAAAGAAAAAAAGGTGATTGTTTTACGAAGGGTACAAGTCATAGTTTATTTGTGACAACATCATACACCTTTGAGTCTTTACAATTTTATTTGTAAAAATGCACCTTTTGATATCAAACACCTGAGGAAAAACTTTCTTTTTTAATAAGGGGAGTTACATCATGCTACTCTGTTCAAACTTTCTAAATTATTGCACTTTTGTTGTTAATCTTTGTAGACAGTAACACTTACCACTTTTAAGGGAACAGTTCTAGGTTTTGAAAGAAAAATGGGACAGGTATGGAACAGTCGCAAAATTAAGGAGAAATGCGTTTCTGTCAGCTCTTAGCAGTCTGTTACATCTCTAACCTCAGATCCTGACCACCACAAATCTTGCCCAGGAGTTTCCCCCTTTCCACAGTGTCAAACTTCCTGCCTAAAACCTGAGCCTACAGCTAACCACGTAGAACATCTTATTAAAGGTCATACACTATTTCATGTTCATTTTAAAAGTTAGCACTACAAATACCAAACTTTATAATGTTGTATACACTGCAGGGAGGTGTGCAGGAAGGAACATGAGGACACTGATGGAGGGAAGTTGACACTGGTGGAGTATTATTATATGCCAAAACGCAACTGTCAATAACTTAGTCAATTATGGTACTTTCAATTAAAAAATTTAATTTTAAAATAAAAAATAGCACTGGAGCAGTACAAACATATTAAATATATGTATTTGTTTAAGTTTAAAAATGAGTCTCATTTACATATGAATAAAATAGTTGAAGCAGGTGTGTGGACAGCGAAAAGATAAACAATTGCATGAAGTTTAAGTAGGATGGCAGTAAATGAATCATTGATTCTTTGGTAGCTTATTGACCAAATTCAGGACCGTAGCACTGTAGCACTGTCCTCCCATTGTTCAAGGATTTGCTCGAGCGGGTACCAGTAGCATCTCTGTTGTGAGACTTGTTGTTACTGTTTTTGGCATAGCGAATACGACACGGGGACCTTCCAAAGCTTTGCTGTGTGGGCAAGATACTCTCTGTAGCTTGCTGGGCTCTCCGAGAGGGAGGGAGAAATCAAACCCAGGTTAGCCGCGTGCAAGGCGAACGCACTACCCACTGAGCTATCTCTCCAGACAATAGGACAATTCAGGACAATCAATAAAAATTTTAATGAGACTAAAGAGAGAGTACAATGGATAAGATATTTGCCTTGTAATTGTGCAGTGATCCGAGTTCATTCCCTGCCACCACATATGATCCCCTCCCTGGCCCTGCCAGGAGTTATCTCACACAGAGCCAGGAGTAAATCCTGAGCACTGCCAGATATGGTCCCAAAACCAAAAGAAGAAAATTAAGATTAATCACTTGATTTCAAGGTAAAAATGTGAGAAAAATCAGGATGCTCTATTGCTGCTGTTTTGGCTGTGGAGAAGAACCGTGGAGGCAACTGGATCATCCTTAAGAAATTCCTTTTCTCCCCAATAGGTTAACGCTGGACCAATGGCCTATGCACGAGCTTTTCTAGAGGAGACTAATGCGAAAAAGTACCCTGACAACCAAGTCAAGCTTCTGAAGGAAATCTTCAGGTAAGCCCTTCCATGCTAGACATGTCATTCACTGAGTTCCTTCCTTCAGGGAGTCATGACTTCCCCGGAAGCCACCTGACCAATGCGCTTGCAGATGGCATCATGCATCAGCCGCCTACTCTGAATTGTACCTTTTCGTGGCTGGCTATTGATTGATTTGTTGCTGTCACTAAAGGCAATTTGCAGATGCGTGTGGGCAGGCCCTGGATGTGAATGAACGCCTCATCAAGGAAGACCAGTTGGAGTATCAGGAAGAACTAAGATCCCATTATAAGGATATGCTCAGTGAACTCTCTGCAGTCATGAATGAGCAGGTGAGGTTTCCCTGGGGTGGCCCAGGCTGAAAAGATCCATTTTACCTCCAACCCGAGTCTCTCTCCTTGCTGCTGAAATCACTACACCTTTGTAAACACGTCTTTTCCTCTTACATAGTGTTATCCCTTTGCCTCAAAGCAGAGATAAAGCTGATGAAACAGCCTTCAAATGGAAAGAGGACCTACATACTTTCCCCAGTTTTCATACATTTTATTCAAACCATGCAAACATTTGGTTTTCTAGAACATAAAGTTCCTGTTAGACCACAAGGCACATTGAGTGGCATTTCCATTGAGCTCTAAGACTTCACAATTCCCAGGTTGTGTGGTGATGATTCACAAGTCGTGACGCTTTTGGTCTCTGCACCATCTTCACAAAGAACCCAGGACTGAGATCATAACTTGATATTTTTAAGTAAGATCACATTCGTTTAAGCAACTCTATTTGTTTAAGAAGTAGATGACCTTTTAATATCAAAACCCCCTCGAAAGAGGTTAGGCCTTCTGAGGATGTGTAGAATTGGGATCAAACTCAATCCCTCCCCCCCACAAGATTGTCAGCTATGGTTTCTGGCATATCTCTAGAAAGTTCTATGGGGCTTTACACAAAATGTAGGCACTCATTAATCACAGTATTTTGAGGTACTGAGAACAAGTGGCTGAAAGCGAAACACAGTTTTTTTTTAATTTTTACTTATTAATTTATTTGCTTTGGGGGCCACACTCAGCGAGGCTCAGAGGTTACTTCTGGCTCTGCACTCAGGAATTACTCCTGGCAGTGCCGGGGTACCATATGGGATGCTGGGGATTGAACCCAGGTCAGCCACATGCAAGGCAAATGGCCTACCTGCTGGCTCCAGCTCCACTGCTCTCTCTCTCTCTCTTTTTTAATCTATTTCCTACCATCCGTTCACTCTCACCCTCTACCTGGATATCACATCTTCTATGGCTCCCTCTGGGTTTTAGATGTGTTCTTTATAGAATAATGGAGGGGATGGGAGAACTTGAGCTCCTACCCCGAATGTGCCTCACAGCCTAGTAGCTCTTCACTATTAATTTTAAATGGTCTAGCTCTATCGACATGAAACTTATCGTTGAATCCTTTTATTCTAATTGCATTTCTCATATATATTTCTTTTTAATTCTTTTTCAGCTCTTTCCACCCACATTTTAAATCCTCCAGAGTAGCTAGAGAAAGATATGGGTACTTAACTTATATAGAAGGGAATTCATCTTCCTGAGGCGCTCCCTGCTAGTGGAAAAAAGTATTGGTTTGGGATTTTTAAGGGCTGATGGGAATTAAATATTCAAGAGAGATGCCTTGATAGCATGGTGGGGGAACCATAAATCTGAGTGTGGAACAGGAAGCACCAACAATGAGTCTGAAAATTGGAAAAGAGAGAAGAAAAATGTTTGTCTCCAATTGCAAATTGCCTCTGACCTTGAATCTTTGGATCAAAAAAATGCTGTTCTCTCTTTTTTTCCTGGCAGCTCTGTCACGGTCCGTGTTTATACAGCTTCTGTTCTTCTGTGTCTAGTATTTCCCTCAGTACTGTGAGCAAAAGTGGTATGTTTTTCTTTCCTGGTGTTTACTCTGTCCTTTGTGGCCTTCTGGTCTACCTATCTCTTCCTAGCTGTTTATTTTCTCCAGACGCCTCCCTAGGTGGCTAGTCTTCTTCACGTGTTTAATTAGAACAATTTAATTTCTTTTTCAAGGTAGGTCAATTACAAAAAGTACCTACTAATTAAAATTAATGTCAACAACTTGACTTTTACGAAGAAAAATTCATACCCCACCAACTTCTAAAATTTATTTGAACTCATTTGTAACCAAAGCAGAGAATGACTATACTCAAGTGTTAAAACAAATCTACAAAGACAAGGACTAGGTTATTAAAGGGGGAGAAAACTTTTCAGGAAACCTTTGCTGAGGGAAGGAAAATTTGATTCAGTGCTTCTTGAAAAGTGATGCAAAGTAAAAAAACACTGAAACCCGTGAGGTTTACAGATCCTTTTCTTCAGTAAAAGAACAGATATATCTGAAGGAAAGATCTTCTGTCTCTGAGTTTCTAAGTCTATTTATCACTAAAGTCCTTATATTTAGGACAGTGATCACAACTTAATTGACAGCTTAAAAAAATGTTTTTCTTGAAAAATTTATTATATGTCCATTCACATTTCTACCTTAGATTAAAGGACAAATTATTTGCTTCTAACTCTGTTGAAGAAATTCTAAAGGAAAACTATTTAGTTGGTCATTATCAATAATACATGTCAATTATCAATAAAATTGAAAGTTGTTCATAGAAAAATAAACTATTTCTATTTTAATCATGCATAAGCGATTTTGAGTTGGTGATAATGAATCATTTCCTGGAATTTACTTTTCTATCATGAACAGCTAGCAAATGATAGGGCTCTGTAGAGTCCATGGTATTTGAAATGTGGGCATTTATCTCATCTTATGTTTATAAGCAAAAAAAAAAAAAAAGATTGCTTGTGGGAGTACTAAACTTCTTTAATGAAAATAACCACTAACCATAGTGTTTGTGTTTGAACAGTAGTGGAGGAAAATGTAATTAAATTTTAACATGACCCTATAATATAGGACTTTACCATCAGGTGTAATGCATGAATACCCTCAAATACTTATACACTCACGTACATATTTAGAAGTAGGTACACATATGAGTTTAGATTACACCATTGAAAAAATTATAAAACAATTATAATGGAGGAATATAATACTAACATACAACTGATTATGCAGTTTATTCCAAGAACATTTAGAAAAGCCTTGGCAAAAACATGTGTTTCTTTAGAAAGAAACTTCCATCCATAAAAGAAAGGAGATGGAAAAGGATAAAGCGGATATGGATAATTGAGGTTAAATGGCTTGAATTGTTGAAGAGACAAATTGGTAACAATTACCTTTAGAGGCAGTCAGAATACCACACTACTTTATGTTATTAAAAATTTAAGTACCTCCAGAAAAGACCGATATCAGATGCTCAGTTAGGGTCTGTTCCACCAGTTAGAAGGATGACAGCCTGGTGAAGTCCATGGAGACAGTAGGTTTCAAATACCAACTACAGAGAAAGGACCAGATCCCTGCTCATTTTTGTTTATTTGGCTTTTGTTTGGGGGCCACACCTGGCAGTGCACAGGGCTAACTCCTGGCTCTGTGCTCAGGCATCACTGCTGGGAAGCTCCAAGGACCAGGTGGGATGTCAGGAATCAAACCCAGGTGGGTTTCATGCAAGGCAAACACACTACCCACTGTACTATAATGCTCAAGCCCTAGATCTTCACTATGATGTCAAGCATATGAGGGACAACGTCATGACTTTCATAAACTCTTTGGACACATTGTTTACTAATTCATTCAAGAACACATGACACTTTCAGAAGGGTAATTTATAGGTGATAGGGAATATTCGGACACTCTCCTGTTCTATGGGGACAGAAGTAGTAACTCTATCTGGGAAAAGTGCTAACAATTGAGCTAAAGTTTTATGAGAAGTTAGTGGAATCCTTAGAACTAGAAACTATAAGCATTTGTGAAATTTCTTCAACACCAACACATTCAAAGGGTGTTTGGGCTTCTACTCCTGTTCTGATTGTGTTTAAATCTTGTTATTTGAGCAGCTCTGACAGGAAATTTATATTGAAATTATTTTCAAAAGCAAAATAATGTCAAGGTACATATATATATATATATATATATATATATTTATATTTCCCTCAATACAAGCATTTAAATGAAGTTTAAGTTCTTCCTTTGCTGCTGGAATTGGACAATATCCTTTGTAAATGTTTAGAATAAGAGAAAATTCTGGAGTTCTCAGAAGTATGTGTGAGGTTTATTCCAGTAGGTATCAGTTTATCTTATCTGATCAAGGAAGGCTGTTGTGAAGATACTTTAAAATCATACAAAGGGCAGGAGAGATAGTAACAAGGCTGAAAACACTTGCCTTTCATGCAGCGGACCAGAATGATCCCCTCCCCCAACACAGTCAGAATAAGTCAATAAAACTTATTTGCTAAAATTCCTAACACATGACCTTGGGGAAATCCTTCAGGGTTACTTTGATAAGTTCCTTTCCAAAATCGACAGATTCACACACACACCCTCCACCCCAGGGGGAGAAATAAAAGAAAATACTGCTGTGTATTTCAGTTGTGTGTTTTGAGATCTGAACACGGTTCTATTTCCCTGACGACTGTTTCCTCCTATCTGAAGATTACCTACCGGCACGACCCATCAAAACACGGAGCGGAGCCAACGTGCAGTCGAGTCATTAGCCGGCCCACCTCAGCCCCCACTGTGCCCTCCGTCTCCATCTCCTCCAGTGCTGAACCTTGAGGCCAGGACTGCAGAGAATTTTCTGGATCTGCAGCTCGCCGTGGGACAGAGAAACAGATTTAATTTATTTGAAGTTTTTATGGTGTTAATATATTTTTTTTACCTCGCTAAGCTTGAGAATTTTGCCAGCCTCCCAGATTTGCACATTTCTATGTTTTTTTTCTTTAAATAGCATTGATCAACCCGAGATGAATATTTACCGCATAATTCCCACGAACGTGGGCCTCCAAAGCAAACCAAAGTTTGCTGTCAGTTTCATTATGTTCAAGCCAATTCCTGGTACTTGCATTTTAAAGGTCAAAGTGAATGTTTTTGTAACATTTAAGCATATTTGAGGTGTAAATAGGATATTGTAAAAAATATGGTTTTTACCAAACTTAAAAGAACCTTTTTAGTTAATACTGATGACAGTGCTAAAATTATATGAATAACATTTTAGATACCATTATATTAAAATATTTGTGTATGTGTACAAAAGTGTTGATAAATACTAATCTTTAAAGTTTGTGGAATTCCCTTATTTGTAATATATGTGCTCTTGAAAAGCAAGAGGCCATGAAATTATGGAAGTATTTTGTTGTTAATAGAAATAAAAATACGGTTACTTTGCATTTGGTTCCCTTTTGAAAAGTGAGTTATTCCTAGAACTTGTTGTTTGGACTGTATGGCCGTTGACTGCAAAACCACAGTCTCTATTTTGGTTGTCTTGGGAACCAGACTGGGAAGTATTCAAGGGACACTCCCAGCCAAGTGCTCAGAAGTTGATCCTATCAGTCCTCAGGAGATTGTGTGGTACTAAGGGATCCAACTTACATTTCATGTCTGACCAGTAAATCCAGGGCAAGGATTAAAGTATCATTTGTGATGCTCCTCTCAGATCTGAGAGGCCAGGGTTGTATTGGTCCCAAAATTCTAGGAGATGAATAGTATGATTTAGTTAATATATAATAAATCAGAATCTCAAGAATCTGCTGATAATTATTAGTGCTATTCACAAATATTCTGCCTCTACTGTCTGTCAATTTGTGGGGGTCAAAGTGCACTTTTCGACCTCTTATGAAGTTAGACTTGACATTGTGACTTACTTTAACCATTGAAATATAAACAGTAGAGGTAAGTTTCCTTACAAATATGCCTTTACTTCCTCTGATGAAACATCTTGAGACACAGGGAGATGGAGGATCCATCAGCCTGGGTCCCAGGGTAAATGTAATGGGAACACACCGACAGATAGACAGATACCCCTTTCCCCCACCATCCTTGTTGGATATATGCTCTGAGATGCAGGTTATTATATTCAATTCCCAAGTTCAACTCATAGATTGCCTGTTACTGTAGTATAATGAGGTGATCTTGGCTGATCCATTTTTTTTAATCAAAGTTGTGGGTGATGTTCAGTCAGGTTTGGGAACCATTGGCACTTTCTTCCCAATCACCTTCCTCACGTAGCCAACACCAGGAACAATGCAACTGAGCTGAGAAGAAGGCAAGATGGGAAACAGCGCCGTGTATTCACTCTCCGCAATCATTTCGGAGTCCCAGCCTCCAAGCAGGACTCTGTAACTGAGGTGAAACTTCTGCCCTGTAAGATCGTTGCCAGTGTCAGCACATGAGGACCAGATGAAGTTTGTGCTTAGAGCATGTTTAAATACGAGATACAAAGAAGTGATATGGGGATATTTTAGCAGAAATTTCTAATCTCTTAAAACTCAGGTAACTGTTCTTTTATCATATGGAATCTAATGCTGTATTTTAGGGAAGGAAGGAAGGGAGGGAGGGAGGGCGGGAGGGAGGGAGGGGAAGAAGGAAGGGGAGGGAGGAAAGAAAGGGGAGGGAGGAAAGGAAGTGAGGAAAGGGAGGTAGGGAGAAAGGAAAGAAGAAGGGGAGGGAGGGAGGGAGGGAGGGAGGGAGGGAGGGAGGGAGGGAGGGAAGAAGGAAAGGGAAGAAGGAAAGAAGGAAGGAAGGAAGGAAGGAAGGAAGGAAGGAAGGAAGGAAGGAAGGAAGGAAGGGAGGGAGGGAGGGAGGGAGGGGAGAAAAGGAAGGGGAGGGAGAAAAGGAAGTGAGGGAAGAGGGAGGAAAGAGGGAGGGAGAAAGGAAAGAATAAGGGAGGGAGGGAGGGAGGGAGGGAGGGGAAGGGAAGGGAAGGGAAGGGAAGGGAAGGGAAGGGAAGGGAAGGGAAGGGAAGGGAAGGGAAGGGAAGGGAAGGGAAGGGAAGGGAAGGGAAGGGAAGGGAGAGGATACTGCCCTGTACTAGTCCCAAAAAGCCAAGAAGAAACACCTTCTCCTTTGTCTACCACCCAGTGTCCACTTTGCAGCTAGAGTCCTCATGACCAGACCAGCTCACCTGTTCCCCTGCTCCAGGGACACCGTCACTCACGGCTTACATATCCAAAGTTAAAAACATAACCTCTAAGGGAATCACTGAATGTAATCTATCTTTTTTCCTCAGGTTAGATGCCCAATATTCTCGTTTGATATAAAAATAGCAGCTTTAAATTACCTTAATGAGTTTCACCCTGAAGGGTTTCTGTACAGACTTGCCACCTGAAAGTGGTAACTAGAGTAACTCTATCTGCACATCACTGAAACCACCTGCCCAGTTCCAGAACCTTCTGGTCCTTCCTTGCTGCTCAGACAGAATCCAACACATGTTTTGTCTAGCTCTAATTTTTTTCAAAAAGTTACCAATGCACAGTATCTAATATTTGTTTAAGTAAGTGACCAACACGTATATTCAAAAACACAGAATTTCATATTATGGGTAGCCTTGGAAAATCAGGCTGTCTAGTAATGCTGGACCCAGATTTCCACATGAGTGCCATCATCTCAAAAGGATGGAGACACTGTTGACGTGATTCCCAGCTTGTCACTGTACTAGTCAGTAAGAAAATTGGACCTGTATTCAGGGGACCCCTACAATGATTTTTTGCCCAACCAAGCTGGCAGCTCAATGCAAGAGATTGAAGATCTGGTGCTGCTTGGGTCTTGGCAGGGATTACATTGGCAGTGCTCATGAGTCTCAGGGTCACACCTGCCAGTGCTCATTTTCCTCTAAGGCTGCACCCCCTAGTACTCTGGAGACCCTGCGGTGGGTTCAAAAGTGGGTTCACTTCAGGCAAGAGACCCTCCTTAACCCGGCTACTGTCTCTCCAGCCTAAAACGAATATTTTTGAGCTCCAGCTAACTGAAATAGAGAATCCTGAAAGTGTACTGCAAAACCCAACTCCATAGGATAGACCTACAGGCTATAAACTCTCCACTGGGTCATTGGCTAATGATCAACTATAATTTTACTTGTCATAACATAATACTTCAATTACCAGTGGTTTTGAATAGATAAAAGATTAAATTTTTATTACATGTATTTTTCCTCTTTAGTTGGACTTTCCCTAAATTTTCTAAGCGTTTTACTTAAATGAATTACTCCTCAGTAAAAACAATTGGTAGCAAATCTCATTTTGCAGATGGAAAGACTAAAAGACCAGGGATATGATTTCCCTATGGCATACCCTGGAAGGTTTCCAGTGCAGATAAGTGGATTGAGGATCTAGGCTGTCAGTTCTGATCTGCCCACCTATCTGCCCCCCTATTCAACCTTCATTAGCTACCACTCTTTTCATTGTCATTTTAAAGTGTGAAATGCTCAGGCTATAAAATAATGAGTAATCCTTTTTATTTTGGTAATAATTCTCTTGTAAATAGGGCATCTGCTATCCAATACCCTTCACATCATGTGTCCCTAGACTGTGTTCTCATTCATTTTGAAACCAATATAAATGGAACAGTCATTATCTTCATAATGACACAATGCTTTCTGAAAGGATGGAGAACATTTTTTTTAATTGAATCACTGTGAGATACAGTTACAAAATTGTTCACGATTGGGCTTCAGTCATACAGTGTTCCAACACCCTTCCCTTCACCAGTGTAAATTTTCCACCACTTTGTCCCCCTTCCCTCACCCCACCCTCACCCCAGCCCCAGCCGGCCTTTATGTCAGGCACTTCTCTTCTTTCTTTGATGGAGAGCATTTTAGAGAGAAGGATCAACTACAGATTCCAGAATCTTGCTCCGCAGAGGAAGTTGCTCATATCTGCAGATGATGACACTTCATATTAGGATATCCATCAAACATCCCAAGGTAAATACCTCTTTCTTTCAGTACTTCACTGAGCAGCTGGGAAATAAAATAAATTTGAAAGCCAATATGATAAAATGATTCTAAACCAATATTAAATTTGTTCATATTACAGAGATTCCCATGTTCTTCAACCTCTACACTAGTATCGTAAATATATATATCATATATGTTAATATTTGGCAAAATTATATATTTTTTTCAGAAAAGGATATGTCACAGACATAATTAGCATTTAGGATTCTCCATCAGAATCTCTTTCCACTTATAGCTTCATTTGCTGCCTGCTTGCCCCATTTATCTTTAATTTATCTTTAATTTAATAAGCTACAAATGTATGGTTTGCCTTGAGAGAGAGAGAGAGAAGAGAATTGGCAGCCCCTCCTAAAATACAGGTCCCTTTTCCTGTTCCCTAACACTTAAATCCAACCCAGGAAAACTGTATTTATCACACACACACACACACACACACACACGCACACACGCACATACACCAACCTCATGTTTGTGTTGGGCAGTATTAAACACACCTATATCCACCCTAGAGTTCAGAGACATTATTTCTCCAGTATCCTTCCACTAGGGCTGGAGCGATAGCACAGAGGTAGGGCATTTGCCTTGCACGCAGCCAACATGGCTGACCCGAGTTCGATTCCTCTGCCCCTCTCGGAGAGCCCGGCAAGCTACCTGTGATGTATTTGATATGCCAAACACAGTAACAACAAGTCTCATAATGGAGACGTTACTGGGCCCGCTCGAGCAAATCAATGAACAATGAGAGGACCGCGACCGTGATCTTTCCACTGAGTCACTGCCATCTAAGGACACATCACTGGTTTAAAGGTAGTGTTCCTGCAATCATTGGTTGGTAGTGTGAATACAGTGGTCTGACTTCATTGTTTCCATTCAAGACAACTCTAAATTAGGACCATGCAGGCTTTCATCCCCTACTCACCAGCCGCCTGCAATTCCTTCACATTTCAGCCCCATCCTCTGCCCACTCATCCTTTCAGGAGGATTCCCAGTACATTTTCTTCAAGTAATTCTCTATATCAGAATGAGATACTAGGGAAAAGGCTTAAAGTCAGTAGTTTTTCCAGTAGCTGTGTTTATTCCTCACCTAGACTTCTCATTCCCTGACCTTCATTGGCAGTGATCATCTGAGTCACCTGTATTCCTCCTCCCCAAAGTGATGTCAAGGTTTTTTTTCCGTTTGTTCACATTTTCTTCCCAGCCATGTCATAGCCTCCTTGTAGTAATTCTATGTTTCAATGTCTTTGTAGTGGTGCTTGCTCAAATTATTGACCTTAGCTTCAGTGTACCTTCATTCCAAGGGTTCATTGCAATAGGGCAATTCCGGAGGGAAATGTCAGAGCAGAAGATAAGGAGAGAAAGAGAGAGAGAAAGAGTAGATTGTGGGAAGATAGATTTGGAATCAAACCTCTTTCTGGGAACTTGTGTCCTTGAATCTCTTTATG